TGTGCGTGACTAAACGGGACGGCATCGTAAATTTTTGTCAAATTAAAAAAGGTCTAGTAACCTTACATTAAATGAGCGCGTTAATATCCGCTGATAGCTGTATTTACGTCGGCATTTTTTAATGAGACATTGAGACATACCACTGGATAAGGGTTAATTCAATTAAAATATGGAAGTACTTAAGGTTGCGTTTCTATTTCAATGAAAGACAATTACATAATCAATGGGAAAGTTCGTAACTAGAGCATAATAGAAGAAAATCAATTTTATTCTATGTATTACGAAATATTTATTTTATGGTGACAGCAGAGCAGAGTGATGTGCGCTCATCGATATTTGATGTCCCGACGTGAATCTTACAGAATAGTTGGTGCTCCTCAAGGTTCCTATTTGCGTTCACTTTTCCTCTTATCAAGTAGGGATGATGTCAACGTTCATCTGATGATTTATAATTGCAGAGTCTTATTTTATTTACTTATTGATACTTTCTAGTCACAACAAAATTACGTATATGGTTACATGTTACCAAGCTTAATTGACAACAGTCGACAGAGTTGTGGTATCACAAAAGTTGGTAGGTATGATACCTATTGTTTAAACAAGCGCATGTGTCTACATCTTAGTAAAACAAACACACTGTGATGCTTAATTGAAGGTGCTATTTGTGTTTAATATACGTAAACCACCTCCACAAAAAGCGCAACTAAATTGTCACATATCAAACATCCAGTTTTTGTAACAGTTTAAACGTGGGTAAATATATTTAATTCACATCCGTTAGATGCTGCCAATTTTTTTTATCAAGGCTTAAAAATGTTCTTTGGAATCACGTTCGACGACTCGCAATATGAAATTAGTGTCGCAAATACTCTAAATTATTATTCTTTTCATTACTCTTAATTGCCTTTTCCTGCGTATTCTGAAATATCTAACATACAAACTATTTAGTTGGGAATTTTCTGTGGTTACTTTTGGTATAAAAACTCCAACTGAGGCTCACAACCTGTCATATTGGATGTAATGAGCAAGAAAGAGTATCCGACCTTTTAATTGGAGATCAACTGTACTAATGATATAAATGAGTATATGCAAAGTCTTTGTAAGTACTTGAAGGTTGGAAAAATAAACTCTTTCAATCTCTTACAGACATTTTCACAAAAAATGTTCTTTCACTGATTTTGCTTCGATATTCTCGTACACATTTTCCAAAATACTGAAATGGCGAGTTAAATAATGTGGTTGCTGTTTTTAAATCGTATAAAGTTGCCAATAAATTCGGTCGAGGGAAGAGGGCAATGGGGAAACACGTCTGCTACGTCATAATACATAAGGCGTCATTCAATAATCAACTTCATTGTGAGATTAATCATCTTGGCATATTAAATAAGTTTAATTGTGTGGATTTAATGTAAGTCGAAATAATAGCAATTGAAATTGTGCACTTACAATTTAATTTTTTGCGTTGAGAATTATGAAGGTTTGTACAGAAGGCATTCTTTTAATAATTATTTATATGTAATGCTTATGCAAAGATGGATAAATGGCACATTTTCACTTTTGGAAAAATGAGGTAACAAGTTGTTGTAACAACAGTTGATATAATGCTAGAAGTAACATAACAGCATAACGTTCCTTAACGTTAGGGTAACATTGAAATCGAGGTCTGTGAAGTTGGATATACCACATGAAGGTATTCAAGCCACGGACAGTGGGCACTCTATAATTTTGGGCCAATTTTTGACGTATAATGCAAATGTTGTGCTCAAGCCGTACCGGAGATATTCAAAATTTTCAGTTGGTACCTCCAACCTCCCGTATCTTCGGAACGGCTGAGCCGATTTTAACAAACTTGCGCTACTTGAAAAATGCTATTCTTGGGCTACATAATATTTCAAGTTTTGTTAGTTTCACATGTCGCCGCTAGAGTGTTTTTTCGACATTCCAACAGAAATGGTTAATTTTCTCAAAAAAAAAATGCATTGGCGTGATTTTTTTTCATGAAAAAGTATAGCTAAATGTTGCCTAAAAAAGCTCACGAAAACCGCATCTCGATTTCTTGTTCCTAACCTAAATTTAGGTCAAAGAAAATTGTATACCCTTAATTTTTTATTTTCTGAAACTAATTTTTCTGGAATTCTTTTTTATTCATCAGAATAAAATCGCCCTTTTGGAAAATATTTCAAAATAACGCTAAAAGGTAAGTATGTAATGCGAATAACAAAATCACTATGGGATACACGAAAAATATAATTAATAAAAGCAGGCCATGGGCAACAAAATAAATAAATACCTAATCAAAACATAAATTGTAATAGTTTCACGCTACTTTGAGCAATTTTTGTGCTTCCAAAATGCGTTTTACGAACAATGAAGCTGTTGATACATGCTTGCAGTTTATTTTGAATGTTTTCAGAATACCTCACTAGCAAAAATGTGAGAGTTAGAGCCCTTGGAAGAGGAAGACACTTGGATCGTAGGTTGGGTCATTGCCATTGGTGTTAGCATTGAATAAAAAATAATTATTCAATGATGTTAGGCATAATTTAAATAATAGGTAACAGATTTTAAATTAAGTGCACTTAAATGGTTCTCTTCCTATGAAATGACATGAGTAATGAAGAATTTGGATATACAGACTGAGAGTTTCGAATTTTTCCGTTACGACTTGAGTACAAAATTTGCACTAGGTATACGATGATACGGCAAAAATTGGCACAAAATTATAGCGTGTCGATGGCTTGAATGGGTGATATTTATTCAGGATTCGCTGGTTTGCAGAATTACCTAGCTACATAGTCAATATAATCAAATTTAATGTTCTACACTGGTCATATTATTCCAAGGCACCTATTTATACAGGGTGTTTTTTTGGGAGCTTTAGTTAAACGTTTTTGGGAAAGTAAAATAGGTAGGTTTTTGAAAATGTGTACTTAGGAGTTACTTGAAGGCCGAATCGATGTATAATGTTTTCAAAATGGCCGCACTTCCGGAAACACCGGAAGTCGATAGTAATTCCGTTATTTTAAATGGCAACCCCTATTTTTTATTGCATTTTTGGATTCTACGTGAAATTTCAGTTCTTTTGATACCCACATGTCGATATCTGCCATTTATGGTTTTTAAGTTATTTTGATTTTATGAAAAAAAAAATGGTGGATGCAGATGGTTCCTTGATAATTGATTACTTGAAAACGGTTATAGTCATGGCATCCCATTTTTATCAGTGCTTAGAGAATGAATAGGGCTTTCTTTTAATGTACTTAAAAAAAGTTAAGTTGCATACAACCGCACCTATGGAGATAGAAGTTCAAAGTCTTAAAACTCAGTTTTTTTTAATGGAATGACCATGTTCTTACTATTGCATGAGATATAGAATCGAAATTGGCATATTTTAATATTACATGTTCCTACAGCTATCTTGAACAGTTTCTGATTTATTCCCATTTCATTGAATTTATGCCATTTTGTTTCGCATTTTCTATTTAGTAGTTGGCCATGATTTTATAACGATCAAAATTTAAACAAGGAAAGGATTCTTTAATATCATTGATTCTAGTCTAAATAATTCAATTCATTTTCTTAAATATTCTCTTGTAGAGCTTTGCATCACTTGTGCTTGAACGGTTTGTAGTGCATTTGGTGGTACATTTCCAAAATTCATACAATTTCGTTCCAGTGTTCGAATGAATGTACGGCAGGCACGTACCGCGATTCTGCCCATTTCACCATAAATAACAATTAAATTCCAAAATAGGTGAAACAATTGCGAGTCATTTTTCGATTTTTGAAAAACTTATGTTACCTACAACAGTAGGTGACAGATTAGAATCACTAGATTTGTTTAAAATTCGATTGTTATAAAATCATGGCCGACTACTAAAAAGAAAATTAAAAAAATGGTGCCAATCGAGGTGTCAATTCAATAAATTGGGAATAAAGTCAGAAACTGTTAAAGATAGCTATAGGAACATGTATTGTCAAAATATGCCCATTTCGATTCTTTATCTCATGCAATAGTAAGAAAATGGTCATTCCATTTAAAAAAACGTTTTTAGTCTTTGAAGTTTCATACATTTGGATCTCCATAGGGGCGGTCGTACGTAACTTAACTTTTTTTTAAGTGCACTAAAAGAAAAGCCCTATTTATTCTCTATGCACTGATAAAAATAGGTTGCCATGACTACAACCGTTTTCAAGTAATCAATTATCAATGTACCATCTGCATGAGCCATTTTTTTTCTTAAAGTCAAAATAACTTAAAAACCATAAATGGCAGCTATCGACGTGTGGGTATCAAAAGAACTGAAATTTCACGTAGAATCCAAAAATGCAATAAAAAAATAGGGGTTGCCGTTTAAAATAACGAGGTTACTATCTACTTCCGGTGTTTCCGGAAGTGCGACCATTTTGAAAATATTTTACATCGATTCGGCCTTCAGAGTAACTCCTAAGTACAAATTTTCAAAAACCTATCTATTTTACTTTCCCGGAAACGTTTAACTAAAGCTCCCAAAAAAACACCCTGTATAAGCAACATTGGGATAGGTATTAGCTTTGAATAATCAGAATGCAGTGCGATACAAAGGGTGTCAAAATTAAAATTTGGCCCTTAAGGAAATCAATTTCCAGAACATTAATTAGGCAATTACGGAATCCATAAATTTTATTTTGAAGTTTTTCACTTTTTAGATGGTATGCCACGGACCTCTTTGCCCGTGTGAATGAAGGGGGTTGCGTGATATTTGACTTCACTTTAATTTTCATTTAAAAGCATCAAATATGGCTTATTTATTTATTCTAACAAATTATGCAAATTCACACATTAGCAAAAGAGTAACTGAATGTCCCATTTCAACTGTAACTCTTAAGTTAGCCTGACTCAATTTCAAATTACTTAAGTCACCAAATATAAATAAATTTGTTGAACATTATACAAATATTTTCGCAAATAAGAATGTTGATATTACAAAATTTAATAATTTTCTTTTTTTTCATTTTAGGTAAACGGACGCAAGAATGTATCTGCGTGGGTATTTGCATAACATTAATGGCATTTAATTGCGGATTCCTTATTTTACATTTTCGAATACGCAATATGAGTGCTATTATTACTGCAGCTTTATGTGGTATCGTTACGGCGGATTTCGGTTCCGGTTTGGTGCATTGGGGTGCAGATACGTGGGGTTCAGTGGACCTACCTATAATTGGAAAGGTAACGCACTTTGTTAACGAACAATAATAACCGAAAGCATGTTCAGAACTTCCTCCGGCCTTTTCGGGAGCATCACATAGATCCCACATCAATCACCCGGCATGACTTTATAGAGACTAATGGTGACAATTTTATGGTCACCATTCCTTTTTTGGCACGAATGTTATGGGACTTCTTAACGTTACCTGAAGAAGAAGTACAAAAAAAGTTTATATGGAATTGCTATGTGTTTTTATTAGCAATATTTGTAGCTATGACTAATCAGGTTAGTTTGTTTATCTGCAAGTTAGCGTTTTGTCTTATTCAGTTTATTTTACAGATACATAAATGGTCTCATACGTACTTCGGGTTACCTGGGTGGGTGGTTTGGTTACAAGAGCATCACATCATCCTACCACGACGTCACCATCGAATACATCACGTAGCACCTCACGAAACCTACTTCTGTATTACAACCGGATGGCTCAATTGGCCACTAGAAAAATTGCATTTCTGGACGATAATGGAGTACATTATCGAGTATACTACATCGTGTAAACCTCGCGCAGATGACTTCAAATGGGCACAAAAACGCACGTGATATAACAATAGCACCATTCGCATGTTTAGTGTCTTAAATAATTCATTGTGCCTCGAGGGGGTTTGTGGTCGGAAAATATCGCTTTAGATAATTTGCTTTTGTCGTAAGAAAGTGCTTTCCCCGAAATTCTTTACACAGCAGATAATCAAAAGGTTCTGCATTTTAGCAGAAATCAAATCAACATTGTTACTGAGATTGTGCCTATACTGAGAGAAATTTTTATAAGTGTATGTAAGTATATGATATAGTGCTCGTATACTCAGGTCTAGCTATCAAATAGCTTTTTAAACGCTTACCGACTTAATTAATTGAACAAAGATATTTTTACAATTAGTCAAGGAGTAGTTAGTGAACCACTACTTAATATTTTGTTATAAAAAGCACGTAAATCAGAATAGTCGCGTGTACTCTGTCAATTGTGTTCTTAAGGATTTTTTTAGTGCTTCGTAGAATAGTAATCTAGAAACATATGTATCCGGGGACCACAGTGCGAGATTTGTGTAATTTTTTTAATAATAATAATACTATTGTACAATTTGGACTAGAGACTTGGGTGTTCATCCAAATTGTATATCGTGATTATTATAACTTTGCAATCAGAATGGTCATTTGAAGCTCATTGAACTTTTAAGAATTTTGAGCCATCGAATTCTGAGTGAACGGGTGTCAATTTTTATTAGCAACATCGTTTTTTGGAAAATGAGTCTAGTCAATCTTCTTATTGCAGTTGGAATTACAAATTCTTCTGTACCGATTTTCTTTTTTTTTTCTCACATTACTTCCTCTTTTCTCACTAAAATTGCTGTATCTAGAAAAGCAAAAAAACTTAGCATAAAGAAATAAATATTTAGATTAAAGTAGTCATTGCATAATAGTTTATTCTGTCAGATAAGATCCATTAACAGGGAATTTTGCAATTATTGATCATTAGGGCGCGGATTTTTAGGTGCTAAAAACTTCCAAAATATTTATTTTTTATGTGCTTAAAAACATTAAAATATTTACTAAAAACTTAAAATTATTTTGACAATTTTCGCGAAAAAAACCTCGACAAAAACGAAAAGAAGACGTCTTTTATGTAGCTGAACATTACTTACCAGGAGTTTCTTTAGCATTGCCAATGTACAACAAAAGGCATCTCCAAATTATCGATCTCAGGTGATTGTCGATTGTCCCTAAATAATAATTTGTACTGCGAGAAACACTGTTTCACGTCACAGGAAATGTCTTGCGTATTTTAAGAGAGGGTTCATGGGACGCCGTAAAATTTACATGTTTTTAAATTCAATTGTATATTGGATACTGTTGAAGAGTGACGACGCGAATTAGTGCTCGATTTAACTTAAGGCATTTTACGTACGGTGTGCAATTGAAACAGTATCTACCGAGTCAGATAGATAACAAAAAGAAAGCAGCCAGTCAAAAAATTACGGGTAGCCGCATGCATAAAACAGAACTTGTCAGCAGGTCTAGAATTTGCTGAAGTGACGAATGCAGAAACAAGATACCATAGTACTCACTGCATACAGAAATCACGTGCAAATAAATATGGGGACAAAAATGTGGAATATGATGCACGCGGAAGAGAAAAAATGGATAAAATAAATTAAAAACGTTGTATTTATGTGGTTTTTATGAATATCTTTGAAATATGTATTCACATAAAAATAAACCAAAAATATGTGTTTTTATGTGAAATAAAATTTCGTTTTTGAGTTACTTTTGGCTCATCCGGGACTTTTAACACAGTTTGGGCCTTCTATTGATACGCAAAAAAAATATGTATTTACCTAAGAATCCGCCCCCTATTGATCATATTATGGGTTCGTACATTAGTACAATCAACTTTAGTGATGCATATGTTTCAGTCACAATATTGTCTGCGCCGTCTCATCGATGTATATCGTAATAATTAGCTTATATGTTCACTTTGTCTCTTACAGTGTGACACATACTGCAGCTTATTAGAAAAGGTTGGCAGTTCACAACTTGAGTCTGCTGTGCAATTCATATTCCCGTCCAAAACGTATGTCTTGCATTTGCATTAATTTTTCGTCTATCACTTATCACCTATTCCATCATCCACATTTACTATTTGACAGATTACGGTGGAGACATCTACCGGTGCGCATTGCAACAACACGTCGATTAACCGACGACTGACGTCGCCTAAATATTAACCCACTTCATTTTAAAAATAAGCCATACCCAAGTATACGTGGTTTATACTATTCCTACTTCATTTAATCCATTTGCAAGGTATGTTGGGTTATGTCCCAGTGGGTTAGGTTGGGGGACTAGCCTTAGCTCAAACACCGCCCACTTGAAAAAAAGTCAATAAAATCCCAAAGTCCCAAAAGTTGTGTTCCTTCTTTTTCTTCTGAGCAACCATAAACACACATAGGGGGATATGAATAGATTTTCCTAGGTTTTCAAAAACCTCTGATAAGAAAACTCCTGCCCTGCACCTCAACGGAAGTGCGAAAAAAATTACATTCTCAGTGAAACGTCGGATCTGGTTATTTTGAAACATGAAAATAACAAAACCACAAACTTGAGTTTAAAAAAAAATGTATGCCCAAAACACTGTGTTCCCTAAAGACTGTGTTTGGTCTACATTTGACTCATGCGCGACCACGTTTTGACCGGGTGGGCGTATGTTCAACTGTTCTTAGATGATTTCAATAAGATGTCGTATACAAAACTGTTGGATTTTTTTTCAAAAACTAAATCAGAAATGACCTATCTACCCAAAAACTTAAATAAAGCTCTAAGTACCATTCTTCTAATGGTATTTTTAGAAAACCTAATGTAAACCTTTATTTCTGTTCGAGATAGAACCATCTGCATTCTAGTTTGGTGTTCTGGGACAATGTTAATACCTTTTTTTAACGTTTTCTACCCATATTTCAGAGGTTGGGAATTTATATCAGGACGTTTGCACAAACATATTTGTTTCGGGATTAAATGAAACCAATCAGGGGCCTTAATACTCGGAACAAAATAGTCCCGTTTGGACCTAATAGCGTGAATGAATTTGTGCGATATTAGACCTTTTTGTCAATGAAATAATATACATTTGAGTCCATAACCTGTTTCATACTTTTGAGAAATATTGAACGTTTTTATTGTATTTAGATTTGTGGACAAATGTGGAACAAAAGACAATCACATAAAGAGATGACTACCTCAAATGTTTGCTCCATTGGTGAAAATGACATTTAATCATAAACTCTTGATAGTTCAATGAGAATAAAAAATGCGTCAGATTGCCTCGAATGATCTTGGCACAGTGTTTTTATCGCAAATTTATGCGTAGTAATTGTTTAAAAAAGTTGCACCCACACGAAAATACTCTTAAAACATTGTAAAGCCGTCCGTCAGCAACATTTCAATATAATTCGAGGTGTTGGTAGTATTTTAATGTTCTTACACGATCTGAGATCTTTGTCGTAAGCTCTTAGAATTATATAATATGCATCTTATATCTTCTAAGACACTATTGGCGCCAATTATTTCTCTGCTTGAATTGACAGCAAGCGTGATGAATGAGTACAGGTGTATCTTTTGATTGTATCCGAATAAAAGTCAAAGAAAAACATATTTGTTACCATGTGTAATCTAGTCATTTAAAGAAATATGTGTAATGATGGATTTATTTTCCGGTAATTTATTTTAAAAAAAATAGTACGTCCTTATATACGATGGGAGAATGTATTTTTTAGTTTTTACACGGTAGAAAGAAGGTGGAAGTTTATTTTTTAAGACCAGCGCTTATTGCACAGAACACCTTAATTGCACTTACAATTAATTCTTCAAACTTGCAAACATTTAGCATTTGACAAGATATGCTGTTTGTAGAAGGTCTAATATCTTGTTATCTTTAGTAGAATCTCTAAAAGCCTTGAATGCGGTTCTATACTCCGTCTGTGCATCATTCACATTGATTTGTGTGGACACTCTGAGATATAAATCAATAAACGGGCTTTTCCTAGATCTGCAGAGTATGTTACATAAACATTTACATAGTCGAGTTGTTCATGTGCCATTTAAGACTATCAACGAAAGATTGAAACCATTTTTACAAATTAAATCAATGGTCATTAGTCATTACATAGATGTAATATTTGTAAAAGAATTATTCAACTGTAATCATTTATTGCCAATTTTTGTACCATCATTTTTATATTATAAGATCCACATAATATATTGTTAGTCAATTGCAATACGATTTAACATTAATCCATGTGTAAGTTGGTATTAAATTCTTTAATTAATTATAAAACTGCTCTTGTTTGAACGCATTTTGGATACCTGCCTAGTAAACCGCTTACCTGTTCATTTTGATTGTAATATGGTAGAATTTGTGTTCTCCAAACACTCCATCTTTTGTTAAATATGTACGTTAGTGATTATTTTGTGTAACATTCCATCGGATAATAAAAAAACATTTTGTGCACATTTTCTAATTTCGTATTTTGTTTGTTGGAATTGTGTGGGGAGTGCGTAAAATTGTAGTTGTGTATGATTATAATGCGAATCATTAATGAATGTATAGCAGAACGATATGTTGGCATGTAACTTCAATCACTATTTAATAAATGTGACTAATTAGATGTGTTCCAACTTTTCGTTTCGTGTGCTGTCATCAACTAACACTACCTAAAGTAATTTTTGCCTCAATATCTAAATCATTCACATGTTCCTTTGCTGTGTTATATTATCTATCGCTTTGCAGATGGTGCACTATGGGCTGTCAAGGTAGGTAGTTGATTGACTGCCGTTGCATTATGTTGATCAACAAACAGTAACTGAAAATACAACATGCAACATTGTCTTATGCAGCCATTCACACACGCATACTTTCCTCATACAGTATAGGCAACTAAATTTCGGTCTCTCGCTGGTGCTAGTTGCCCGGCGATTTTACGACTGATGGTCTATTGGTTCATATGGAACTCTTTACATGAGGATACTTTTTTATTGCACTGAAAATGCTTCACCGAAAAAATACCTACCTCACTGTGCAAGCGCAGTTTAGAATGCCCAAAATCTGCCAAGTGTAACAGACTGTATCTCGCATACAATATCCCAGTGTAAAAGGGTACTTAATATATAGACCGGGAGATGGTGACACTTTTTGTGGTGTGATTTGCTACAAGTATGGCGACCATTCAAAGGTTTAATTAATTCACTATTCACTTTCTCATCTGTAATTAGGCTCTGCTGTTAGATGGGAAATAAAATATATTATTATTAAAGATATATTATTATTATTAAAACGAAAATGGTGCTAACTCTCTGGGAGTGGGGCCGTTATTGCGTGACGATTTTTTAAACATGTCTGAAAATTTAATAATTTTGGGCAATTTGCTACACAAAATTCTTTGGATTTTCTGGTAGTCGGTAACAAAGCAAATGACGGAAACGAAATGCCATACTTTTCCGGTGGGCCTTATAGCCCGCCATACTCATTGGAATGTGTCGATTGTTTGTTTTTTTTTTGGGTGATTTGCTACAAGCTCATTTTTTTATGAGCATCAAGTCTTCAATCAGTCATTCACAAAAAACAACCTGCCATACCGCAGCGACGGGCCCGCATAGCCGCCATACCGGCACAAAAATGTCATTTTTGTTAATAATTTTGGGTGATTTGCTACAGTATGGCATTTGGATTTTCCGAAAGTTCATGCTCCACTTTGATCCATGATATATGTGCCATACTCGTCATGAAGGCTTAAGATGGCCCCATACTCGAAAATCTGTTTTCCTAAAACATATTTGTGCTATAACTGGGACAAGCAAGGAACCTTGACGATCTTCTCGCGAGCTTCAGAAAAATGATTTTATTATTAAAAATTGGTAACAATCCATTCAAAAGAATAATTGTTCTAAATTGATTAACTTATCCCGACAAGGTATAATATCGTACTCGCATTTAACAATCACTCGTCATCTGTGTCGGATTCCTCAATATCGTCATCGGTCTCTTCTGTTTCATTCCCATTGCCCTCGTCACTACTCAAATCGATTTGATCTTCATTCTCTTGGTCAATGCGATCCAGAATGATATATCCGACAGTAGTGGGCATGACGTCGCCGTCGAACCAATTAAATTCATAATTATCTGGGTCTGTTAACTTCCATCCGTAATTTTCAGGACTATATTATGTTGATGGGTATTTCAGATGCGCAGTGCCAACTTTCTTAATTATGAAAGCATTTAAATGAAATTTGATACATATATGCGCATAGAATAAAAGCAAATGTAACAACAGCCAACAGCTGAAAAATTTGGTTTTGAACATGCTATAGCCATACCCAGGAGCTCGTTTGCTATATTTGTTTAAACGTTTATTATTATTAGTGTTACTTTAATTTGTATAATGATCAAATTTTCAATACAACCATTGAATAATAAATCTGAATAGAAGGTCAGTGAGATAGGAGAAAAGGTGGCCAGTTTTTATTATCTAGAATGTGCTGGTATCGTACGGCAAGTAACAAAACGTGATTAAAGGAAACTCTTCAACATTTTTTAATTAATATAATATAGCCGAGATACTCACTTCAAAATGAGTAGAGAGGTGAGAGAGAATGTTTTGACTACGGTGACATCATGCCATTGATAAACTTACGCACGTAGGTAACTGGATACCTTTGATACAACGATCGTCTAAATATAGTTTTCAGATGAATATTCGACTTAATTTTTAAGTTCTTAATTCAATAATAATAACAACGTTGTTGCAGAACGTAAAAAGTCAATTATTGGAGACAAGATAATTAGACAATAATACCTATGCTATAATATGATAGAGTCCGTTCACTTAGTCAAAAATGAACCAATTTTTTTACGTATTGTGCGTCAATAATCAATTGTGCTCAATAGTGCATTTATGCCACCGTTTGTGCCTTTTTGGTTTTGGAGATAATAGGACAAATGCATTGGAGGCTAAGTGAACGCCCCCCCCCCCCCAAAATTAAACTTTGTTTATTGTTCAACGACGGTATTGCGTAGTACTTCGATTGTTCGTAATGGTGCTTTTATGCTCACCGTTTGTACCTTTTTGGTTTCGGAGATTATAGGAAAAATCAAATGGGGGCAACTGAAATCGTAATTTTTTTGTTATTTGTGACATTTTCAACTAACTACATACGAAATTAGATCATTCACTATTAGTTTAGTAGGCGAGAGACACTTTGTAACCCCAAGGCCCATTCTTTAAACGACGAGTACGTACACTATAACTTTTGTTTGAAAAGTTATTTTAAAATTTTGTTCCTTAACTCATCCAGTATGTACACAATCAATTTCGTGGAATTCTCTCCATTTTCGTTGCCCGGCCTAGAATTGCAGTGGAACTTTTTTTTCGAATTTTTAAAAACTAATTCCAGATTCGTGATTTTCATGTTCAAATCCCCCAGGCACCAAATTTCGTCGAAGCAGGAGTGCGCCCTTCCGTGGTTGGAATTTTGAAAATGTTTTTTCAAAATCGGAAAGGGCATACCCGAAAACCTAATCAAAAACGTGTCACTCATCTTTGTAACTGTTGTGTAATGATCGTTTCAGTACGCACGTGCGCCGTGCGGGTTAGGGAAGCGATGGAAGAATGAAGGGACACGTTACGGAGGACGGCAGCGACCGCGCGGTACGGCAGTAGTGCTGTCGCTTGTTTACTTACATGTTTTCTATAATATTAATAATTATGTTTGTGTGCCAATTGCGTTGAGCAGTTTGTTGCTGCCCTTTCTTCCAGTAAGACAATACTAAAGTAACTCTTATGATTGCTGAGAAAAAAATTAAAGAACTCCAAATTTCACCACTTCTTTGGGGGTGACTCCCAAACAAAACACGTTTGACCCTCGGTTTATTTGAAAAAAAGTGCTTATCTTGAACCCCTCGGCCCTCTTATCACCCAATTTTCACCCTGTATAACAAACTTTAAATGACATCCTTACCTTTCCATGTCTGTATATATTACAAGTTTTAGTTTTTGTTAAGATGATTTCAGATATTTTCAATCGTCAATTTTCACTTAGCCCCCATTTGATTTTTGCTATTATCTCCGAAACCAAAAAGACACAAACGGTGCGCATAAATGCACAATTGGGGCACAATACATAAAAAAAAATTGGTTCATTCTTGGGCTAATGGGGGGCTAAGTGAACGGACCCTATGATAAATGTATGTTCTCTTGATTTATTTTTTCACGGTAAAAAACATTCCATTCAATGCGATTGACGACTGCGTCTTTTCTCTTGCTATGGAAATTCATAATAGCTTTGAAATTTCTTATTCGATCCGTAAACTTAAGAGGCCGTTCTCTGCATACGACTAGGAAAGTGCTTCAATAGAAATTATATGGGCCGAATAGCGTGTCTAGGTGTGGGACTTAGTATAACGTTTTGAGTAAATTGGATTCTATCCCGTGTTGTTAGGTGCCGATGTAAAGATAAAGGACACATCTATGCCTCTATTGTAACAGATTTTTGATTTAATACTCGAATTTTGCATAAATAATTGTAGAAGTACTTGATATTTATGGTATTTTCGGGTGCCGTAATTATTAATATTTAAAAAATATCAAAAATCTGTTACAAGAGAGGCGTAGAAAGAGGTTTTAGAATCAAAAGTGCCGGCATGGCGTTTTCGAGTCTTAGTTTCGTAAAAGTGCAATACAATTTCTTTCATGAAGCCGATTTAAAAAACCTTTCATTTCATATCATAATAGATTATATTGCACTTCTCTCATTTGAATGTTAAAGTTGTTGTTTAAAGTAGTAGTACTTAATTCCAAATTTTGTCTCAAAAACATGTTATTTGTGCATTTATAATTTATATACGGAAACAGCAATTAAACAATATCTGTAAATGCTCGCACAACTGACAGTATATTGCATATTCTGAAATATTCCAAAACATTGTCTATAGGTACAATAATAGTAAAGTTTAATTTCGATCTCAAAGTCTACATAAGGTAAGATCGTTTGAATCAAGATTTACTTGTAAGTTGATAACTTTGATGTCATTTCCTTAAGAGGTGTGCAAATAATAACATGTATTACGTAAGCATAAGTTGGTAAATACAGAGATAATATTGCAATACGATCTTCACGTGCTGTTATAACTCCCACACAGTCTACGAGATAAGTACGCGAAAGTAGCGTCATCTAAAGAAATATAATCACTTTGATTCAGTTGAGTAGGTGGTATAAAACCTCGATTAAAATTTAGTTACTTTTAATAAGCGGAGTTTGTCCCAGAGGGCAACCTACGGAGAAACTCCGTTAAAGTGGACCCTTCAAAAAGCATTGCGTTGTCTTTCTATTCAGATTTATTATTCAATGATACAACAATACAACTGCCCTGAAAATTTTATCAAAATTGATCAAAGTATACTGGGTGTTCAGATACTTATGGCGGGTAGTATAAACTTGAAGGCAGCTGCTACCTACTACCTGTGATCCATCGAATGCAATGCAGAACACAACGACCCCGTCCGGGACCTCTACAACTTGACTAAGAGGTTCGAGTGGGGCGGAGAATATTAAGCGACATACCATCTCGTGATAACACAAGATTGGCCCGGGATTCGTGTTTGAAACTTGATATTTACTTTTATTACACCTCAAACTGTCACGAAAAATTGGTGCCATACTGTAGCAAATCGCCCAAATTTTCCGAAAATTCTTACATTTTTGAAAAAATATTACACATAATTGGCCCATGCCACAGGTATGGCGTATCGAAATTTCTATGTCTGACTATAATAATAATAATAATGTATATTTTGCCCAACAGATGAGTATCCAATTAACGGACAAAATCCATATAACAAATAAGCAAGCAAGTAACAAAAAGAGAAATTTAAATATATGAGTAGAATAACGTTACATTTTGCGATGTTTAAGGAAAGGTGATTTAGTTTACACCACTCAGAAATATTATCAATTTGTTCTTGTAATATGCAACAGTCTTTCAATGAGGTAATAGGATGGAATATTTTTAAATCATCAGCAAATAACAGCTTCTCGCAAAAAATAACATTACTGATATCATTAATGTATAAAAGAAATAAAAGGGGGCCGAGGTTAGAACCTTGGGGTACACCCGATGTTGGCAAGTAAATCCTAGAATTGTAATTATTATGACACATACTGAGGGCGATTTTCTAGGTAGGACGACATAAGGCAAAGTAAATTGTTATTAAAGCCAAATTTATAAAGTTTATAGAGTAAAATTCTATGACTAATCCGATCAAATGCCTTCGATATATCCATATATAAGACATCAACCTGGCCCTGGCTATAAAAATAACTGGTGGAAAAAATTATAGGGTGTATCAAATCGCCCAAAATTATTAACAAAAATGACATCTTTGTGCCGGTATGGCGGCTATGCGGGCCCGTCGCTGAGGTATGGCAGGTTGATTTTCGTGAATGACTGATTGAAGACCTGATGCTCATAAAAAAATGAGCTTGTAGCAAATCACCCAAAAAAAAACAAACAATCGACACGTTCCAATGAGTATGGCGGGCTATAAGGCCCACTGGAAAAGTACCTATGGCATTTCGTTTCCGACATTTGCTAAGTCACCGACTACCAGAAAATCCAAAGAATTTTGTGTAGCAAATTGGCCAAAATCATTAAATTTTCCGACATGTTTAAACAATCGTCACGCAATAACGGCCCCACTCCCAGAGAGTTAGCACCATTTTCGTTTCGAGGAGTACTTAATTAAACCTTTGAATGGTCGCCATACTTGTAGCAAATCACACCACAAAAAGTGTCACCATCTCCCGGTCTAATACTTACACATAAGATTTTTTGAATGTATTTACATTTACGTTAACATTCAAAGTGAAATTTGATGGGTTAGGGATTGGGATTAAATATTACACAAAAGTACATTGGAGTTAGTGATACCAAACAACAAATGATTTTTCAAATTTATTAGTAATAATTCTAATAAATAAATAAGTGTATTTTGATTAAATTATTTATTGCAACTAATATTAATTTTAACTGCAATTAATTATACATAGGCACTGATTGGAATAGGATTGTATACTACAGATCTATGTAATCTGCATGAAATATATTAACAAATTTGATTGGTGTTACTTTTTATTAATGATTCTATTACATCCAGCACGCAGGAGTGTTATACATTATTGTATCATATATTGTGCTTTAGCCATCTACATTTACTATTACAGTAAAAGCATATTTGTTTGTTGTATAACAAATCAAATAATTCAAGCAAAAATTAACCCGACAATAAACAATATTTGTCATATTACACAAAGGCTGTGATTGTAACTTTTCGTTTTCAAATTTCTGCAATATATACATATAGAGAGTCATAAAGAGAAAAGTAAATGAATTACTATCTTATATTTTAAATTCTACTATATTTGACTTTCTCTTATCTTTGCTCACTAAGCAATTATTAGTCTCTTTAAAAGTATCCCCAAAGTTGGTAGTGCCTTCTGTTAAGATTTCTTAAATTACTTATGTTGGTAAATGGTAAAACATATCCCAAATATCCAGTTTTCTTTGGATAGCTTGTTTACTTATTTGATAAATGACTTTTGATTAAAACAATTACAATTGCAATTTCCATTTCAAGAAAATTAGCGCTTTGTAACGCGCTAATGAATTGGGTGATTATAATGCATCACAACTTTTGTTATTTTCATCTTACAAATGCTAGTTTTTATTCAAGTCATTTTGCTGAAAAAATTATAATCTGGAGCAGTACTTCTTTATTTGTATGTAGAAAATACCAGAACCATAGCCCTTTGATTTATAATCTTAAGCTATATTTTTAATTTACAAAAAAAATATGGCACATCTCACCACAAACCTGACTGAATAGTTAATGAAACTATTATGGCATAGTCATGGAGAAGAGCACAATCCAGCATGTTCATTTTGTTGATTTAACAAAAGTTTCTAGTTTTGTTCAAATCATTTCCTAAAAAAATGCCACGGTAGAAAAATTACAATAAAATCAGAATTCAGAATTAAATGGATTTTCAAATTATACTTCATCGTGCTACTTCAACAACATTTTCTTCATCAGTTGGAGTATAATTTGTTCATTTAAGCGGAAAAACCTATGACCCATTACAGCAGTAATTGCACATAAGTTCCTACCCGCCCTGAAAATCACAGACACTAAACATTTAACCAGCATTACAAATCTTATACAAAAAATTCACAGCGAAAATTGTTATTTCTAGCATATCACATTGCAAGGAGAAAATGAATTACATCACTTATTTCATATACAGAGAGATTATTTTACGAGAATGCAGGGAATTTTTCTTAAATGTATACATATTGATCACTCGTTTTGCTCTAAACCTAAAGCATTCGTTTATTGGTCCACCAAAAAGTGAAGAGAAGGTATCGTTTTTTATTACAAAAGAGAGTGCAGGAGGAACGCAAGAGACGTGATCATGCGGTCAAGTTTATTTTAACCTAAAAATTAGCCTTTGTCTTCTCTGATTGACTGTTTCGGTTTGCGATTTGTTTCATAAAAGTGTTAACGTGGTTTGTCGCGTGTAATGTTGGTTGCCTACAGCCAGTGGCGGTTTCTCAATAAGTGCACATCAGCACGTGTACTCCCAAAAATCATTTAAAAAAAAAAAAGAAAACAACAAATTTTATTTATGTATTTAACATTCTTGCACTTCGTATCTCGCAATAAAAATAGTTCACTTATCTTATCTGAAATGCAAAACCTAAGTACACTGACACACTGCTGAACGTGTATTCCCATTCCGACTTTGCGTGCAGTGCACAATTAGCTACCATCTCTGATTCGTTCAAACGCTACGTCGCCTTTGCCCGTGCGCCCAGCGAGTGTCCAAGTTGTAAACTATAGTAAGAGCACACTCTCAATGTGAACAGTATTCGCCGGACTACGAAGTCGGGCTTGTTGCTCGTTTCGGTTTTAAAAAGTAACGTTCCGACGTTACCGTTCATTATTTAAAGACAATTATTAAATTTCATTTACTAAAATTAGAAGATCAAATTAAAATAAAAAATGCGGGTCGCCCAAAACCGAGTTTGGAAATATCGAAAATCAATAAAGAAAGTTGGGATTATAAACGATCGCTTACAATAGACATGTATGAAAAAACTGACTGGTTATGCGGTTGTACCTTTAACAATAGTCTGTATTGTTTTCCGTGTTTGTTGTTTGGTGATGAGCTCGGTGATGAGGCATCAGAATATTCAGAATGGACAAAGAATGGCGTTACAGACTTAGTGCATTTATCCGAAAAAATTAAAAAATATGAATCTTCAAAGGCACATACCTATATCTGCTAAATTGAAATTTAATTTATTAGGTAAGCAAGATATAGGTACATACGGCAACAGTTAAATAGTGCATAATTATCGTTTGAGTATCAAAAAACGTAATGAGGAAGTAAAAAAGAACAGGTATGTTTTATCCAAAATTATAGACCGTATAAAATTTTGTGGTGCTTTTGAACTTGCTCTCCGCAGCGATAACAAACGAGAAAATTCAATAATCCCTGGAGTATTTAGAGGTCTCATCAATAAGCTTTTTTATGCAATTTAATAGGCCCTTTTTTTTAATTGTGCACCCCCAAGACACACCACTACGCGCCGCCACTGCCTACAGCCATCTATTCCATGCATTGGCATGTTTTTTTTTATTAACGTATACATAGACCATATGTATAAATTTAAGAAAAATTCCCTGTATAATTCTCCTATGCATCCTTGTGACAAAGCATTAGACAATTAATCAAATAGCATCTATTAACAAATGATATTCAGAATTTTATCCATCGTGGACATTTCTACTACAATATCATTAGCAAGTGCTATAAAGTTCACAAAGGAAACAAATGTGTGACAGACTACCTAAAATCTATAATGCTTTGATGTGACATGTTTAAAAGAAATTCCTCAGTATACAAATTGGGAGAAACTGTGAAATGGGTGTAATTGGAGTTTGTGGAAGTACAGAATTGACCACTTTTGATCAAACTACTCAAGATAAATGGCTGACAATCTTTTCAAAGGCGTTAAAACTGGGTTGTGCGTTCAATATATAATGGTAGTTCAGCTGATTTGAAGTTTTCACTTAGCGAGCCAGGAAGTCATCATCATCAAATCATCTAATGAGCTAATATCTAAAACATTTAGTACAGCCTCTAATTATCGTTGTGAGCAACGTGTTATCACATTAATTAGCAATTAAGGCCCCATTTAAAAAAATAGTGTCTTGCACATCTTTTTTGAGCAAATTATAAAATAGTAATTCATTTAAAATTCGTAAAATAAGGGGTTTATTTTATACATTTTTGGGAAAATAAATAGAGGTTTTTTATAAACTTAAATTCGTGAGAAGTTAATGAATAATCCAGTCTTTAAGGTAATAATAGTGATAATATTACTAAATAAATAAAAACAATAAACATTAACTGTTACTAAGAAGCAACAAAAACTTACTATTAATATAAATGGTCAAAAAATAAATTGTTCTAATTGGACAGCCATATTTACGAATTTAATTGAGAAGGCACGAGGAAAGCTCGATATACCACTTAGTCACTGGTTGCTCATAAAAATGGGTTACTAGAAAATTCGTTGGCGGTCGACGACCCTGTCTAAATACAGATAGATAGATGTACAACTTGTAGTATATTAGCGTTAGAAACTTACCGTGAACGGATTGGACCACCCACTACCGTTACTAGACGGAAAAGCGGACGTGAAAAAATCGGATGTGTTAGCTTTTATGTTCGTTGTTCGAAATGGATTACTATTACACGGATTCGATTGTTCTAGAGATTCGCCCCAAGTTACATTACCATTAAACGGATTAAAAACTTTGGATGTATCTGACTGTGTAAATGGACTTACGAATAGATCTGAAACAAAACCTGCCCAGTCACAGACCACCATGTTTCTAACCAGGTGCTTACCTTGACTAGGTGAATTAAACATAGTTGATTGAGGAGAAGGAGAACTGTACACTGAGCTAGGAGTAACGGAAGAGGAATTATTTGATCCTGAACTCCAATCTAATTGTGGTTGACTTTTAAAAGCATTGTCTAAATCTTTTAAGGCGGCATATCGATCTACAGCTGGCGGCAAAGGTCCATTTTGATTTAATTGCGTATTAGTACTACCGTTAAATGTCAAGGCACCTGCAAGTAAAGTTGTTCGTTTTAAACTGGAACCGATAACACAACGTACCGTTACTGTTAAAGGCAGTATTGTTATCAAAGTTTGCAAAGGCCATTTGGATATCACTGGTATTATTATTTTTTTTATCTTTTTCCACACTGACAGCATTGTAAATATCGGCACTTCCAAAATCGGCTACAAAATCGAATCCATTCACATTTTTACTCTTTTTATCACTAATCAATCCATTTATTGGATGCAGTGGGACATGCGTTTTATACTTTGGTTCTTGTGGTTTACTAACGACGACCGATTGAGGAGCTGTTTCAAAGCCATTTGTAATTGTCGTTGTCGGAAGAGGAGCGTCCATATAATATCGCTTCAGTTCGTATTTTTCTACCATAAAGTCGCGGGTCATTTGCTCATCTCTATTTGTCAGGCTGTCCCCTTCATATAACCCCAGCCACGTACTTCTGCAATACTTATTACCAGTCATTCGAAGTACATCCATCTCTCCTTGTGTAAAGGAAGCCATAGATATGGATTTTACCCGATGTGGTGGGGTTAAACCTCTTCTGCAAATAAAAGAAAAAATTACTAAAAACAGGTCGTGTTATTTGCATTTGTTTAAAAGACTTTATGTATATAGCCAATTAAAAGAATTTTATCAATTCAAAGGCGTGCTTTTAGAACTATAACTGATCTGGATTACAGAGCTTGCTGTAAACATAAATTTATGGAACTTATGTATCTATATATTAAATTGCATATTACACATTGATTTACCAATTGCATAATTTATCATAGCTTTTGTTTTGACATCACCAATGGATATATTTCTTGCAGACGTCTCAATCGTAGGGTCGCACTGAAGTGCTCTGCCGCCTTTTTAGATTCGTTTTAGGGGTTTATTTTGATTTTGTTAAGATTGTGGCAGTGTACAGGGTGGTTCAAATTCGTGGCCCATCATTAGGATCTCCATAACGTGTACAGCTCAGTGTATAGCGTAGTTGCTCCTTTTTTTTTTACTAAAAAAACGCATTTCATATTTTTGAAAGTTCTTTAAAAATAACCGAGACAGAGGTTAGAGCCTTAAATGGCCACTTTTTTTCGGAGAATCTGATTCTGTATCAGAATTTCCATAACACGCTAGATGCAGAAGATATAAGCTGCTTTCTTATGGACACGAGACTGCATTTTTACGGAGTGAGATAGAGGACAACAAAAATTCATTTGAGTCCATGGCTATCATAGCCATGTTGATTCAGCAAGATCTAGTTACCCGTGGATGTTTTGTTGAGAAGTGAATGTAAAACATTTGATTTGGAAATTTTTCTTGTAAATTTATGTAAAAGTATAGTGTGCCACGTCATTTGCCCTCTTATCTCATTCCGAAAAATCCAATATAGGTACACCATAACGGATTTTTACCTTAAGAAATAAGAAAGTCCTATTCTCCGAAAAAAAGTGCCCATAAAAAGTGCCGACTAGAACCGTCAATTTTCGACCTTTTACTCTAGGGAACTTACAAACAAAATTTGACATCTGCAGTTTTTCGGCAATATCTCACTTATTTTCAATGATTTTTCAAAAATGTCAATTGCGTTTTTTAGTCACGAAAAGGGGCAACTTTGTCTCTATTTAACCTACACTGTATCTCTCACAGCTGCGGAGATTTCAACGGTAAGCCACGAATTGAAACCACCCTGTATGTACATAAGGGATAAAGGATGCAAGACTGTCAAAGTTTTTTTAATATCTGTTATGCTATTGCAACCGGTTCCTCTATCCGTCCGTCCAAGGTCTTAATTACTCAGTTTTCAAAATATTTAGTTCGTTCTTTTTGTATTCGGTAGCTCTGGCACCTGAGCCAAGAAAAATGTCAACTTTCTTATTTATAGTATATTTTTTGAAATGTTTACTGTAGACTCTTCTAGTAAAAGAAAACATACCACAAAAATCAAAAGTGCCCAATGTCAATTTTATTACTTCTAAAGATTTTTTAAATTTTAATTACAGATGCTTCTATTAAAAACAAACTTATGGTATATAGTATAAATTACTCTATGCGACATGTTCGTCTGGGGTTAAAATTTCAAACAACTCTCTCTATACATAAAAATGTTAACATTGCACAATCTGCGCATGCGCACATCTGATTTGTTTGCCTTCACTAGAAGTATTTGTGATGAAAATTTAAAAAAATACACCGCGTACATTCATCGTCAAGATTTTTAATGCACTTTCACTTTCAAAAAATAAAAAGTGCACTTTTGCGCTCTTGATGTCTGTCTGTCCGAGTCACAAAGGCTCGGGAACTACTCCACTTACAGACTTGGTGTCATTCGATCAAAAATTACTTCATGTTTGTATTCTTGTTAAGGCATGAAATATCCATAAGGGCTATTAAAATCGAAAAAACAAATTTCTCTTCGCCTCTTGCTCACAAGCGGCGTAACGAATTTTTCTTGGCTCGGTTGCCAGTTATAAGCTATCAAAAAAAAAAACGAACGAAATATATTGAAAACTGTAGGTAAGGTCTCGGACGGACAGGCGGACAAAGAAAGTAGGTGCAATAACGTACCCACCTTCGTTGGAAAATGCGCTCGTGAATTCTTTACAAATGTGTTGCAATCAGAATTTTTTACGCATGCATTTTGCATTGTAGCGTGAAGTAAATTGTACCTACCTAGAAAGATAATGGAAAACGAACAGCGTACGCACGATTTTGTCAAACTAAAAATTAAATTTCATTTAAAACCTTTTATCAAACCTGAAATTGTAAAAAAATACAAAATTCTCTGAATGTTGATAGACGAATGAATCTACGTAAATACGAGCGTAAATATAATCAGTACTATACGTAAACTAATGCGAACTTTACGGAAAACTGATAGTTTCAAGTTTCGGAGGAGTCTGTTTCGCATAATACAAAAAAACTGGACCGTACATCATTTCGTGTAATTTATTCATTAACGTCCCGTAAGGACACAATTTTAACGTCAATATGTGCAAAAAACTTTAATTTGACCCCAAGGTGAAAACGTTTAAAAAGTGGGACGTTTTTTGGCGGGTTATTTAACATTTGAAATCGCGCCTCTTATTACATCACAACTGGTAGCTAAAATAACCTTCAATCGATTTTAGTCTAAGTAAATAACGATTAAATGATCAAAAGTCAATCACATATCGTCTATTTAAAAAAAAATATTTAATATAATAGTTGGTACTGTTAGTTTATTATGCTTGTAATTATTCTAGTCTAAACTTGGTTTGTTTGCTATGATTAATGTTAATGTTTGTAGATACTTACTGTTAGTTTGCTCATTTATCTTAGCACCGCAATAATCGAGACAATAATTATAAATTATTCATTTAAAAAATTGGAAAACATTTTTCAAAAAGAAAATCACATTTCTCAAATGACGTTGCATGTTTCCCCAAAACATTGGGGAAGCTTCAACTTCTACCTTAGCTTTAAATTTGAGAATCGTTTCTATTATAGGCGAATACAGTTACCCGATTATCGAAACCCTGAAAGTGTAAATTTGCCTCGAAATTTGCTAAACAAAAGTCGTCAATTTTTTGCCAAATAAATTGGATAAAATGGCTGGTGTGAAGAAAGTATGTCGATAACAAGATAAACATCTCATAGTGAGATTCATGCAAAGAAAAAGACAAAGCGGCGCAATATTCCCACATTTCTGAAAATATACTAGAAATACATGCAGTTTTAAACAATTCCAGTGTCTGCAATGCGAAATGCTGATTCGTCTTATGCAATCACTTACACTTTGCTGGATTAACAAGCGCAATTTGAGAAGGTTATTACGAAATGTCCGTATCTATTATTCTGCATTGTGAGAAATGTTCATATATTCATTTTGAATTCAGTCTATTGTATATGTATTACATTTTTAATTCAATGCTGCAAATGTTCAATCAATCAGTGATCTCATAGATCAGTGTCCATTTCTAAAGTCATTCTGTATCAAGTCAATATGGATCAACCACAGAGAAATTGTAACTAGATTAATGAAAACAACATTTTGGGCTTTAAGACACCAATCCAAATTATTGGAGTGCAGAATTCTAATTTTTTTGCATATAGTCTACTCTCTAAACATATCGGACAGTCAGTAACAAAAGAGCTATTAAAACTTGAATGATACAGAAAGACAGACTTCGTTTCCAACACGGTTTAAACTTTTTAGTGAAATTCCACCGCAGACAACTTTTCATCAGACAAATTAACTATTCAAATTTCAACACTCTACAATGTCCAATAAATGTTCAAAACCAAAACGGATCCACCCTCTACTCAAAATCAATCACATTTGCAACAAAAATTCGAGAAAATTTCCAACATTTTCGACAATTTATTACACGTGAATTTCTTATAGTCATTAGAGAGCATTCACTGGTCTAAATTTACAGATATTTTTAAAAAGAACTCGAAAAAGAAGCATGTTTCAATACAACAATTTCTATACGATCCGATAAATCTAACAACCCTCTCAAATTACTTGTACCGAGAGGCAAACTGTATAAACATTCGGAGTTCCTGTAAAAATTAGTATACCATGTAGACCATTAACAAAAATAAATGACAATATACAAGGTTTCCCATTGTCGACATTTTTACAGGGTGTCTCCGTTATTTTTTACTGCTATCAAACAAATTTCTAAAAAAGACGTCATGTGCTCTTCTTGGCTCACACATAAAATGGCACAATCAAAATTTGAAAATATACGTTCGGTTACGAGATACGAGAGCAAATCAAAAATTGTCAATTTCAGATCGACCCTATATTTTCTTGCATAAAGAAGTTTTTGATTACAAAAGTGTGTACTTGATTAATAATCTGCCGTTTTCAAAATAAATATACGATGTCAACAAAAGAAGTTACCGGACCTAACCTCATTTTTTAAAAAGAACACCCTGTATATTTTAATCTAATAAGATATCATATTCCCTTTTTAAAAATATAACTCACTAAGGATATTAAAAAATACAAGTGATTCAAAAAATTAAAAAAAAATTGAATGAACTTCTTTTAGTTTCTTTAGCACTTTTTTACCTTGATAAAAAAATATTCGAAAAAATGCAAAATTTTTTTTAATCGCTGATATATAATTTATTGAATATCACATCCTTAGTGAGTTTTATTTTTGAAGGTTGTCTCATTTAAAAAATGAGGTTAAATGTGATAACTTTTTACCCAAGTCCGTATACTTATTTTAAAAATGGCAGATTATTCGACAATCATTATAAAAAAACTTTTGTAATTTATCTGTATATTTTCTAACTACAAAAATATAAGGTCATTCTGAAATTGAACATTTTTAGATTTCCCCACGTATGTCTTAAGCTGGTGAAAATTTTCAAATTTTGATTTTAACATTTTAAATGTGATCCAAAACAGCACATTACATACTTTTTTGATGGCACTATTTAATTGACGTGTCGAGGATATCCTTATCCTGGACACAGTGTATACCTACAATAGCAAAATTCACAAGCAATTGCGATATTATTTTGCTTCTAAACAGAAACTTTTCACTGTCGTTATTTCATGCTCTTCTCTGTTCTCTTTTTACCCATGTTTATAGCCAAGTTTGTCTACCATCAAGTGTCTTCAATAAAATGGTAAAAATCTATTTCAACCTAACTGCATGTTGTGTAAGTATGTAATATTCTAAATTACTATGATACACTTGTTAAATACATATAAATCCCATAAATACAATAAAAATGTTGAGCTTGCACATGCGCAATCAATTTTTTAACATTTGCACCGAGATCTGCACATAATAAACAATTGCCAACGTAACAACCATGGCTTCCAACAACGCCAATGCTCTGGCTCCATCAATGCATTTATCTGCTTCCTAAACCAAATTGGGATTTAGATCAAGATTTTGGGTCTCTCTGCACCCAAAAATAACGAACCAAATAACCCTGTATATACAACCTACGCTGATGCACACATTTTTGAGAGATGGCAACCACGCGACATTTGACAAGCAGAGAAAAGATGTCTGCACCGTCTGGGAGAGCACCGATTCTTCTTACGTTACAAGCATCTTTGTTTTTAACGGCGGTTAAGACAGCATTGTTCCATAAAGTTTGTTGTTATTTAATGCAGGTAGTAATGTTTGCATTTTTTGCAACATTTTGTTTTTTTTTAGTAGCATTTTTTTATTACGAATACAACGATATACAACACACAAAAAAACAAAAGTTAGAAAATGTTGGTTTCAACAGGATGGTGCACCCGCACACAACGCCCTAATCGTGCAAGAAGAGAATGCCATCTGACAAATTTCCTATTAAATTTGTCCTACGCCATTTTTAGCTATCTGTATTCTATTGAAGCTTGCAACGACAACTGTCCTGTAATTTTTGCAATCTACTTACCAGACGTAAAAAATGTGTTGCAAAGCAATATCAAGTAATTAATTAAAATATATATTTGTACCTTAACAGTAGTAGGTTCAGTTATTTTTAGCTCTATTGAAACCATGGTGGCGCCCACACAAATTTTTAATCTGAAAAGCTAGACCTCAAGCAAAGGTCCAAAATGAAACATATTTGGCCTTCTCCAATTATTAGATATACAGTGTGCCCCAAATGTATGGTATAATCGAGGGTATAATGGATTTACCCAAACTTTTTATAACATTTAAACTCTGCATCATTTTAAAAGGTATTACTTGACCAATGTAAAAAATTAATAATGAACAGGATGTTCCATTAGGAAATATTTTAACTCCAAATGGTTTACCACTATCAAAATTTTTTAATGTGAAAATGTAGGGAATATGTTTTTATGTGGCTGGAAATACTTACCAAAGAAATAGCACAGAAAGAACTTAACTGGACTGAATAACCCAAAAATATAACAATAATTACTTACCTACTACTGCCTGAGTATAATTAGTAACTAAATTGACAATGGTGAGAATTGCCAGTCATTTTCTCATGACTGGCGAGACCGGTGATGTAAGACTTTATTGAAAAAGAAAGATACCACCTAGGTTCCCATGGTGATGCTAAAACTTGAAACCATCAGCCATATTTGTTGCAAATAAGTAAAATAAAAACTTTAATAAAATGATTTTTATTTTCACATAGTAACCCAAGGTTGGTCTTGCCTGCACTTCTGACATGGAAGCATGCAATTACCAGTTTAAAGAGGCAAACTGTTACAAAACCGTCAAATAAAAAGTCAGTTCTGCACATGCGCACGCCCAATTTAAATGTACAAATCACAGGAAGAAATGCTCTCAAAATAACATAAAATCTACAGATCTCAGAATATTCATCACACCCACACCCACTATAAATTGTGCCTTCTTTATTGCCCATCTCAAACTTAAAGGAGTTCATACAGTAACCTTCTCAATACATCCCACCAAATACTTTAATATAACCTACTAAAATTTATAACAGAAGCATGAAATGTGAGATAAAGTTCCATACACCAGACAACTGTCTGTATAGTAGGGGTGATTCGACATTGTATATGAGTGGTTTTACGAGACTATCAGTCATAAACTTCCTGCAATATTTAATCTGTCTACATTCTAAGAACTGTAATCAGCCCACAGCTACAGCATAGTTAACTATATTGTTTACACAAGAATTCGCATGTTTTTGTATAATCCACGTATCAATTGACCGAAACCCGACAGTACACAGGAATAGCTGATAAACTTGACCATTAATTAGGCCGCAGACAACAAATTTATAACGGCAGAGATAAGCAATCGAGAACGTATTTCGTTCATAGAAGAGAGATGTTAATTATTGACTAATGATTGGCGTATTTGTAAAGTCCATCAGATAATTTAAAAATGTAGCACACTAAACAAATCGTAGTTGCTCAATAGTTATTTGTAAATTTTAATAGGTTACAACTCAAATATAAACGGGGTCAATTCAATGCGGAATTGCACATAAGGGTCAACACTTTTAAGCCACCCTTACAACATTTTTCCCAATTTTAATAAGTTAGGTTAAAGAAAAAAATTTCAACTTACAGTAATCCGGAGCATTTTGTGCACACGAAAGAACCAATTGTCACATTTACGTATGTAGGTCCTCTTTGATTGCAGTCGAAACAGTATTTATTATGCGGTAAAGATGCTAAATCTCGCAGAAGTTTTAAATTTTTCTCATCTTGTTTTTTGCGAGAGGACGCCATTTTCTATATTGTTTTTAATTACGCACTAATAAGTCTATTCTTTTGTGTTGTCACACTCGCAGACCATGTGGTTAAAACAAAAGAACTGCGGCTAATCGTATAGTGAATCACCGCTCACTGCACGATCTTCGTGCTCATTTTGATTTGAGTGTTTTAAAATTCTCGGTGAAATAATGACTCATTCATAAAGTCATTGAATTTAATTGTTGGGATTTTCATCAAATAGAAATTTCATTTTGGTATTGACGACGTTTGCGCCATCTATGCACATATTTATGGATTAGTGGTAAAAAGGCGTAATTGTTTATTTCAATTTATTTTGTCACTTATTTTTGGATGCATGTTATCGTCGCAGACGCCAGTCACCAGTGTAGTATTAATCAATACAAATAATACAGAAATACGCACTGGTTGTTTTCCAAAGCGGAAAAACGCCTGCGGTTATGCAAATCTCAAGGCACCTGATCAAACGGTACAATGTTAATCTTGACTGGTCCGACTGGTCGATAATAATAATAAATAAGAAGAAGAAATAAGTTGCGAGTTTCCATGAACAACTTCCACTTGTGTCATCAAAGTTCAAAATAAACATGAGTATTTTTTTCGTTTACTACCTATAGGGTGATTTTTTAGTCCTGTTATCCAATTTGTAATAGATCATATAATCTATTAATCTCTGTTAGTTAGCTTAAAAATTGTCATTTTTTCTGGCTGAGGAACACTAACAAATTTAAATTGGAGTGATTCTTGTACACTCGTGTACGATTTTGTAGCAAAATGTTATCCAAGAATGAAACCCGTTATTCTAGAATCTAGGTGTTCCATGAGAATGAGAAGATTTTGGGTTTTGTGAGGGGCGCGCCGTCATCTTGTGTTCCAGACAAAATTTCCACTGCATTATATATCTATCTAGATGACATTGACAAGAACAAATTTCAAAAACAACAAAAAAAGTATATATTCCGGCAAACACATTTCGACAGCAAAGTTAGAATCATTCTCAAACAAACAAACGGCTCTTACGTACAAAACTCTTTGTTTTGTCAAAGATTAGTATTATCTTGTTTATTTATTAAGATGGATATTTTGGTTTTGTGCAATTTTCTTCCCGCCATAGTGTAACACAACATTCTATTCGTACCACCCATAGAATTATGGTAATTCTATGGTACCACCCAATCCGAATTATGGAGATTTGAAAGTGGTACGAAACGTTCTACATTTTGATATGAAATTCATGTAATTTTTGCCAGTGTTGCCGACTGTAACTACAGGAAAAGTCAAGATTTCAACGCTGGATATAGGTATGATCATTGTATATGGTATTTTTAATTTAACATTTTATTTCTTTAATCATTTGTTGCATTCATCAGGGATGCCCACGTGGTTCTTTGCTTCATAATTCATATTCACATTTAATTTAATCTACTCACAAAGCGTACATTTCCTTTGCTACTCTCCCCACTGTAACTTCGCAAAGGTGTTCGATTCATTTAAAAGCAGCCTGTATGTTTGCGTTTAATTAACCACCGACAACGATTTAAATCGAATAATCTGCACCGGTTTTTAGGTTAACTTTGTATTAAAAATCTCTATAAAGATGGTAAGTTGAATTTTAATTTACTATTATTACATACAGTCTGTTTATTAAATTATAGCTGCCCTTGTCCTTATTACGAACAGCCCAAAATCATCCTATGGTACGTAAAACTTGGCTGCTATGATCCGAACTCATTTTATCATTTCTAGCTTGTAGAATTGAAAAATGGCGAAACTTACAATGGTCACTTAGTAAGTTGCGATAACTGGATGAACATAAACTTAAGAGAAGTTATTTGTACATCCCGAGTAAGGTTTTTTAAACTTGTCTCTTAAACATTACAGTGTTTAATTATCTATAGGACGGCGATAAATTCTGGAGGATGCCTGAATGTTACATCAGAGGAAGCACGATCAAATACCTCAGGATTCCAGATGAAGTAATCGACATGGTAAAGGAGGAGACCGCGATAAAGAATAGGGGTAGAGACAATAAGGGTGCAAAAAGCCAAAGAGGACGACCTGCCACAAGAGGTAAATTGGTAAATATCTTGTTAGGTTCACTTTATAAATTATTTACAATTGTAGGTAATTTCGGCCGAGGTGGTGGGAAAACTGGAAATATTGGCGGACGAAATCTTGCTCAAAAGACTAAACAGAAGTAACTATAGACCAATTTGTATTTCACTTAAATGGAGTAAGTTTAATTCAGTGATGTGTATCAGTTTAGTTTCATTTATGATGATTCTTAATACATTTATTTTATTTATAATTTGTTCTCATAAAAAAATACTAGTGATATCTATTGCCAAATTGCTATTATTAAGTTTCCAATTTGTTAAACCAACCTGTAGTGGTACTATGGATGTACTATGCCGATCTGCATACAACGCGTCATAATACTAGAGAGCATGTGCATGTGGACATCGATTCAATTACGCCCCTAAAACTTTATGAATGCTTGCAGAAAGTGAAGGTTTATTAATAGAATTCTTTTCACATGAAAAAACCTCCATTATATTCTCTCGAGTATTCTCTTCCATCTGTGATCTGAGAAGGGATTCGGTTCCCAGCGACCACCTGTTGTCCTGTAAGACGCTTGTTTATTATATCTTAAAATAAGTCTCATATCTCAACTCATACAACTCCACATTTTTCGCAATCTTTGCTAGCGTGTTGAAATTGGTAAATCGCAACTCATCGCACATACATTCAAAACCAAAGAGTTTTTTTGTTACCAGGGTCCTACCCCTGGTACAGAGAACTGGTGCCTCGTTCGGGAAACGCCAGTGTGAAGATGAAATTCCAGATTAACCACAGTCTTAAGTGTCGGAACTATTTTACTTATACAATTAATCCCATCCCTGGAATTGTCTCCTCACGGTAAAAAGTCCACAAGTCCATACAAACGTCAACCAAATCGATAATTTCCACGTAAATAAATGACTAAATATATAAATTAAACTTTAATCCAAGACCATGTAATAGAAAGATTCATACATTGATCAAAACATTTACACCAAAAATGCCAACGGTTTCAAATAATAAAAGTTGACAACAATAAATAAATAATGTTCAAAAATAAATTGAAATTGATAAAGAAATGTAAAGGTTACTACCTGTATTAAATAATACAAAAAAAAAGTAGGTACAGTAGAACCCCGATTATCCGTGCGCGAATTATCCGGGATGCGGATTATCCGTGCCATGCTTGCGCGTTTTTGAAATTACATTTTTAAAGTTTTAATTGAAATACCATTGCCGTAAATCACTTGACGAGAATTTTCGCTAGTCCATGAGGGAGACGCAGGCTGTAATACCGAGTGCGCGCATGCTCAGAGAATTATCTTTCATCAGCCGATGCAGGTTAAGCGGAATTTAGCCATTTAGCATTAGCGCATTTGACTGCGGGCTACATGTAAGTTGCAACTGTACTTGTGTTAGACCTTATCTAGAATTCTGTTTTTTTTTTCATTGTGTTATGAACTTTTTTGTAGAATTTATTGTGCATACCTTAGTTTGATTTTTTTTCTTATATTTTTAGTATACATACGTATGCCTACCCTAAGAAACAATAAATTGTTTGGATTATCCGTGCGCCATCCGGTCCCATTGAGCACGGATAATCGGGGTTCTACTGTATAGGTACAATTCTCTCTCGACAACAATTCAAACCAAGATGGCTGTAAGAAACATTCATGCTCTCTAGATGGAGCTTCAACTAAAAAGTCGCGCGGTTGCCATCACACAGACAACCACTAGACATCTAAAACATGTTTTTTTATGGATACCCATCATCTACATTAGATACACATAGACGTGCAGTCACATGTCCCGCCATATCCAAATATACGTATACCCCTACAGATCTCCATTAGGTGTTAATTCAGCATATGTCTCCTAGATATCTACTGAGGAAATCCGTTTGATATCTTTTTAAATAGTGAATTTCATATATTCCAACTGAGTTTTGAACACTTGATTATATCTGGATGTAGCCTCTGTTGGAGCTGCGTGATATTGGTTCTTACTGGAATTGAGGAAATTTCTTAATTATAGATCATACTGAGATATACCGTGCATCACATAAGAAAAAAGATATTTGCATATCTCGTGTCTTTCATTTAGTATTAAAGTGATTTGTTGAATATTTAGAACTATTGTTTTCCTATCAGTTATTTCATTGTTATTAAACAGAATTCTGTAACTATAGCATCTATACAAAGATTAATTTTGAAACTATTGTGGCGAATATTCTAGAAATGCTGATAGACATCGAGGCGCCATGAAATGTTAGTTGTCTTCGGCGATAAAAAAAACTAAGGCAGATGTGACGCATTCTTTCCGGGAAATATGACGTGTTCTAGAATATTCGAGAGCGTTCGATAAAGGCCGGCGTTTTTTATAAGCAAATCGAATTGTGTTTCGAGTCAGTTCCAACGTCGATGCGCTGTGTTATAAATTGTAAGTGATAAATAATCTGTTATAAATTAATTCATTTGAAAACTGTTATAATTGTTACTTAATTGTAAATAAATAAATCACGTGGTAATTAAATTTAAGTCACAGTATTGACTATACTACGGTATTTACGTTACGAATTAGGAAGACCTAATTCGGAGTAGCCGGCAGAATGCTTGAAACTGATCAAAGGTAATTTCTATCTGCCACAGATGAAAAATTCTTATCTCAGCCCATGTGTTAGCCAGGTGCAAGAAATAATAAGACAGTAATGTCAGGAAAAATGTATTTTATTTCAATGTAAAAATGATGCATAGGTAAGTGGAAGAATGTTCACCTTCAGTTTTACTAGCTAGTCGCTTTGTTGCTCTCACATATTTTCTCGAATTCAACAACTACTCTTGAATGTCAAACATTGACCGAGTTGAAATTCGAACTCCTGTTGGAGGTTTTTTCAATTTGACCTAAAAACCAGGTTGTTGTCAAATACTCCAGGTTTGTCCAGCTCCTCAGATAAAAACTTCAATGCACTATTAAGGCTAACCACTAACCTTAATTTTCGAGTAATTTTTTTCCAGACAAATTTTGGTGCCAATTTGAATGTATGTGGTTGCTGATGTAACAACAGTTCACTAGTATGACTGGACCGAACTCCTTCTGAAGGCAGACTAAATTTCTCAAAAATGAGTGTGGAACATCAGCAAATACCTACATCTCAAACTTTTTTTGGTTTGACAGTATTTTGAATGTTATAATTGATAGGAGGTTCTCCACATATTTGGAATACAACACCTGAACGTTGGGGCTAGGTTTGGTTCGTGGTTCCCCAAAATATTTGCTCATAGAAGAATCAAATATGCTTCATGGCGTGATAGCCATTTCGTCTATAAAAAAATAGTACCAACATACAACTTCTGTCATGTGACTTGAAAAGTTGGAATTTTATTTCTATAAATTGAAAAACTTCATGGAGGATACCAGAATCAAATTTGATGTGTAGAAGTTTTCGCTGGAGAGTTTCTTCATCAACTTATGATACCCATTGTTTCCATAAGAAAACTCGAGTGTCAAGCATTGTGTGACCGTCCCATTTGACCACTTCATGAGATTAAACTCAATAAATTGAGGAGAAGTGGCTTGTTTTTCCATGTTCTTCAGCTTGTTTCTCCAATTTCGCAAGTCTTCAATACTTTCTGCCTTCGCCTTTTCCCTGTTGTACAATTTCATATAATCATTGAGATGAATCTATTTTATTGATGAGAAATTCCTCGGACAAATCTGCAGTTGATGTAGATGATTTTGGTATATCTGCATTAAGTGGTTTAGGTGCTTCTGTTGCGGTTTCAGTAACCCCTGAAAAGAAAATGCATCATGCAATTTTTCACAGTGAATCAGGTCCAATCGAAATATTCATTTGTGGTAAAACGACATACTTGTGCTTTCTTTACATTACCCAATAGAAACCACAATGATATCAATCATCTGTACCATGCTAAATTGGCTCTTCAAATAATAAAACTTTTATGAGCTCATTTCGGCACTTTCATTCCTTAAAAATAATTATATTACCTAACACTCCAGCAAAGTAATGAATGGAGTCAAAGAAAAATAAGAACAGCGAGGCTTCACTACTTTTGGGATTCAAGAATCGGACAGCTTCCAGATCAAAAAATAAGCATTTTCAAGAACTTTAAGGATAAATAAGGATAAATTGTAACATAAGTACATTTGATGATATCTTTTATCCATGTAGTACGAAAATACAAACATGTGGGTAAAGTATACGTGCGTATGTATTATTACCCTCGTGCTTTTACCAGAATTGACTAACCAACAAAGCAATATCCGTTAGCTCAAATGCCAATAAAGTTAGGAACAAGCACTTATAAACTTTTCCATGGAGCACAAGATGCCAATTGGCATGATTCAGTTTTAGCAAATATTTTTTACACACCCATGGGCTACCTGCTGTTCCCACTCATTTCCCTCTCAGAAACTTCAATGCATTGTTTTACCCCAAATGACTCCTATACCTTATATCTATTGATTATAGTCAATGGATAATGTTCTATTTGCACATGAAAACACTAGGAAATCTTACCATGTGATGATGAAGATTCAGTTTTCGTCAATTTCCTATGGATGGGAGGCATTCTTAAATTCTTTGGTTGTAAGAACCTTTGAGTGGGGGGCTTTCTTGATTGCTTTTGTTTTGAGAAGGAAAACAAAGTGGGCGTGGCATCAGATTTTAGTTTGCGAGTTCCATCTTCCCGAGTTTTCTCCCACATATCAGGAGCAAAATGGGCCTGCAATCAAAATATGAATCATTTTTTCAATTTCACAGTAAGTATTCTTTCTCAACAAGCTAATGGGAAATACATGGAGCAAACTTGAGTTTTTTGTGTTTCAAACAATATGTGACCACAGATGATTTCGGTAGCTATACAATCATCAAATGAAAAGAAATATCAATTTTGGCTATTGTTTACTTTACTGAGCATTCTCATTTGCTACCAACAGTGACAGAAAAGTGGTAAATGATGCCTCATTATTCATTTACCACTTTTCTTCAATAAAGTACCTAAACAAAGAACCCAATTTTTTTCAAATTGGACCATTTTTGTGTCAAATTTATGGACGAAACTCACTTTGCAGCATCCCTATTGGCTCTTGGCCCACTGACTTGTTGGAAAAATGTACAATTACAGGAGCCTGCCTTGTATAAAGAATTACCAATTACCTACATTCAAACAGTTACAATCCTTAGGCGAATGTATAATATAAGTATAGGTACCTACACAAATTCAACTGAATCATTGAGAACAACATTTTCTGTACCTATACATCTACTGGTAAACATATAGGTACCTCACATAAATATGAATTATTTGACGGGGTCCAATTATCCCTCCTACATTTAATACGCCATTGCTTCCTTCGTATGGGATCCCTTGGAAACCGTTTCATCAAAAAACCTTTCACAGAGGAATTTGTACAGTGGATTGCAGCACAACCAGGCATGATTCTTGCAGTTGGTTTTCTAATTAGAGTAAGTATTGAAAAACAAGAATTAGACATTTCACTTTCGTCATAATTAATCATACATTATTTGATATTCTGAATCAATTATAACGTACACGTATCAATACAAAAGATACTCCACGGCCAAAACACCAGCAAATATTTATGCTAACAATGATTATTACAGGCCACAAGTATTTATTATTAATTACAAAGTCAATGAATACACGTTAATCGATTTAATTTTTAGTATTTCAATACAAAGCTCAGAGAAAAAGAATTATTCTGATAACTCGCACAAAACCGTATACATAATGAAGCAGAAACATGATGCAACATGGCTGCGGAAGAGGCGTGGTCTCTACAACCTATCATAAATTAGGCACCCATTGTTGCCACTGCCTTGTATAGGGTTTTTCTTATATACAGCGTGTTACATATCAGTATGTCAAAAAAAGTGTGTGGAGTAGGGAATCAAAAAAAGCTCTTTTTCCAAATAAGCCGAGGGTCCAACAGGTTTCGTTGCAAAGCCAATCAACGGAGTACAAAAAAGCAATCATCAATGTTAAAATTTAAACCAATTCAAGCGTATTTATGATCACAATTGAGCAGCATAATCATCTGTTCGTAATTAATTTCTATTGGATTTAAACACATCAAACTCTGTTTCTATAGAACAATGTCCACAATATACATTTTACTTTACGCAGCACCTTCATTCACAGAAATTCTCAAAAACGCAAAAAAATCTGTAAACTCGCTCATACCAAAGTATAGCAATTTAAACAAATATGGCGCCCGGAACCAACGACCAATTTCATGAGCGTTATTAGGTTATTAAGCGAAAATGTAAAAAAACTCTGCTGGCGAGGTGGCAAAATAAAAAATCGAAATCAGCGGGCCAAAATATGTACATACAAACTGCTGAGGAAAAACACTTCCGGATTTTTTTCTGGAACCATTTTTTTTGGAACTCCGCCTATGATTGGACTATACTATATATAGATCATGTTGGCCAAACAAGGATTATCTGGTACCGCAAGTGAAATTGACTTTTATGAGTATAGTTAATTATCATGTCTATACCATTTGGCAGCGGCAGAGGGTTGTCAATTATTTTAAGTACACTGTTCGGTCCAACTGTGGTGGAAGTCAAAATAAACAATTGTTTAGAACGCAACTTGGTCCAATTAGAATGACAGCATCGATGGCTAATCTAATGTGTTCAAATTGAAAATACGTATACACGGTGTACAAACGAAAATCTGGCAAACGTGTACGTCATTCGAGTGCTTGTCAGTTTTATGACAAACATGCGCACCAGGAAAAAGACGATTTTGACAGTTTTACCGACCTTGGGCTTTAGTTTTAAATTATTTTAATGTTAATAAAAATTGTTTACTTTCGTATGAAAGCTTGTCTACGTACCGCAGTTGCGTATTATTTTATAATTTGAATAGGCAAATGCTGCCTTACGATATCGGATTGACGGGAAAAGTGAATCGTATGAATGTCAATAAATCCGGTAACAGCCATGGACGTTGATTCTCCTGCGGGAATTCTAAAAAGGTGTTCCAGTGCACCCACAATCAACGACAGCAATTCTACAATGTCCACTTCACCTTCCAGTACTTCTCCAAGGTTTATATTGCAAAAATTCTTTATTAATAGTTTACTGCATGTTCAACACATATTTTTAGAGATCAACCTGTGCCAAATCTGTTCAGTAGCATTAATCAACCGCGAACGCGGAGATTTAGTGGGAGTTTTAGTCCGTCATCCAATTCTTTGGTGAGATTTAACTCGTTTGAGTCAAATTTAAATTAAAACTTCTCGTGCAGAACTCGGGTTTACGATTGACACCTCGTATAAGCCAGCTACGACAAGAAGAATGGGCAGACACGAGCAATTTACGAGAGTTAGCGCACGAACGTGAAATTCACCATACAATGCAAATATCTCAGTCCTGGGAAGATTTGCGTTTAGTTACAGAATCTCCAAATGAAACAAAAACAGGTAAAATGGGTCCACTTCACGTCAGTCTTCCATCATGCATGGGAATTTTATGTAATTCTCCTTCACCAACTCGTGTAAGTTCGCCTAGTTTTCAAAGCCCCACGAGAGGCAGTCGTACCATAATCAGACGCAGCTGTAGTCCGGTGTTACGGCCTAGTCCACTCGGAGTTAAACGAAAATTAGACGAGGACAAATTAGACTATCACTTGAGCCCTCGTGCGAAACGGTTTTATAGTTTTGGTGCGTCGGATCGCGCCGGCTTACTCACGACCTCGAGTCCTCTACCGGGCTCGCTTAGTTCAATTGGCACCCCCGAATCTTTGTCGAGTGCGGATTCGCCCAGCTTTAATTTTAGATTAATTGATAGTCCCTCGCCTAGTCGGCCGCAATTGCCAGAAAGTATGATTATAACAAAAACCGATCAAGATATGGCGGAGAGCCCTAGTTAAAATTGTATATTATCTAAATTAAACGATTTTGACAATGACTGTATATTTTAAAACACTTTTTGTAAAAGTTATTTATGAACTCATATTATACGGTACGATTTAGACCTTCACTAGACAGGTATAAAGAATTTCACAGAATAAAGTATGATCCAATCATTCGTTTTTGTGCATTGCCAAATTTTGAAAAGTTTTAACGCAATGGTAAAATTATATTGTAAATAGTTTCAATTGCTAATTTGTAAAATTGTTCATATTATTTATATGTAGGTATATTAAATTAACAGTAATAGAATATTAGTATTAAGCTATAAATAGATAACATGTAGTTGATAAGAATTCATTTGACGATAGTGTGAAGTTTAAAGTGTGCTGTATGAATGTTGCAATTTGCATATTTAAATATTATGCTGTATTATCTAGTCTACTCCCAATTATTTAATTAATTAACCATATTTTGGCTGAATTTCTCCCCTCACGAAAATGTTGTGAATACAACAGCATAATAATTGTTTACAATTCTGTATATTGTTTATTGTATTAATATTTAATAGGAATTTTTATAATTTTGTAGCTTAGAGAAACATTGTGAATATAACGCCAATATAAATATAAGACTGTATTTCTCTTCGACTTGTAGCAATATACTGCAAAGGTTCAGTACTTGTCTTAGCGCACTTGTTTTTTATAGCAGTTATATTTTCAAATAACTATATTAAATCAAATAAATTTGAAACTTCTTCTATTTTGCATAATTCTATTTTTGATTTTTATTTTTTTGATCAGTAGGAGTTTGCAAATTGAATATTAGGGTGAGTGTGTCTGATGTAGGCGATTGAGTGATAATCCAGAATTCAATTTCTTCTAAAACTGTATATATAAATGACGTTGATTATATTTGTACCCTTAATTTACAGCTATATGCACTGTGTCCAAAATAAGGATGTCTATCATGGAGATCTCAAAAACCATAGAAGATACAAGGATGGTCAAATTAGGGAAAAGTTGCGCAATTAAACAGTTATTATCATGCTGTAAAGAAAACCAGACAATTCTGATTACTTTCGAAGATATGCCAGAAAAACCGAAATTTAACGATTTCTTTTTTTTTCTGATGTTTTTTGAACATATAAGAAAAATAAAAAAACAACTGACATTTTCAATACAACATTTCGTTTCAGAGAAATCATCAACTTTATTTTTTTATATGACCCGTAAGAAAAGTACATACAACTGTATTGAGTAGCATTTTTTATACTAATACAATTGGATGTAAGGCACACGAAAAAAACAGTTGGAAACTGTTGGTTTCAACGGGATGGCCGTATAATACGCAATGCCAGAAGTTGAATCTAAGTATCAAGTTATCAATCAATAAAAACACGCGGAATCGTTCTCCACCTTCCCCTACACGGTCAAGACCACTACTGCCAGAGTCCGGTTCTGGGTTAACTGAATGTTGTCTTTCATTAATTTGATTTAACACATTCACTGAGCAGGTGCACTCACCCTTTGCTCACTGGATACATTTACCTGGTTTTCCTTTACTAAACATGCTCGCTCGATGTGACTTACCTTGGAAGAGATTCGACAATCGACTTCTTTCCAACAAATCACTACACAATTGAGGACTGTTTAAGTTTTTAAAATAATGTGTCCCTCGAAGGGGGGGGGGTACATATTGTGTATGCTTTGGCACCTGCAATAACGATGGGACACCCTGTATGTGCAGTAGTTGGTTGTAATTTGAGATTGGACATTCTTTTCGATCATATTGGTATTGGTACATTTATATTACATGTTAAAAGACTGCCTATAGATTTATTCAGTTAGGAATTATGTGTGTTGTATTTGCAAAAGTTTTTCTCTGGTCGTAGATAGGAAGCTTTCTTATCGCTGCAAAGCCAATTACAAATTTCAAGATAAAGACGTGATATCGGCGAAGGCGCAGATTTTTCTAAGATGATGCATTATTAAGTAAATATAGAAGTAGGTAAGTTAGTGAGAAAGGGAAATTGTTTTAAATAGAAGAGGAAGACGTTAATCGGAGCTTCTTTTATGGGGCCCGTTTACAAATAACCTCGCCGTTTTGTTTTGGGTTATTTCCATATTTGAAAAAACAGTCTGTCATTGTTTAATTGTAAAGTAAAGTAGTGTAGAAGAAAGCTAGGGAGCGTTTCTTTACGTCGTAATAAAAGTAGGCGTGTTTCCAGGATTACGTAAGTTTCCCAATGTCCGTTAAAAGGAATGTTGTCCACCATCAAAGAGCCAACACTATAATTACAATTACAACTAAATCAGTGTTGTCTAAATCGAGATTCGATTTGATCTAGCTGTGTTTGTGCGTCATTTATTGTAAATCGCAGTTACGACAGGAGATTTTGAATTATTAATATTGATGTCGTTCTATCGATTGCTTTTTGCCTCAATTCTGCCCTGGTAGTCTGTTTTTCTTTCAGCTTATTTGATTGTTTTATGAGCAATAAATTTGTTCCTCTGTAAATGGTTGGCCGGTTTCCTTTCAAAAGGACAAATGCGCTTTAAACAACTGTGAGCCAGGCGAGCGGTCACAATTGCAATAGTCTTTAATCTACAACAAAAAGAGAGAAGAATAATGCAACTGAAAACCATTATGATTTATTTTAACCTTACATTTACTTACATTCGGATAAAATTAACATTTACAATTTCAGCCTCTGTATATCCTCTTGCTTAAAATCAATCCTGAAAGAAGTAAATAAATAAGGGATACTCGTACAAAATGCCACACCTTAAACCCATTATTGTTCTAACTTCAGTAGGGGTTAATCTCCATGTGAGCGCCCCATCATGGTTCCCCCAATAGTCTGTTATTTCTGTAACTTTTTCCAAGTTTAAGATGGTTGCAATTTGTGAGAGTCTCGTAAACTTATCTCGGACCGACCATGTTGTCGCGCTGGTTAAGTACCCGGATAATGACCGCACTTCTTTATCCAACACCAATCCACCTAACTAAATTTAAAAGAAATTAAAATAATCACGGCATTCATCGGAGTAACTTGCTCTATTAAATGCTGACTTAAAAATGACCTTCTCAAATCTTGCGGTTACTTCGCCTATGAGAATTTTTATGAGTCCATCGTAATTGGCCGAGGTCAAACTGTCCTTAAATGAAGAAAGTAACGAATCCAAGTTCATGATTAAAGTTTGAACAAAAGATTCTCCAGCTTCATACTCTGACAGTTCGTCCTAAACAGCAGAGTTACTTTAAGCCGCTAAGGCAGTAGTTCTTACATCATTAAGCTGGTGGTTGATGTTAAGAAATGAATCAACCCAAGGACTAATCCGTGGCTTAATCACACTGACTCGTAACTGTTGCATGCCGTACTCCATTACGTCTTTCAAATTAATAATTACCGATGAGAGACCGGAGAGACAACTTTCTAATTTGCCATGTTCATTAGTGTTCATATTTGGAATTGCCTTTTTCACATCACCTAACGCACTGTCGCATAAAGTCTCTACATACTCAGTACTTGCATCAGCATTATTTAAAGCAATCTAGAATTATGTTGTTAAAGTATGTATGAACATTATTAAATCATACAAGGAAAGCAGTTCGAATCTGTTCGGTATCGCTTGGTTGAAGTCGGCCATGTTGAATAGAGGTTTGAAGGACGTTGTACGCTTGAGTTAGATCTAAATACCCTGATGGATAACCCTGCTTTAACCGTCCACGTAAAATTCCACAAAAATCATTTTCCAAGACTGCGCATGCAATGTTTATAACTGCGCAAATTCCATCTAAGCTTCCACTTGATATTGCACGCCTGCAAAACAATAACTTAGATGGAGCGTCCTGTTTGCGGTCTTCAAGCAATTGTTGGTTAATTTTCCAGAAGCTGACAATTATATTTGGGACACCCTACATACTTTTTAAACCCAAATCCTGTAGTATATGTTAATGTAACAGATAAGTAACTTGATATTTTGAACCTTGTAGCAATGGGTTAAATATCCGGCTCCCTGCCAATGCAGGGAGAGAAGGAAAAGTCACACCAATTTAGAACTGCTACAATAGACTGAAGATATAATATGTCACAGGACAACTTGAGAAGCTCTTAGCAAACTGCAGGGAACTGTAACATCAAGTTCCAAACGAACTAAATTAGAACAAAATTGCCCCCCCCCCCCACTGCACAGGATGTCCTATTAATAAAAGTCACAGAAATCTATGGAACCGTTGTATTTTTTATGCATGTTTGTTGGGTATAATTTAGGAAAAAATATTATTTTTCTGCTTAGCCATGACTCGTACGCCTCTAGCGGTAAACCTAGAAACTTGAAAATAATTTCCAGCGATTTGTTTTGGCCCCTTTGGTAACAAAGTCTTTTACCCCAAGCTGTGCAATTAGCGGTTCCATAGATATGGCATGTGACCTTTATTAATAGGAAACCCTGTACATTAGTATATCCAGATTGTGAGTTTAGGTATTTTTCTGCACTAATTATGTCTTTACATTTGATACAATTTTGAAATAGATAGACTTTTAATTCTTTAAATGGTTATGGTTATTTGTACCATAGGCAACCTGTATATTAACAACAGTAAACAGACCTTATGCATTTGCGGATAATAAAAAATGTATCATCCACCATACTGGAAGTCTGTTGCGCCGTTTCTGTAGAATCGATGCCAACTGCTTTACTGACGGATTCTTCCATAAAGTACTGCTCTAGCTGTAGATATAGGGATAGTAAGTCGTGCTTCCTTCTACTTAAATCACTTGCATTAATGAGCTTATCAAGTTGGAGAATTTGATTATTGCGTTCCTCCGAAATTAAAACGCTTATTTCGATATCAGCCTAAAAGCAGATTATTAACAGAATCAATTTCCGCCACACTGTAAAACCGGCAGGTATTTAGGTATTAGCTGGTTTTTTAAACGGATTTTTTAACACCTGTTTGGTCAAACCTGTTAAAACTGAATGATAGACGGTTAGTAATAAAACAATTGTGTATTAACTGAGTTTACGCCATAAAAAGTTTTAAATTTAATAGTGAGACTTGGAGTTGGGCTGCCAAGCACTCTCGAAACCTACGCGGATGATCAGCCGGGACTTGACATTCAAAATAGAGGAGTTACAGCCGGTTTGTGGAAAAAAAGGCGGATCTAAAAGAGCAAGATCTGCAATTATCGTTCCAACGCGATCACTAAATAACATTAAAAAATTCAAAAAAATTTAACATTGATTCAAAACAATAATAAAAAGATCAAAAACGTGAATTTTTGTATTTTTTTAAACATTTGAACCATTTTTCTAATTCTTTAAAAATATTTTTGAATCTTTTTTAATTTTTTTGAATCACTTGAATCTGTTCTAATATAGTTCCTAGTGTGCCGATCGAGCCGTTTCGGAAGAGTTCAACGACTCTGTATATGGAATAACATATGAAACCTACACTCGGTTTCTACTACAACTATAGTACTACACCATCCACAAATCACCTGTCGAGCTAGCTCCAATAAATCAAAAATTGAAAATTAGAATTTTTGTGATCTTTCCTCGTACATATCCGGCATTTGCTACAAAACAAAATTCTAATAATGACTCAAAATTAATAATTTAAGAGCCTTGATAAAATAGAATAAATAGAAAAAATCTGAACATGAAGACTATATGGATTGTACAATAGATTCAAATAAACACAGAATCAAAAAGAATTTATTTCGAACTCATTCGCAATAAATAATCAAGGAAAATGTATTGTACTTTCTCCCTTTCCTAGGTTTTTGTTATGGTTTTTAAAATTTTGTAACAATAATTCCAACATTACAAACTCTAATTCTTGACCAGACCACAAATACGACCCTAAGCTACATTTTTTCATATGGACCACACTATACACTATAGTCAAGATATGGATGTCTATCATGGGGATCTCGGAAACCACAGAAGATACGAAAATGGTCAAATTAGGGGAAAGTTACGCAACTAAGGAATACTTATCATACTGTAAAGAAAACCAGAAAATTCCGATTACTTCCGAAGATATATGCCAGAAAAACCGAAATTTGCCGATTTAATACTTTGGGTACACGTACGTAATAACATAACTGTTATTAATAAATCTATTTAAGGGCTGTTTTAATTTAGTTTCTCGTTATAGTGTTAGTTCCGGTGAACATATAATTAATTTTATACAAATAAATTACGGAATTAAATTTACGTTATTATGTATTACTAAAATGTTCATCTACTGCAAAATAAGTATCTTAAGACTGATTTTCCTTTACCAATAAGTGAAACTCCCATAAACATTTTAATAAAATTAAAAATGAAATATACTAGTATGTACCCTGCCGGTTTTACACCAAATAATGTATATAAATAAGCATAGTATGGCACATAAATAATGCCTCGTATACTTGATGCATTATGGAATAATTTTTACATACCAAAACCTTCCTTCTTATAAATTTGATATATAATTCCATCCGAAAATGCATTATGGTAATTTCCTGAATAAGAATATCCAACTCTTTAGGATCCAACTTATCCAATTTACTAAAACTCGAGCTACTGCTCATTTTTGCCACCTCGGAAATCTGATTAATCTTCTTCTGAAGTTGTCTATGCTTCTGGAACTCCATTATAATTAATTTAACCTGCGTATCACACTCCTTCTGTAAAAATGAAACCACCGACATCAAACGGCCTGGTCCGTAGTAAGTCTCTACAAGAGGTTGATGAATGTCGACAATTCTCGCCAAGCCTTCAAATAGCAGGGTTAGTGTATCAGCAAATTTGACATGGTGCCTTTTATCCGTAACAGGTGCATTCAGCGCAGTTTGTAAATTTTTATCGGCAGTATCTCTTAGCTAAAAACTTACAATAAAGTCCCCCTTTATAAACCAAACTAACCTTATCGCACAAGTAATTGCAAAATTTCCTGATACCTTCATCATGCATATCTAACAGTGGGAAAATTTTAAAGAACCGTTCGACACTAGCCAAATCTTCTAGGCGAACCGCTTCATCGAATTTATGCTGGACGATCGTTCTCAACTGACCAGCTGCATCTTGTAAAGTTCCGACAGCTTTTAAGACGCTAGACACATTTTCAATATCAGTAGCAGACTGCTTCAGTAAAGATTGATCCATTGATAAAAACCGATGAACGTGACCAGCGCCCTTTTCGTAATCTTCATTTAAAATTGCGGTTTGTACACCCTCAGAACACAAGCCGACGTCTATTAGATCAGCGACTCTCTGCTGGCACTCGTCTACGCGATTCTGTGATTATTCATTATTCCATTGAATTCAATTTGAGCAAAAGTACTTACGCGTGCACAGTCCAAGGTTCGAACCTTATTGCTAATACCTTCAGCAGATTCAGCAATGTTATGTATTGTGTTTACCAAGTCTTGAGTTTCAACTTTGAGAGATTTTAATGTGGGCAAAACTTTTGATAACACTTTTATTTTTGCATCCACGTAACTCCTTTGGTTGACAAAGTGTTTCATTTCTTCAAACAGTTGCTCCTAAAAGTTAATATAAGAGTAGGTGCCATGTCGCTGATTAATATACTTCTTGGAGCTTAATTTTGTCTAATTCTTTTTGCATCTCCTCTAAATCGGTCATTGTAGTTATTTCTGCTTTTGATCTTTTGAGGTTAATGTTTGAATATGAAATGTAAACATTTGTCCGATTGTAAACGTCACTTTCTAGGTTAAACAAGCTACTATTTTTGATAGGAACTACAGTTTGACACATTGGATCTAATCAAATTTTGTATTCACAGAATGCTTCATAATTTTAGTTTTTGATGTAATGGTACTTTAAAGATGCAACTTTTATATTTTGTTTTGTTATGCGGTTATGCATAATGATGTTAGGCCTTCACGAAACAGTCAAACCTCATAGATAGTTATTGAACAACGTCGGGTATAAGGTGTTAAGCCTCAATTAATACTGCCGTCCCTTATTTAGGAAAAGACCGTATTTCTTCTTACATTAAAGTCCCAAATCCGGGTGTGGACGTGGGTATTTGTAAATAAATAGTGGTTTGGGTTGGCAGAGCAGCCTTGGCTGAAACTTCGCTCACTCAAAAATAAAGACAAAAATAAGTAAGTAAAAAAAAATAAATAAATACTTATACAATACAGTGACTGCATAAAGTCTGTAGCGTCATTAATTTTTGGTTCCGGCTCCAGTTTTTTTTCGGTTTTTATGGCCACTAATATAGATGATAAAAATCATTATTAAATAATATCAATTACTATTAATTATAGGAAAAAAATAATACACAAAATTATAGTGCATATTCTTTTACATAAAGATATATTTCGTTTTAATTAAAACTTCTTTTTTTTTGCAACATGAAAAATTACAGGGCCTTTGGTGGCAAATTCAACGTTTACACTACGGAATATGTACAAATTAGTGAATCACAACTTACTCATATCGCCCCTGCGATACCTGTAACTTGCCCCTCGTGCGGGATTGTCTTTTCGCGGCGAAGTCTTGATTTAAATACAAACATCAAGCAGTTTGATAACTTCCACAAATTTAAACGAAAAAGGTCCTGGGAAAGTAGTTCTTGCAAATACTTGTAGTTCATGAAATTATTCGATAGTAGGTCTTTTGACAGTAAATTAGAGCACATGTGAACTAAAAAATGGAATTTTTAAAATTGTTGTTTTTGCATTGTTTTTGTGTATTGAGGACTGGAACTGAGGTTGGGGGTTGTAATTATTGATCAACACCCTTCGATAGTTTACTGTGCATAAGAATGGGTAATTCATATTAAAGACTTTTGTGTGCTTTTTTATGTCTCTTTCGAATAATTTTTACTATTTTGGGGTTTGTCATTTTTGCAAAACCACACCAACTGAATTACGAAGATGTAGTGGATGTAAAATAGTGGCTTACTGTTCAAAAGAACATCAAAAGTTGGACTGGCGGAATCACCGTGAACTATGTAAAGTAATTGCATTTACGTTTGTGAATGACAACACTCCTAGTGGCAGTTTTGAGGAATGGACCCGTTATCGACTGAATATGCAAAGACAATGGGTATCATTGCTAAAGAGAGATCTGCAACCATTCGAATGTCAAATGTGGATGTTTCCTCGTGTCTGCAATTGGTGTTACGCAAAATCAAACTTGACAGATTGCCCAAAGTGTTGTAATGTCGCATATTGTAGCAATGAACATTCATTTTGTGACAGAGGCATTCACAAGAAGTTCTGTGCTGCATTAAGAGTGTGCCTAGACATTGATTGGTACTTGACTAAAGTTCAGTCGTATCCTGAAATAGATATAAAACAGGTAGCATGTTTGAGTGGACTACCCCGAGATATGAGTGAACTTTTAAAGTTGCTGCGCAATGAGGAGAATGAGAAATCTGTCATTTGCAAATCCTTAAAGTCAGAAGCACTATCCCCTGGATCTGTAATTGCATACTCCATTCAAGAATCATTATATGACTACACAAGCAATGATAAATACATTATACACATAGTGGGGGCGGCCGCTGCTGAAGGCACAACTGACTGGATTCTCACATCCGAATTGCTTTTACACGCATTTAATTATATACATGAAGTTTTGTTCATCTTAATTGGACCAGAAGCTGTGGACATACCTGAAAATATCAATTTATGCCAAACTTGCAAGTCAAGGGGAAAAAAGGTCTCTCTTAAGGTGAAGAAGGCTTTGTATCATGACGTGGTGGAAAATATAGAAAAGCCAAATTTAGTACTTGCATTAAATTGTGGTTTACATGAATTTGAAGATCAAGCTTGCGATGAATGGTACTCATCTATTCCCTTTATGATTATCAATAAAGTTCCGTTCGTTTTTACTTCATATACTCACGAAGAAATGTTAAAAGATATTAATTACATCAAAAAATTCATTCCTGATGTGGAGCTGTACATTGTTATGTCGAGGGAGAACCCATTTGCTAGTTTCAGGCCAATAAGAGATTGGTGCACCAAAGACATTCCTGTATTTTATTCAAATGCTTTTATTACCATTGTAAAAATGGTGTGACGTTCCCATTTTCATCAGACAACCATTTTTTATGGTCGGGATTTTATACTTTTCTAATTGTAATGTTGTAATAAAATGTGTTTTGAAAGTAATATATGCGTAGTTTCTGATAATAGCTGTAAACCTTCCATGTTCAAGTAGTATGAGACTGGTTTTTATTAGTGTTTATTTTGAACTGGGCGGAGTTTCAGCCAAGGCTGCTCTACCAATCTAACCCACTATACATTTATACAAATGATAATACTTGTCTTTATTGTCAACAGAGTATGTAGGTACTACAATTATTTATTGATATATTATTTATAGAACAAGTGACAAAAGATGTAATGCATGCCTGAACCAGGGAGCCCTAGTTCCGCCAAAAATTACAACGGTCGAGAGTCCACACTCACAAGCTTTTAGAGGCAACTTGACTAAACCTTGACGTCTTCCACCTACGTTGGTAACTTCCGTTTTGAACAACTTTATTAACAAATGTCAGTGGAGAGGTTCTTTTTTAATTAACCACACGCTTGTTCCTTTAAAATGAACGCCGCTCTATACTTACCGCCAGCAGCACTCGAGAAAAGGAGCGCCAACGAATCGAAAAGGTAACAAGTAACGGAAAGGTGCTCTTTAAAGAACACCCGTCCTCCCTTCACTAGCTCCAAGGAATCCCGTACGTACCATAACGAATTCGGCAGCTACTTCACCAACCGCCCTTATCGAAGCAAAATAGAGAACCATCATGCTGCCGGAAGAAATACCCGCCTTCGCGGAAGTGCCGAAAGTTACCTAATCGTCAGCGCAACCATAGAGTAAATAATATACCCACTATGGCGCAACTTTTCTTGTCGCAGTTTTTAGAAACATTTTTACATAAAAATAGCAAAAACGTCGATCTCGTCCTCATAGATGCTAAGAAAAGGGCAAAAGAAGAATCACAGATTTTGATACTTTAGAGAAGTAGTCGCCAAACGTAACATTTAAAACGATGGAAAAAATGCAAGGAGTAAGTATACATGAAAAACCTCCTCGAAGATTACGTCGATTATATCTATGTTTCTCCAATATTGACGGCAATCATCAAGTTCACACACAATACAAGGCCAAGGATGAATATTTTATCCGCACCTGTTATGCATAATAGCATCGCTCATTATGTATGTAAGTAGGTACTTCGGATGACAACATAATAACATAACATAATTTATGAACATGAAGAATAATGGAATTTATTTGTCAAAATTTCATCAGCCGTGAAGCCGTTCTCATCGTGAATTTCAAATTCAAACGCCATCAGACAGTACTATTTTCATGGGTTCCTTTTTTATTGCAGTTATTCGTTTTTCAATGAATGTTCAATTATTTATAAGTACACAGTCTTAATAAGTTTCTCGCCGGCAGTCGAGGGGGGGGGGGACAAGATAGCCCGGCCCTCAACGCCCGGAGGGCCCCGTACGGCATCAAGTAACTTTCGATATGATTGGTATCCCAGTTGTTTTTACCTTAAATTTGATTAAGTATGTAGGTAATTGAATGTGTACCTAATGAAAACTAGTACACCTATTTTGAACCGCCGCACAGTGAAACGACTACAGTTGCTCCGATCTTCGTCGCCCCGATGCGGTGGACATCCGGCCTTATTTTCATAATCTATAGCGAAACAAAATTACTAAAGCCAGATAGATTTTCATTATGTATTATTTAATCGTGCTATGTAGGTTGGTAGTATATAGATTTAGGGGAAATTTAAGAACACTTAAGTTCGAAGCTGTATCAATCGCAATCGAGATCTTTTCCAGACTCCATGTTTCGAGGATATTCTGCTCTTGTCTTTTAGTTTTGGTGTTGGAATCCGCAAAATCTTTTTCCGACTGAGGTACTATAACTAGTTTCAGATAGTGAAATACCTTTGACAACATCGATAACAATAGTGGAGAGTAATATGATTTCTTCTAACCACGAACAATTTCTTTTAAAAAAAAGTTGTCGATGTCTTTCCGATTTTGACCATTTTTGTTCTAGTGTGGCAAACTCATCGAATTTTTGTTTTTAACATTTTTATATCTTCCGAATTGCATGGATTCCCCACTTCTTGCAATAAATGTTCCAAAGAAGCACCCGCCGTTAATTTTTTGAAGTTAGCAAATCAAAAAAGTGAAATAACTTATCCTATTACATTCTGTGACTATGGCATAGAAGAGAGGATCAGAGTGTACAAAATTTGAAAAAAAATCGATGAAGACTACTCGAAAATCGGTATGGTCGTACATCTGTACGGACAGACGGACGACATTATAATTACGTACTTCGTTGCATTGTTCATTTATCACTATCTGCAAAAACCTTGCTAGTGAGGATATTTGAATCACTGTGAGATTGTAGCGCTTTCTAATATACTTTTGAAATTAAAAAAGTCAGTTCAGTCCCCCCCCCCCCCCGCGCGGTAGGAATAGATATTTAAACGCTCTTGTGGCGATTGTGAAGTTAGTCAGAGAGTACAACGCTTATTACATATGTTTTCTATTCCTTTATCTATCTATTCCTACCGTGGTTGTGGGGGGGGGGGGGGAGGATGAAGGATAAGGATTTGAAGGATGAAGCTGAACTGAAGTGAGATAATTTTCTTGTTTAAAGCGTATATTAGAAAGCTCTACAATCTCACAGTGATTCAAATATCCCCACTAGCAAGGGTTGAAAGTTGAATTATTATGCATCCCTTTTGGTAAGGGTGCAGCATAGGGGGATTTATACCACGATAAGTTCAAGATATTTTCTCATAAAACTCTTAATTATAGAAATAAAGTATGAAATTTGGTTAAAACATCTACATAGAAATTTCAGAATTCTTAAAAATATAAGCCACTCTGAAGCTCTATATCGTGTTTAATAAACATTTCACACAGGAGTAGTGTATATCAAAGTTGTGTAGAATTTTATGGTCTACAATTTTTGATAACAATATTTTTTTGGAAAATGAACCTATAAAAATATATGATTGAAAAACTAAAAAACCAACCAAATTTATTTGGTTTTAAGGGTGGTACGGAGAAAGCACAAGGGGTGGGAGGTCGAAAACTTGGATTATTAACCACCAGATATTCTTTCATAACATGCGAAAAAAATTGGAACTACTTCTCGTTTTGCAGGAAATGGTCCATTTTCAGTCTCTATTTCCTGGACTAGTAGATATCATTTAAAAAAGCGATTCTATACAGCACACTGAGTACTTACCTACGTTTAAATGTTGTTAAGCAACCAGTAGGTAAAATCAACTGTTTGCGTGTCATGTACAAGAATTAAAGGTAAGTATACTAGTTTTTATAAGTTCAACTTCCAATTATACGTTAGGTACAATTCAAATGCATAAATAATGACATATTTAGCCAACACCTTGAAACAACCACGAAATCAATGGTTTACCTTTCACATCCATCAGATTGATTGTAAACGCGGTGGCAGGAGCTAAAAGGTCGATATTTTGAAAGTCGCGTCGTTCCCATTTCTAATTTTAACTTTTTTTCTACACTCATGCGCCAATTGCTTATAGTAGGTATACCTATAGTAGTTATGTAACAATACCTAGGCTCTAAATATTGTCTTCGACTTAATTCACAATGTCACAATGTATAGGTATACCTGAATTATAGTAGGAAGCCTTAGTAAACTATATGTGAGGAAATAGCAGGCATTCATTAACCCTGACATAATTTATAAAAACTGTGTTTATTTATTGCTTGTCCATGTTACATCTTACCATATAAACATAAATCTGACTACTTCGATTGGTGAAATCCATTGTCAAAATAGGAATACCTCAATGAAAAAGACTGTAACCTTCAAGACTTGCAAATGAATATTAGGGAGTACCATTGGTAGTACCTACATCTATACACACTGATGTGTAACGTTAATGGCAACAATTATGTGCTCTTTTTGTCTGCTTATGGCTTAGTCGTTTATAATCTCATGGCACTTTTACTATTTAATTCAATGCCAACTAATTTATGCGACAAGATGTACAAGGCGTAAACATGATAGGTCATTAATAATCATTTCATGAAAGTATCAAGTGCTAGTCTAATGTACTTCCTTCAATTAAGGTCGTAGCTATACCTACAGTACTTATAAGTATAGCTGTATAAGTGTGATTAAAAAGTATTTAAAATCAACCCTATTTCGCAAATAGGGATGTCAGCGAAATCATCTGGATTTTTTTTATCGGGTCGATGCCATGATTTTAGCAGGATGGTGCACCTAATTGGCTCACCTACAGCGAGCGAACATTGATAAGAATCAATAAATGTTATTATTAAGCGCCAGAGCAAAGCGATGCAAGCTTTATAGGGGAGTCGATGGTGTCCGTCTGTCCGTGAACACGATAACTGTCAAACGCTTGGAGCTTGGACCGATTTGGTTCAAACTTTGCACAGTTGACCTATATGCCACAAGTGCCTATTGAAAATGGATCAAATCCAATGACCCCGTGGGGTCACACCTCTCTGCCTCTGCCAAACGCTTGAACCTATTTAGTTCAAACTTTGGACAGGTGACCAATATGCTACATGTAATAAGCCTATGAAAATGGGTCAAATCCAACCTATTCTTGAACCTATTCGGTTGAAACTTTGCACAGTAGACTTATATGCCACATGTAACAAGTCTATTGAAAATGGGTCAAATCCATCAAAGACTCCGTGGGGTCACACCGAGGTGCTCTGCCGCTTTTTTCGACGCTCTATATGGGTTTATAATTATTTAAACCAAGTGATATTCACGTATTCCAGTGTAGAAGTAAGAAAAGCTTGTAATGGTGACTGATTCAATTTAGACTTTAGTAAAGAACACTGTTTATAAACAAACGCGCTAATTAGCAAATTCCGAAAAAACTTCACCGCGTGTCGACGCAGTGCCACAAAGTAAAAAGAAAGCTAATCTAATTTCATATGTGAAATAAAACTACGACTAGAAAACTCTCAACAAAACGCAGATAATATTCAAGTTTATTATTCGATGCCGATAAAGCAAAGGTAATCAGTAGAAAAGTTTACCTAAAGGGATTTACTAAACGATAAACTAAATTTTAATAATAACCCATTAAAATTAAACTTATACCAGCGCTCATTTTCACCAACAAAAAAATGTACTGACCAACCGGAATCAGCCCATATTTCTCAATCAATCATTTTCCATCCAAAGAATAGTTGTTTAAAAGTTTTTTTAGGCAAGCATCCAATGAAGCCAACTGATAATTACCCCAGAGCACTGATTTAAAATTAACTGTAAGAATTCCAGAGTTCCACATCGAAGAAAGAATTGTAAATAAAAGTTAGTTATACATTTTATATTTTTTTATAAATTTCAATCGACAGCTTTACGATCTGTTGAAAAAAGGAAATTTGACCTATTTTATCATTACGATTAAAACTTGAAATGAGAGATTCTAAAGCTTTCGAGAACCATTTAATATATTGTTCTTTTAATCTGTACTATTATCAAAAGAAACCCCTGAATTTGTCGACGAGTCTATTTTAAATTATTGATCGATTGAGGGCTAGGTAAGAGATGGCCAACCTGACTTGACTTTGATACTAACTATCCAAATGTATGACAGGTAGAAATTCAGTAAATAGGCAATTCAATAGAAAACCAATGTAAGGAAATGCATCCTTAAAACACCTTTAATATTGTCCGATTCCTTTTTATGTCTATACTTCTTAATAAATACCACTGTATAGTAACTTGTTATTCTGCTGTTATTATTTTGTTGGGCAGTACAGTCAAAGAACGCCTTTTTTGTAGACCAATTTCAGATAACAGAAGGAGATCTCTTGATTAAAACAGGGGAGCAAAAAAGGTAAAGTTGATAAAGAACCGCAGAGTTAATCGCAGGCATTTATTTTTAAGAATTTTTATGAAAGTTTTTTTGTTGCAATTTCCCATTTAATAAAAAAAATAATTATTTAAAACTGGACTTTCGGAGCAATGTCAGGTTTTTTTGACGATGGTCGATGGAAAATAACACTTTAAAGCACTTACATAACCTTGTGAAAGAGGTTTCGGAACGGAGCACTGACAAAGAGATTATGATATGTACAGATAATCTGCTTAACGACCAGATTAAAACTTGAATCGCTTGCCGATTTCATGTCGGGATGGGGTACTCACAAAGGCCTAGACCAGCTCTACTTGACGACGGGGTCGAAACTTTGATCGATATTGTATCGTAGGAGGGTGTTATTTCATTTTCCTATATGAGATCTATGCCTTGGGTATTTAGGTTTTATATTACTAAACCGAAACGAATAAACCACAAACTTCTACCACGTTCTATAAATTGTCACTATTTTATATGTAAAGGTGTCATATTTTGCAATGCTTGGTAATTCATTATACAGAATTTAGGTACCGTTGAAAATAGTAAATCGAATTAAAAGTACTCAGGCGATTGTTACGATGATGGTACATACTTAGTAATGAGATTTTCATAGGAAATACAATTGACAATTAAGTGATAATTACCATAATTAAAATTACCAAGGCTGGGGATCTTTTGTGACGAAGGGGTCCACCTATTATGGGACATCGATGATAATTTATGATATCGGCTTTTTGCCGATTTTGAGTACGATAGTTTCACTCAAACTAAATCATCTGTTCTATCCCAAAGATCTTATAAAACGATTACATAATTTCAACAAACATATTCTGCGTTTATGCAAGTAAAAAAGAAATACCCAACGCGAAAAGGCATGGTGATAACTACCTTTGAGTAATAACAAACGCAATTGTACTAAACTTGCGCACTCGCGTGAGTATCTAAAAAACACGTTAGAATTATTCACTTTCATTTTATGTACTTACCTCCCTAACGTCTTTGAATTGATCTGAAAAATTGGATGGACAGTTTTTGGTATGGACTCAGTCCAATAAAAAATTTGCTAATTTGGCTAACATTATACAGGTTATAGACCAAAATTTAAATTTTGTACACATTTGCGAAATTAATTGGGTATCAATTAAACTTGAATATTATATAACAATCCCATTCCCAGACGCAACAATTGACTTAAATCCCTTCCCTCGTAGCAAGTAAGTATACTTGAAAGTGAAAATAAGCGAATTGCGGGATCAGATTAGTTTTGAACTTCATTCTGAGAAGGAATAAGTGAAAGGTATGGACACCGAATCGACGCCTTTTTTTTCTTTAATAAAAATTACATTTTACAGATAATTAAAAATGATTAAAAGTGTATTGGTGATATTTTTCTCGTTCATCGTATGTTCTGTTTATGGATATTCTACCGGCGCTCCAAAAGAAGCATGTGACGATATGAAGCCGCAACATCCATACGACCCGAAGACGACCAAATTTCCTTATAATGTAACAATTAGTAAATTAGATGCGCAGCAGGGCGAGACCTTATTAGTGAGAGTTGCCGGGGGGATGGAGCCCCAATTTAAGGGATTCCTAGTGCAGATCAGGGATAAGAACGGTCCTGTGGGATCGTTTTCAATCCCCTCCAGTAATAAGCTTGCACAAACCTTAGATTGCGGCTCCAAGACGGTAAGTGAACTTTTTTGTTATAAATCAATCATAATGCATAGGTAATTTAAATGAAAGAAACCTTTTTTTTACGTAACCGTGTAATTGATTGCTGATAGTCGATGATCGATGAACATCTATGGAAAGTGTTTTGAGGTCAGACAACTTTTACTGTTTAAAGATCGAGAAATAATTAGTTAGTGGTAATTCTTGAATATCATTAAACGATCGGCTCATTAAAAAAGTCACCGGTAGGTAATGAATATGTTTGATTATTTAAATTATTTGCGTAAAGGTAAAATTGCGTGCTACGATCTCTCATATCTCATATTGTGTTGACTCATACAAAAGCGACCCTAGAGAGGAGAGCTTAGACCACAGATTCAGTAATTTTCTTGCCATCTGCACGTTCTTTTTTCTTATTCTTCAACTGTTGGTTCACTTCGTTTCGCAGTTTGGTCTTTCTCCGTTTCTAGTCCTTTTTCTAAATCACCGATTTCGGTTTTTCTTTCACAGATTTTGTTTTTCTGATTGCCGTTACGTGTGTCTTTCTTTATTCATTGTGGCACTTATCTACTGTCTACCTGCCATGGTACTCTATTTGATTTTCGGTATAGCGGTATTTATTCCGTTTCTTTTTGGACAAGACAACCTATACATTCATTTCCTGCCTTAAACTTTTCCTTCTTCTCTAGTTTTCGTAGTCTTCCCCAAAGACATATCTCCTCTTTGTATTATGTTAGGTCGTGCCCTTTAATTACTAAATGTTTAAGTTTAAAACAAATACGAGGCAAATACCGACAGCCCATTGTGGCCATTGCCAGCCTCTACTACTTCTGTTAATTCTTGTTTTACTCGCTTGCGTGGTCTATTGATTTTTGCTTCTCGTATGATTTTTCTCCAAGAAAACAATATGAGAAAATGAGTTTTTCGTCAAAATTTAATTAACATCTCATCTTAATCTCAACGTAATTCATCATGGTAAATCAATTCAAATCACGGCCGTGACGTGAAATATAAATATTTAATGTTACCTAAGTGAAAATATTGAGTTTAAAACTTAGCTGTTGGGTAATTATTAACAATCCTCGAGATCGTTTATAATTTTGTATTGCTGTCTGTCTGCCCGTCTGTCTGTCCGTCCGTCCGTCTGATATCTGTTCGCGTGCACGATAACTTTGTGCAGAAACGTCCGATCGCTTTGCAAATTGATACACATGTTCTTCGGGATATATGAAAAGTCACCGAAAAACTGCCCAAATCTCCAAAAAGGGTTTCTTTTTGGAGATTTCTGTGTTAGTAAATATTTCTTAAAATGCAAAAAGATCTTAAGATGCAAAAACACCTTAAGGTGTATTGTAAAAATGATGTATGTGTGAAGATCTCGAGGATCGTTCGGTATTCAGCTGCATCGGATTTTTGCATAGGTACATACTTTTTAATATAATTATCAACAATTATTTCCATACATTATTGTTTCTAATAGAAAAATTATATCAGTAACCATTAATGGCGACCAAAAAATCCGACCATAAAACTTTTATTCTTGAACTTTGTCGGGGAAAATAACGAGGTGGGATAACTGCCTCCAGCTTCCAATGACATGCAACGTGCTCTTTCAACTTTCCTACAATGATTGGATGACGTGCCACTCAACTTTTTTCTTAAGTTGTGTAGGACAGTAGGTAGTTGCTGGATTACCCTTACTTATACCATAATAAGTATAAAGCTTATAAAATGAATTAATTGTGTCTACTACTGAGTTCGTTGTATTTTCTGAGGGGCTAGCGGAGCTCCTAGTCTAGGACAACTCGCCGTCGCCGACTGCCCGTTGGCGATTCGCCGTCGCCGACCCGCCGTCGAACAAACTCGCCGTCGGGCAAACTCGCCGTCGGTCAAGTCGCTGTTAGCAGAATAAATAATAAAAAATACTACTAAATGTTTGTAAGTGCAATCAGTTTGTTCTTATCAAACAAAACACTCTAAAATTACAAAAATATTTTTGGTTATACATTATACATTTACATTTCATAATTATGGGCTAACCCCCTAAGATATTCCGAAATATCACTATCAATCAATCAATCCGTGTATTTTACGACGGGTACAGGTAAATTAGTCTGTCAGCATTAGAAGAAAGAAAGGATAACATACTTTGATGTCCAAGCACGAAAACCGAAGTGCAATTATAATTTACAACCGTTGCGAATTCTTAAAAGGGCGTAGGCGGTTATTAATTTTCAAAGAAGGTCTTTTTCACAACGGTTTAGGTACAATTTTTCTTGCTATTTTGCATACGATAAAAGGATTTAGATCGTTTTGGGGGGCTCCTGGATCTGGATCAAATCATGATTTTTAAATGTATCTGGATCTCTATCTAGATCCAAAATTAAAGGATCTTACTCAACACTGCAAATAACTACACTACACCATTCCAATGATGAAACGAGATTGCTAAATAATATTATATGACTAAACAGATTGCAGCATTATATATGGATTGCAGTTATAGACATCTAAGTGTTAGATTTAAATATTTAAAAAAAATCTTTATTTTGTTTCCGGTGACGGCGAGTTAACCGACGGCAAGTTGTCCGATGGCGAGATTGCCCGACGGCGAGTTGCCAACGGCCAGTCGGCGTCGGCGACTCGGCGACGGCGACTTGTCCTGCCCGTCCCCGACTCGGCCCGAGAACCAAATCCTCTTATTCTTTCTTCAAAGCTTCCATTTGGTCCAGAACTTCTTATTCACTTTAGTAGTACCTAGTAGTTATTATAACTCCCGTGTCTTCAGGTGTCTGCAATTTCTTGTCAACCGAATTGGGTGGTGGTTGTCTGCGTGGGGAAGGGTTAAGTGGCCATAGCTTTTCAGGTAAAGAACTATAATTTAATCTTTTGAGGTAAATGTATTAAACCGCTAGGCGATATCGATTTCGATTGAACCCTTCAAGAGTATATGCATGAAAGTTAGCACCGCCTAATTTTATATTCAAAGACCGAAGTCAGTTCAAGCAATAGGTACCTACCTACCTACAATCGTTGGTTAAAACCTTTTTGGGATTTTAGTAATTTTTAAACCCTGAAACATCGCGATTTCTCTAGCAGGAACGGTGCCTTAATTCGTGTTTTGATTTTTAGAACGCTGTAACACACACATCAGCCGATCTAAAGGATGCAGTCGAATTTGATTGGACTGCGCCGTCCAATTATAAAGGAAAGTTAACTTTATTGTAAGTACCTACCTATACTACCTTCCAATAATAGATTTCTTACCTTAATTTTTTAGTGCCAGTGTTGCAAAAGACGGAGCAGTTTTCTGGGCGAAACAGGAGGCCAACAGTATTCAAGTTTCTTAAATAAGGAAAACGAATAAAAAAAATTTTGTTTTCCATTATTTACTATGATTAATACCTACATTCGCCAAACCAAGTACAATAGAATCATGTAGAATTACCTATCGTAATATGTTACCACACAAATAAATTAAAATACAGTTTCATTTTCTTTATTACGAAGGGTCCGGTCTATTTGTCAGGGACGAGAGCGAGGGAACATTTTTAATCGTATCTTCGACAGTCAATGCGTATTAGTTGGCTGCATTGATGGGTTCGTGTATGAACAAAATTAAATAGAGCAATGGGCCGAAATATGTACCTACTAATAATCTAAATCGTCATTCATCACTAACTAAAGTTGAGCTTTACCTAACGCGTTGTTCACAAATTGAATTGCATCAAGTACCAGCACCAAAGCTGAGCATCAAGAACTAGTACCAGAGCTGAGCACCAAGCACCGGCTGTGATACTTCATATGAGACGGTAGCTATTATATACCTACTCTAGCGGGAAGATTCTGCTAACAATTTTTCAGTTTTGAATCTATGGGCAATATGAGTACTTATACCTAAAGCAATTCGCTGATTTGCACATATTTTCTTGTTTATGTAGTTTTTTTTTACAAAAAAGGTTGTATTGTACGTTGCACCAAAGGGGAGCCTGCGCTTGTATAGTTGCGATGATCTGTTACCTGCTTTAATTCTGACGACCTGTGCTTTATTCTGCAATTCGCTTTTAAACAAATAAAATGGTTCAACTAATCAAAAGTTCTATGAATTTGAACCGACGTTTTTATCAAAGATTTTAGGTATACTTTATCTTAAAATCAACTTAAATTTGACGGCACAAACAGTCATAAAGCTGGCAGTCTCTAGAAATTATCAAAACCATGACTTTGGTACTGGGTTAACACCATCTACTGGTTTTTTTCTTGAACATATGTTGAATTCATAACGAAGTCAGCAATGACAGCAATTGAGCCACTTCCACTTCGAAATTAAATGGTGGTGCATGCAAACTCCAGTTGTAAACAAATTATTCCAAAATGATTGTTTACATTTCTCATTTATGAAAAAGTGTATAAGATTTCGTAACAATTTAGCATAAATGCATAGTGTACAACACACGTGGAAATCATCTTATACTTAAAGCGGAAAAGAATGAATTAAGCTTCCATTCTTCAATCCTTCCCAAGAATATAGAATGGTATGGGGGCACGTTGTCGTCTGTGTGCCGAAATATATGAAGAGCTGGTGGAAGTTTTGGAGGAAGTCGACTTACCTGCTAAGATTTTTCAATTTTTCCGAATTAACATCGTAGCCGCAGATCGACTGCCCACGACCATCTGTCAGAAATGTTACGAGACCATATACGCCACATGGGATTTTAATGAAAGAATTCAAAGAGCTCAAGAGCTACTGACCCTCGAAGATGCCAATAAAACCGATTTTGCCGGTCCCTTGCAAAGTGTACCTGTCGAAAAATCCAATTCCGTCGTTGAATGTGTGTTTGTTAATCAATGTGATGAGTTGCAGAGTGAACCCAAAAATAAGGTATCTATTTAACATGTTTCCGTAGATTTTGATCATTTCAAAATTTAGCTTGTAATTTATTCTTTTCAGGGTTAATTTAAATTTACTCAAATCAAGTAATTTTTATAAGAAAGTCTATATCAATGGGGATGTTGCAGTTGCTGATGTAATTGTTACCAAAATAATTATTCTTTCCCTATGTTTATTTGGTCCATTTTAATGGTCTCATTGCTTATTATTCTATATGAAGTTTTTGAGGCAATGTTTGATTGATTATTTAACTTTTGAAAAATGGAATTGATGCAAATGTCTACTGGGTTGGCCAATTAGTGTTTCAGGCTCGGTTTCAGGTTACTGAAAAGAGAATGTTTTTTCTTGAATTGGAGAATGGAGAATACCATGAAAAGATAAATATTTTTTTAATGTACTCTTTTCTCTGTAAATGCGAGTGTAAATGTGTGTTTTTATCTCATTTTTACTTTGCTAGCGCAAAATGATTATGTTTAATGAAAAGGCAAAACACATTGCCTCCAAGCACAAGACTTAAGTAGGGACATTTTGTCGGAAAAACGGAAAATACGAGGCAAAACATATTTCCTTGACGGTCTGGAAGATCATAATCCTCATATGTACCTACATAGATTTTTTAAAATGAGAAAATAGATTTGATTTTTTGTTGTTTTAATTTCTTTAAGATACCATATTTTTTTTTTTTTTCTTCCTGTTTTCTTAGTAGAAAGCAATTTACTTAAATTGAATATTAAGGGCAGATTTTTCGTGTTACCGCCACCTCTATCTTACAGTTAGTTGGAATCAAATGTCTGGATTTCAAGCAGAAGGTGAACTTACATCCACCTGCCTATGTTTTGAGCTCGGTTTTGAGCCCTTTGTTGCCTTCATTAGGGTTGTCCGCCCCTAGCGTCACTTAAGCTACTCCACCCTTGAGACAAACTCTGGATCTCCTTGTCTATATTACTTCCAGGAGGGTGTTTTGGCTAATCTTATGCATTGCATGTGCATGTCCTGTGACGGAGTCTCTCGCATGATGGCAGTGTTACATCAAGTCCCATTTGGCCTAATGTCTTACCTGATGGGTATCTTGAGTTATTAGATTAGTTACAGTGGATGCGCCTCTTTCGTTGTTTTGGATCTATGAAGATGGATGTATCAGGTGGGAGTTATCTTCCGCATTGAAACATGCGGTAGTTTCTACCTACAGTAGCGGCCAAAAGTTTATCACAATAATTGTAACACTATATTACTACGGTTGAGAATAAAATATTAATGTGCTATCGAGGCTATTTAGTGTGCTATGAAATACAATTCGAGTCAGTCAGCCACTATTTGTTTTAGGGATGTTTAATTTTTTTAAAAATTATTTATTAACATCTGAACAATTCTACGGTAATACATTCAATGGTAATACCATGAAAAGTTATTGCCGACAAACTATATTGTGTTAAACTTTTGGCCGCTAGTGTACATCAAATTGAGCAACAGGAGAGTCTGCTCTGCCATCCAGCATGGGCAGCTGCTTGACTGCCTCAACTAGACTTCTACAGTAGTTTACCTCACCTCCTCTGTGTGCAACCATCCTTTTGTTCGTAGGAGTTGATTATGAGAAATTCTTGTCCCTCATATAGGAAATTTCGAGGAAATAACTGGGAAATTATAGCAAATTCTGGGGAAATATTAGGAAATTTTGGGCAATAGGAGGATATTTTGGGTGGCAATTTTTAGATAATGAAGGAAATCTTTGTCCCCTAAAATAAGTCGTGACCAACCCCTCAGTGAGATCTGATCTTGCACATGGTGATTAAGTGAAGGCAGACCCAGAGAACTTCCATGACAGCCAAGATGACAGCCTTGGGGGTGGTCCGCGTGGCAATCGTGCATGAAAGGCACGCTAGTCTTTGTTCATGGTCCAAAGTGCATTTATTTATTTGACTTGACTACGCCCGCGGTTCAATGTGAATTTTAACACAAAATAAAATACACCCTACTGTAATTTACAGGTGGTTGACTTGACCTCGTCCACAGTTCAACGCACATATCCACACAACCGACCTCGCACTACCGCCCACCCGAGTGGCACCCATTCGAGGACGCAAATCGTTTCCACTAATAAAACTAATTTTACGCAACCAATCAAATTCGTTGAGGACTATACTCAACTCAACGTGCAATAACTTAGCCTTGCAAAAGGCAGCAGCGTCGATAACAGTAACTGCAAAATAAACAGAATCTTTCGTGTAATTTGAACTAACCACGCCATAGCTCACTACTCACCCGCTCCGCAAGCTTTCAAACGTATTTACAAAGTCAGGACCGTATTTAAGGACCACTTGCGAATCAAATAAAATCTGTTAACGGGCTCCCGTTACAACTTTCACAATTCTGACGATCGGATTTCTTAAACTTAGATTCTTTGAACGATTCTTTACAATTTTTTTTAGTTGCTTTTATTACTTGAGCATACAGCAAAAATCCAATTTCAAACTTTACGTACTATGAGAATTTGAAAATTTTGATTTCAAAACATCTTGGAGGACTTAATTATAATTAATTTTGCAACTCAATTGTCAGGGGGTTTGGGAACATGAAAAAATCTTCTGAAGGGCTCCTGATTTTATTCAACCAAAATTATTTTTTAAAACAAATAAAGATCTGGTTGTCATATTAATTAATTTGAAAGCAACATGCTTTTATTTTTATTCGTGTGCGATGTATTCAACCCGATACAACCTGAAGAAAAAGTTGATATTGTAATTTGGTATAGAGCCGGTAATAGTTTATGTGAAATTTTAAAAGGAGTACAAAATTAATCACGCAGTTTGCATTAAGCGTTTGATGTGCACTACTGCAAAATCCAGAATAGCAGTGCAGAATGCGGCGCATGGGTTGCATAAAATTAGGCGCCTTTCAGAAGGATTTGTTCTTTTAAAAGTAGACATAGGGAAAAACAATACACATAAATCCCTGTCTACTTCTTAATAAATATCACTGTATAGTGTAAATAAAAGGCAATCTTCTTACCTACTTTAGCATAATAGTCCTTATTGCGTAATGATAATCATTTATGTTTTTGTTGAAGGTCAAACTTAAAAAAAGAACTTCCATAAGCTCGGACTCTGAGGATCTACTCTCAGGTACGAGTGATGCCGAATGGCACGAAGATGGCAGTGTCACCTTACGTCGGTGCTTAGAGGGTTGGGATCAGTATCCATGGACTTGCTCGGATTGTCAAGAAGCTTTACCTAACGCAGATGCTCTTAAAGATCATCATAGTCTCGTGCATGACCAGCCACCGAAGTATGTGTGTGCAGAATGCCCAAAAATGTATACAAAATACAGTACATTTGTTGGGCACGTTCGCACTCATCGAGATCATCTTCGATTTTGCTGTGATGTTTGTGGCAAATGGTACGGAACGAGCCGTGCTCAGGAGCAACACCGGGCCTCGCACTATGAACAAAAGCCTCACACCTGCACAACTTGTGGAAAACGGTTTCGAGTACAATCTTCTCTGTTGGTACATGCCCGATCGCATTTACCCGCAGAGGTCAAAAATAAGCATCAATGTGATCAGTGTCCGAAACGTTTCGGAACCAGACCGAATCTAATGGCGCATAAACGGATACACTCGGGTATTCGTGACTTCACTTGCGATCAGTGCGGCAAAAGTTTTGTGCAAAAAGGCAATTTAGACAATCACATGCTGACTCACACCGTGGCTCGACCGTTCACGTGTCACGCCTGTGGGAAAGCATTTAAAACCGCCGTTCGGTTACGAAAACATAGTTCTGTACACTCCGGTCTAAAACCTCACCAATGCGACGTATGCGGGCGACAGTTCCGAGAGAGAGGAACTTTAAAAGAACATCATCGCATTCACACCGGCGCCATGCCGTTCACTTGTGAATATTGTGGCAAATCATTTCGGTTTAAAGGTGTTTTGACGACACACAGGAGACAGCATACCGGCGAGAGACCTTACTCGTGCCTCGAGTGTCAGCATCACTTCACCAACTGGCCGAATTACAATAAACATATGAAACGTCGGCACGGTATCAACACCAGCGTTACTGTTCGTAAACCACAATCCATTCCTCCCACCGGTATGCCACAAAGAAATCCTCCCGGTACTGTATTAGCCCCGCCGCAACCGACAACAGTCACAATGCTTTCCAGTGTTCCTCATGCCACAGCGACAATTACGGATAATTTCGCAGAGCCTCCCCCTTTCTACCCGGTCCTTAATTTGTACAATTTACCCGAAGAATTGTTACAACAGCGTGTTTAATTGTATTATCAAGCTTTAATGTAGTAAAATGTGAGTGAGTATAAGTAAGACGTATCGAACCATCATTTTAAATTATTATTTGTAGATTCATAATTGTAATTAATAAAACAAGGTGCTAAACGACAGACAATTTCTCCTTTTTCTATACTTTTTTTGGACTAATCCAATTGAAAGTACATTCCCTCAGTTGTGAAGTTTTGTCTTTGGTGGACTGGTATTTGTCCACAATCTGATGGTAGCTTTTATTTTGGACTTATTTTGAATTTTTTCCCAAGTAGAATTTTTTTTAATATAAATTGAACCGATATTTATTAAAAGAAATATTTAAAATTATGTAACAAAGAAAGCAATAACATAAATTACGTCCAACTGTTTTTCCGCCGGGAGAGTGCCCAGGATACAGGCACTATTTACGCGTTGGCATTGTTTAAAGTATTTAAACAATGGCGTTGGATAGCCAAGGATATCCTTTGGAATAAAAATTGCTTAGCGCGTTTGTCGCCGGATTCCGCAATTAAACTTCTGGCTATTCTATTAAGAAAATCTCGTGATTCCTTGCACCATGCGCCAAGTGTCTCGAAAGCAAGTCCCATAAATATATAAGTAGTCTTTCTCTAGATCTTGATATTTTTTGTGTTTTTTTGAGCACGCCTCTTCTGCAGCACTTACAGAAGTGCTCTTGAAGTTTGCTGTGGATAAGGTGTCCACGCATGTACAGTAGAATTTTTAAACTGCAAAAAGTGTCAAGGTTCTGAGAACATTCCCCCGGACAAATATTTTTCATGTTAGCTTCAAGTTTTATTTTGATGATTGGAATAAATGCGATGTGCGTCATTTCCCCACAGTCATTATCAATGGGCGCGTTTATAAGACGCAACTGTTGTGGAAAATTGGATGCACATATTATTCTCTTTGTAACAAGAATGATAAAGTAACAGAAAGAAAAATACCCCACCCAAGCAAAAAAATAATTGGAGATAATTCTTATTGGTAAAGTAAAAAGGAATCTAGTTTCGTCGCAAAAGATATGTAAATTAGAGTTTGAAGGTTAATAAACAATGGATTAACTAAACAGCTAAGAAGGAACGACAAAACGCAACGCGATGCGGCCCGTACCGAGCGCACGAATCACCGTCGGAAAACTTACACTTCAACGTTGCCATTTTAGATAGTGTATGGTCGGTTGCCTAAGTGGTAGTAAGCTTCCGATGATCATTACTTTTGTCGATGATAGTCCATATGGTTAAGGTCACCAAACCGTTGTATGCCCGACTACAGTTTCCGATTCGGGTTGCAATAAACTAGTTGAACCGTGTACGGGGGTCTAATAAAGCAAAGAAAACTCACCCCTGACTACTAACGCTCACTTCGATCATCAATACTTACCTAACTGCAACTATAATTTTTCTGGTTCTGTCCGTCCGTCCAAGGGTTTTAGCATTGAATTGTTTTAGCCCTCAGCATTGAGAGCACTTTGGAAATGGTTTTTTATTTAATAACTATCATCAAGACGTAGAAATTTAGATAATCAAGGTGGTGTTATGAATATTGCAAATATTTCTATTTTGTACGTCTTGGCAGCTTTGAAAATAGGTACATACTTACCTAAGATGTATTTTATAATCCAAGTTTCGCAGTAGGTAAATTGGAGGCGAAAATGACTATGACGTGTTTGCAAAAAATGGTTAAAGGATCCCCCACACCAACGCAGTACGGGGATAATGGGAAACCTGGAGTCATTTTATAATTGACATTCAAATGAATTATTTCTCGTCTGACGAAGAAGAAGCACTTCTTTTAGTTGCCGTAGCAGAAAAAAACAGGTAGGTTTTAACATTTCTTGAACAAAACAAAGACAAACAATAAAAATTATTTTTGCCGAATTTGTATCCGACTGTATAAAACTAATGCGGTAACTTCAAAATTATTTAAAGTCCTCGTTGTTGGATCAATTAGGTAAAATCTTTGAATGTAATTTATATTCAAAGGTAAAATGAATCTAGAAATGTATGCATGTATGTTTTTTTTAAAAATACAATATTTAACATTAAAAATTAAATTGAAATTTTAGTTTAATCTTTTTTTACATCGCGTCGTAGATTGTATATATAAGGTGGAACCTTTCAGCATCCAGCGCATTCTAAAGGTCTGGAGAATCTAAAGAAGCAGAATACTAATTCTTCCAAGAATTTGATGAATCCAGAGAACCTGAAAAATCGGAAAATATTAAAGAAACGAAAGAAAAAAAGAATCTAAAACTCTAAAGGTAAGGTATTTTTTCGAGAAGGATTTACGAGGAATTTGAAATTAACGTTTAACGTACTACCCCAATCCCTTTCTACCATCAGGCAAACGCATTAACGTTGGCTCGTTGTTTCAATTTTTTTTATGATTCTTATTTCTTATTGCACTCTTTCGGTTTTTCCCGATTCGTACCGAACAACCCATAAATGTAAAGAATTTTATTTGATTTGATATGATTGGAACAATATGGAATTTTGAAGAAGTTGAACAGTGTATTGTGGAATAATCGAGATAATTAAAAAAATCCGAAGACTCCGAAAGAATGAGTAGTGCAAGGATTTGAAAAATGGAAAAAAGTAAAATAACTAAAGTGAGAAAAATTTTAAGAATTTAATGAACAATGTACAATAAGAAATAAGAATCATAAAAAAAATTGAAACAACGAGCCAACGTTAATGCGTTTGCCTGATGGTAGAAAGGGATTGGGGTAGTACGTTGAACGCTAATTTCAAATTCCTCGTAAATCCTTCTCGAAAAAATACCTTACCGTTTCCCTATGGTGCGTTCTACCTGGGACACACTGTATGTAATTCGTTAATTTAAGTAGAGATACGTCCAACGTTGCCAAGTTTACTAGTGCACGGATATACCGGTAGTTGGTAGTAGATCTAAATAGTTCTAGTCACGCAGTAGAAATTATGTGGTACAAAATATCTACTAGTGAACCCGCAGCGCAGAGACTGCTGTGGTCTACGAGTAAAAATCTCGTAGAAAAATACTCTATGTAGGCTGTGGTGAACCGTAAACGTAGGTAGTTTTCCAAAGATTTCCTCAGCAAGTAATTTCAAACTATCAAGAAATCAAAATTTCGTTTTCTAAAGTATTGCCAGGATTGATTATTTAATATGACTGACGATTCTTGGAGGACTGCCACTTTCAGGCAGAGTGTTGTGTCGAAAATGTAAGTGATGCTCACAAATTATTGTTGCCAATATGTTTTAATTTCGATTTGTAGTGACGAAGCAATTCGCCAGTCACGTATGCCTACATCACGTAACAGCATGGAAATGGAAAATCATGTATTTCAGAAGGCAAAGACAAAAGAAGAGTACTTGGGTTTTGTGGCAAGATTGATTCTACATGTTAGAGAAATGAGTAAGTTATTTAGGCATATTGTTTGCTTTTTACATATAAGATGCCTATTTTGTTTCGATTTTCTGTTGAATAAGTATTGTAACTGTTTGTTTTTGTTTACGTTTGTTGGGATTGGTATCGAGTTGGTATCAGCTGCTTGTTAAGATACCTAATTGTTGTCAGTAGGCTGCATTTGAAGACAGGAAGGCATTTTTTGTGTTGGATTATCACATTAACCAACCTCAATTTAGAACCAGACTTAATGAAGATCCTGCTAGTAATTGCTCTATTTGCAAGTGTTCCTTGAATTTTAAGAGAAATGTGCGGGAAAGTGGCTGCACTTGTAAAAAGAAACCAACGGAAAGGCCATAAGTGATGATACACTCTTGAATTGGCCTCCAAGATCTCACTTTCTTTGATTTTTCTTGTGGGGATACAGCAAAGACCACCCTTACACAAGGATACTATATAATATAAGGATTGCTCGATCCCTATACTTGTAATGTTGCCCAAGTTTAAGTCATATGTGACGTCACCAACGGACCTGGCTGTCAGAATTGACAGTTATAATTTGCTAAGTTGTGAACGTATTTGCATGGACGCCAAGACGCCGATGTGCAATATTAGACTGTAACAACAACCGTGTTTGCACAAAAATCACTAACCCGGAAGTCATTTACCATAACTTCCTTAAAACCGATGGATTAATACGCAAGGAATGGATATGGTGCTGCAAGCGAGATTAATGGACAAATGTTTCTAATGTAAATGCCTGCCTACAACACCCATTTGAACGTATTTTATGGTAATCCTAAAGGTCGATTCTCATTAGAGCAGCACCGAGCGGCGCGGCGCGGCGCTAGCAGCAAATTGCAAATTGTAGAGGGGTATTCCCACTTAAGCACCATTTGGAAGCGTGACGAAGCATGACTGAAACATAAAACGAGTGGCGAATTTTGCAAGCTGGTAGTTTCTGTTGGCATCTAAACTATTGAAGTGTCATTAACTGTTAATGTCAAAGATTGATTTGTGTTTGCAGTGCTAGATATTTCTACTTTACAATAATTTGGTGCAGTTTTATATTTTTCCTGTGTGTGCTTATCTTCAAACCCAGCGCCATCTACTACCTTCTTATAATGAATGAAGTATAGGTGAAAACGGATCTACTTATTTACATGCGAAAAATTGAGAGCAGCTTTTCACCGCGCCGCGCTGCTCGATGCTGCTATAATGGGAATCGGCCTTAATCAAAGCATGCGCTGGTACTGGGTCCGCGAGTGACGTCACTACACGCGGCGAAAAAATTCAGTGATCGAGCAATCCTTATATTATATAGTATCCTTGACCCTTACAAGAAAACTTACCTGAGATTCAATTGTAAGGAGGGGCTATTGGATGGTGACCTTGAGGATGACCTTGACCTCGACCTTCGACTTTCTTATCGACGCCATATTGAATTTTGTAGTCACTCGCTAGAGAAAAGAACTACAAAATCGGAGATATCAAATAATGAATATTGTATTTGGTAGTTAGACTCCTATTCTTGAACCGCTCGATAAAAATCGGTGAGTAGGTAACTTTGTCATCGGTGACTCACTCACTCACCAAATTCCGTATTCTTGACACTAATTGAAAACCGCTCGAGTTTGTCAACTTGGCACCACTGTATTCTCACTTTTTTCTCATGTCACTTGTTTGAATCTGTCAAATTGTGATTCATTGCGCTTGCGTTTGTAATTTTTGCGATTTATTCAAATTTAAAATTAAAATATGTCTCGCGCTTCAGAAGAGCAAAAGCTGATACTTGTTCAGTTTTTAAAAAAAAATAAAAACGTCGTGGCAGGGAAAACGTCACCTAATTTTACCAACAAAAATATACACGAGAAGTGGAAGACGGTTGCAGCATCTTTGAATAGCACTGGAAGGCCTTACAAAGATTGGAAAAATTGGCGAAAAGTAATGTTTTCATTAATATGCAACTCAATACCTTATTAAAGCTATATATATTGTTGCAATTTTAGACTTGGCAAGATTTATATTCTCGCGTAAAGGCGAAAGCTGCCAGAATCAACCGGTCAACAAACCAAACAGGTGGCGGTCCCCCCAGTGATGAAAAATTGACCACATTCGAGCAGGATATTGTGGACACTTTTATCAAGCCGGTAGTGGTAGAAGGAGATTCATTAATTAAAGAAAGTGTCTGCAATTTCCATGCGAATGATACAAGTATATAGGCTACGATTTTTTAACAACTTTCACGTTAAAATTTTTCCTTGTCCTTTTAGCCACATCCATGATCTCCAATTCCAGTGGTGCAATTGTTCATCCCATAATATTGAACCCTGTTGACGAAGTCGACATCGAGGTTATCAACATTGACGAGGTAACCAAAATCCCACCTACGCAACCCACGACATCCAAGAATCTAACCAGAACTGGTTCAGCAGCTTCAGAAATTGTTAAAAAAGGGAAGAAGCGAACGGCAGAAGAATCGAGGGCGGAATATGCAGAATATTTGAATAAAAAATTAAAAATAAAAAAAGACTATTACGACGCAAAAATTGAGCACTTACGGCAACAAACTGTTTTAATGGAACAGCAACTCATTATTAATACACAATTGCTAGAATTAAAAAAACTTAAATATAGCTCCAACTAATGGTAATATGTAAAATATAACGACAAACGATTTTTATTGATAATTACATAATGATATAAATTTTCTAGTTGTATAATTACAAGTGCTGGGGAGCGGCTAATAAATTTTTCAGTGCATTTTCCTAAAAGAAAATTAAAGCTGTTGCCTGCACTTGGTCCATCTGGGCCACTACTACTCCTCCGTTTTAAGCTTTTTCTTCGTGATTTTTTTCTTATACAGTGTAGCACTGCTTCAAGACCAGATCGACAAAAGATTTTTTGGACTAGTCACTTCCTTCCTGAGAAAATATATCTTTATATACTTAGCAAAACTGTGGTAAAAACAGAGGTGTAGAAATTGTACACTTCACACGGATTATGCACACTTTCGCGAGCAAAATGATAATCGTTAAAAAGAAGGAAGTTTAATAAACAGTTTCGTATAAATAAATAATAAAAATCGCCTAGAAATCACAGGAGAACGAGCACGAAAATTTATCAAAAGCGAGGTTAGATTTCATTCATAAATCATATAAACACTGAGAAACGACAAGGTGAAGGATGCATAAAATACTCACGAAAAGCGTGACGGTTTTATTTATTGCCTATACTTTAGGAAAATATACGAGTAAGATCACCAAAAATCAGTTTAAAAGGATCGCACAACTCAAGTCACTGAAAAAAAACTGATCGACTGAAAGCGCTCGACATGTGACAGTGTGAGTCACCCACTCGAACGGTTTAAAGCGTCAAGAATACGAAAATATGAAAATCGCTCGAGATGACGTCATACTCACTCACTCACACGGTAGTCACGCGTTCAAGAATAGGGCCCTTAATCTTGAATTTTTGCCTTGAAGTTTACAATGCATTTCTTATGGCAATAATTTCATGGTCAATATTGTGATAGAAACCAAATTCATTCGTTTATTGTTTAGCATAGTCGCCGTCTACACGGTTATGGAATTATCATAAATACATTGCATTGAAATTTTTTCTTTACATCCCCTGCAGTTTTTGAGATATTTCGTGCAAATTTGAAATATAAGTTACACTGAAGGGCATGACCAATGATAGTGAGAATCTATGGAGTGATATTTTTTCAGGAGTTATATATTCTATTTCCAACCCCAGAACTTTTTTCGGTGCGCCACTGGTAGACTGTGAAAGAAGATTTTCTGGTTTGTTTAGAAACTTTTTAGTCTCTTCTAATTTTTTCGTATCTCTGGCCGTCATCGAGAAAAACAAATAAAAATCACTCGAAAAAAACAATTCTCCGTATATATATTTCTTAAAATGGTCCAGTAGGCCCTGGCTTTATTTGGATAATATGTTGTTTTTATTAATTTTGACAGTTGGCATTGCAAATTGCATCTTGTATTTACATATGTTTATAAATAAATGGTTTAAATTGTTCAGCGTTCAGTATAACTATAACACCCTGTAGATCGGTAATGAAGCGTTTGCGGATCTATGTTTATATGAACTTTTAGCCATAAAATAAGCCAAAGAATTAGCCCTTTCCATATTCACACGATTTAGGAACACCCTGTATAACATATCAGGCGATTCATTTATGTTGAGACGATTTAACAACTTGATGGAATCATCCTTTTTCAAAAAAGTTTATGTACAATTGTAATCTAATCGGTGGTGACCTTGAGCGTGATCTTCACCTCCACTTTCACGGTCAACTTCAGAATTCTGAATAGGACCCCCTAATTTTGAACTCAGAAATGAAAAGACCATGAAATTTTGCACACTCTTGAAAATTGCTTAATATGACGCAATATAAATAAATATAAAGAAAGGTGCTTGGTATTCAGAATTATGCCAACTATTAAAATTAGACCATTTCCCATGTGTGTATACATTATTAAGGATCCTCAGATCCTTTATAGTTTTGTATTGTCGTCCGTCCGTCCGTCCGTCCGTGTGCGCTCTAACTCTTTTTAAAAGTGGCCGATTGTGTTGAAATCTGGTATACGGGTACGTTGGACATTAAGAACGGACGCTATTGATTTTCAGGAAGCTGGTTCAACAGGAACAAAAGTTATACGACTTCGAGTGAATCGGGGACAGGAAAAACTGCGAACTCAATATAATAAAAATTAACATATTTCATTCCCTAGGTCATGTATCGAGTTCGGACTTTCGCTAGATTATTCCCTATGACTCTTAGATGTGTAACGATTCAATATAACTCTTCTCTGTGGTCTCGGTCAAAAGTTTTAGAGCAAAATGTACCCAAAATTATTCTTTACACATGAATTTAGAGTTGTAAAAGCTTTCAAACGCATTATCTTGATGCTGAAAGAGTTGATAACGTGCACGTTTGATAACCGCATGTGTGTGATTCAAAAATGTTAAATTATTTTTCTGAGGCCACATGGATTTTGATCAAAATATGTCAAAATCGTTAATTATGCACCAAAATCGTTGGGAAAAAGACTACGCGCATTATCTCAATGCCCAAGACATGAATTTGATGCATTTTTGGCGACCACGTGGATTTTGATCAAAACATGTCAAAATCGTTATTTATGCACCAAGTTCGTTGGGAAAAGACTAGGCGCATTATCTCAATGCCCAAGACATGAATTTGATGCATTTTTGGCGACCACGTGGATTTTGATCAAAACATGTCAAAATCGTTATTTATGCGCCAAGAGCGTTGGGAAAAAGACTACGCGCATTATCTCAATGCCCAAGACATAAATTTGATGCATTTTTGGCGACCACGTGGATTTTGATCAAAACATGTCAAAATCGTTATTTATGCACCAGGATCGTTGAGAAAAGACTAGGCGCATTATCTCAATGCCCAAGACATGAATTTGATGCATTTTTGGCGACCACGTGGATTTTGATCAAAACATGTCAAAATCGTTATTTATGCACCAAGATCATGGGGAAAAAGACTAGGCGCATTATCTCAATGCCCAAGACATGAATTTGATGAATTTTTGGCGAAAACGTGGATTTTGATCAAAACATGTCAAAATCGTTATTTGTGCACCAAGATCGTTGGAAAAAAGATCAAGAGCATTATCTCAATGATCTAAACATGAATTTGATCTATTTTTATGGACCACATGGATTTTGATCAAAACATGTCAAAATCGTTATTTATGCACCAAGATCGTGGGGAAAAAAACCAAGAGCATTATCTCAAAGCCCAAGACATGAATTTGATGCATTTTTGTTAACTATAAAATGTATTTTGTAAGATTAAAATAAATTGTCGTTAAAAGTGATTGTAATACTGAGGATCCTTTGATATTTCGTTGTATCGGTTTATTTTATTTGTGTAGCATGGCCAAATTTGGTTGTTGGTATGGGGTAACTCATAAACTATAACTGAAAAAAATTGACCTCGCAGTCTCGATGTATTTTTTTAAGATAAAGTCGAGATTCAACAGCAAACTAGCCATCTTTTGTTTTTGACTTATGTGCAAAACTTGCATTTTTTCAATATTTAGATACAAACCTATAACTTCTTTGTTTATGAAATTATCAGAAATGTGGTTATTACAAATGATTGTTGCATAATCTGTCGTTTTCAAAATAAGTATATGGGGTCAAGTAGAAACGTTATCGGACCTAACCTCATCCTTTAAAATGGAACACCCTGTGTATTTTAATATTAAAATCAGACAGCATACTAAATTCTCTTTTCAATACTATACCACACCAGGTATATCAAAAAAAGAGTCAAGCGATTTAAAAAAAATCAAAAAAGTTTCAAAGATTTTTAAAGATTTAAAAAAGTCCGGCGAAAAAAGTTAAAAATCTAAAATTTTTTTTCGGCAAACCGGTTATTTTGATTTAGTTGAAATGTTAGCAGTGTACATTGGGCATAATGGGTGTAAGACTGTCAAAAAAGTTTTTTTTAATATCTGGTTTGAACTAGGAGGCTGTTATCAATTATTAAATCAGTTAAACGGTATGCGACCAGATGTATTTTCCAAAAATAACTAATTTCTACAGCTAGTGGTATCTGCGCGGGACACGGAAAATTGTTATTTCGCCCGCCCCCTCTGTCGATTTATTGACCCGCTCAATCTGGCTATGGCCCTGGGATCCTAGCAATTGATAAATAAGAAACTGTCTGATGTCCCTATTTTTCTCATTCAAAATTTTGAAGTTGGAATAATCTTGAAGGTCGAGATCAAGCTCATCCTCAAAGTGACTACAGGCCCCCTTAGGGCCGATTCTACAATGAAGGTATACCGAGAATAAGCTATACCTAGAATAAATGTCGACGGTGGCGTTGGTTACCATTGTGTCAACCAATGGCATACATGTTGCTATGGCAGTTATTCCAAGAATATCTTATTCTCAGTAAAAGTATAATTGTAAAACCGGCCCTTAGACAATTTTTATATGAGACTTTTTTCCAAAAAATATGATCCCAACAAGTTATTAAATCCTCTCAAGACAAATGAATCACCTGGTATAAATAACATATACAGTGATGTTTATTAAGAAGTAGACATAGGGATTTGTGTGTATTGTTTTTCCCTATGTCTACTTTTAAATGACAAACTCTCTAATGAAGGGCGCCTAATTTTAAGCAACCAAAATAAATTCTTAAAACAAATAAAGATCTGACTGTTTAAATATTGTTGCTTTATATAGCGTTTTAGCGTTGTAAGTAAAGCATTGATCATTGCAACATTTTTTGATGGCATTAATAGAAAAATGTCGATAAGATGGTCCTTTGTTTCGTGGGTCATGACAGTATGTAAAGAGGACCTGATAATACCTAGCAGTACACATGCAGGAGGGTAGTACATAGGCAGAACTTAGTAGTACCCCATGTAGTACCCAGAAGTAGGTACATAGAATTACTGGCAGGACAGGGGGAGTACACCAAGTACTGTCAATTTCGACAGTACATGTACAAAAGGTTGCCTAGTGAAATACCCCTTGGAACAACCATTTGTCAATAGTTTTTTATGGTAAAAGTACACAAGAAATTGAGTAGTTCCCATTTACATAAAAGTGTATGCATATTTTTAGCCTGTGTGATTGTAACAATTACATATAATAGAAAAATATAATTTACATACAATTCAGATGTAAATTTTTTTTGGTAACTTTCTTCTAAAAAATGGTGGTCTAGTCCACAAATTTAAAATCATAAGTGTCTAATGTTAACCAGTATCTGTTCATGTTGTTTTTTCGTGATGTTATTTTATATTCAGATCCTATTAACTACGAAATAACTTGCAGGGTATAATCTGTATCTTCACTTAATAATATCAATTTTATTTCAATTGTAGATACCAAAAAGGGAGGTGAAATGAACGGTCCTGGATCAGTACAAAGTGGTCCAGGCATGCCGGATCCTATTAATGCCTTGCAAACTTTAGCGAGCCAAGGCTCGCGCAATAATCAAATGATGGGAATGGGAGGACCTCAGCAGCAAGTACAGATGGGCGGTCCTCAGCAGATGCCGCCGATGTCGGCCACGAATTTATTACAAACTATAAACAGAGGTCCCAACCAAGGAATGGGAAATATGCAAACTAGACCCACAATGGTAATGGGCGGTAATGGCCCCATGGCAAATCAGATGGGTAATCAACTCCCCGGACAAATGGGCGGTCAATTAGGTGGACAAATTGGGGGGCAAATGCCGGGACAAATTTCTATTTCGACTATGGCGCAAATATCTGGACAATTACCAAATCAGTTGCAAAATCAGCTCAACAGTCAAATGCAGGGTCAAGTTAACAACCAAGTGCCAAATCCTCTTCAAAATCAATTACAGAACCAACTCGGTAACTAATCTATTTCTGCCACTCTTGTTACATTGCGCTTTAATAGGGCCCACAATGCAAGGACCAATGGGAGGTGCAAATCCGATGTCTAATCAACTACAAAACCAAATGCCCAATCAACTTCCAAACCAAATGCTTGGTCAACTTCAACAAATACAACGCAAACCCGCAGATAATATCATAATGAACGCGCCCAATGCCGGTTTTCCACGTAATTCCACTCCCACTCAATTTCTCCGTCAAAGCCCAACACCTTCTGTTCAGTCACCCGCAAACTTAAGTGGTCCTCCGCCGAGCAATCAAATGGTTGCCTCTCCAGCATTAGTACATTCGCCGAGCTCACAAATGAGTTTAATGCCCGGTCCTCAACGATCTGTAGGAATGGCACCTAGTCCGAGCAGTTCTCTGAATACTCCCGGCCAGCCTGGTCAGAGTCCAATGGGAATGCAGGAGGAGCAAGCATATCGCGAGAAAGTCCGTCAGCTCAGCAAGTACATTGAGCCCCTTAGGAAAATGATTGCTAAAATGGGCAATGACGGTGAGCGTATGTCATCAATTTTAACTTTTTTAAACATTTTCTCTGCAAGCGAGTAGCACCTAGTCACAAGAAATACGTTCCAGATGTGGAGAAGTTAAGCAAAATGAAGAAACTGTTAGAAATACTATCGAATCCTTCCCAACGCATGCCCTTAGAAACTCTTATTAAGTGTGAAGTAGTCTTGGAGAAACTGGATTTTAAACGAGGGGACGGAAGTGTTGCACCTCCTGCTCACTCGGTCACATTCAAAGAACATCACTGCTTTACTCCGCTGTTAGAAGCAGTTAGCAACAATCTGCAGTCATCCGTTATCAACCACACTCTTCATCGAACATTTGGACCGACACTCGAAGCTCTCTTTGGTCCAGAAATTCGGTACTACACTATCATTTTATTTAATTAACCATTTAGTAATCTTCTAAATCTGCAGACTAGTTCCATCACTTAAAAGGAAGAGGGTGGAAGAACCCCCCAACGAAATTCCTGACGTCTTGCAGGGAGAAATAGCTCGTTTAGATCAACGTTTTAAAGTTTCATTAGATCCCTGCCAACAACCAGGTTCGAAATCAATTCAGTTGATATGCGGTTTGGAATGCAAGTATCTTCCGTGTGTCCCTCCTGTCTCATTAATAATACCTGAAGACTATCCGAAAAGTTCTCCAAAATGTTACATGGCTCCACACGAGTATAATGCCACTCAGTTTCTCTCAGCCGTGCAAACCGCACTGTTGGCGAGAATAAAGAAACTTCCAAAGCATTTTTCATTATCACAGCTACTTGATACATGGGAGATGAGTGTGAGGCAAGCGTCTGCGCCATCTCACGTACCAATATCAACAACTACTCTTTTAATGGGTCTGTAGGTTATGGAATTTATCGAATTTAAAATTAAAATAATAAAATATAAACTGTAAGTGTGCGTTTACAATGAACGTATACGTAAGCATTTCATTAAACGTAAAAATTTTGCAAAGTTGAACTGTATAGAAACATACGAAGGTGTTTACAATGAACGTAATTTTTACGTATGTATATGTAAGTGATATGTAAGTCTTGCGCATAGTCGCAAAGGTTGAAAATGTGTCAAAGTTACGTACGGTTGCTAGTAAAAATAAATAATTAATGTTGGTTGCACTGGTGGGTTGGTATAATTGAAAAATATTTGTGCTTGTTCACATTCAAACTTCAAAGCAGGTATCATTCATGGCGCGAAGATAAATTATACACACAGTTTTAGATTGACTTCACTCCAAACCTTACAGCACAGCTTACTTACTAAGTAAGCGGCGTATTTTGGCGCGAGATATTAATAGGTTATGTATTTACAATTTACTACATAAATTATACTCTTTTTTGCAGATAGATGTCGCTTACATTCCTATAAATTAACATAAAAAATTACGTTTATTGTAAACAGCGAAGTAAATTTACGTAAACGATACGAATATGTACGAGTTACGTTTAATGAAATGCTTACGTATACGTTCATTGTAAACGCACACTAATAATTATTTATGTAACATGATACCGCTACAAAGAACCAGATACTATTTCTGATTTCATGATACTACAAATACATAATAAAGTCAATTTAATCATTTATGCATTAATTTTCAATGTTTCCCATTTGAATGTCTCTGGTCTAGATCTCCAATTCGGGCCCTTTGTACTACCTCCCTAACTAGAGTTGTCCGACCCCTGAACATCACTCAAGCCCATCCCACACGTGAGATGAACCTAAGGATGCGGGAAGGGGAGGCGGCTTTAATCGTAGCCATGTCCGGTCAGGATACCACCCAGCTATGGATCGTCTCAGTTGGAATAGAGCGGGACATTCACAAAGTATGTGGTAGGCCCCACTCATGGTCCATATACTAAACAGTTGCCTCACATCCAAACAACCAATAAAACGCGCTGCCATTGTGACGTACTTCAGCCCGCAGTAAACCGCCCACCCACCCATGCGATGTATGTGTTTGTTTACAACAACCAGCAACCATATGGTTCTTGCGCATGGCGACAATCGAACATCATGTTCCACCTAGCCCTGTGCTCATACAGGGCAACATCACAGTGATAATATGCGTCCTCGTGAATACATAGTTAAATACTTAATAAAACAATATAAAGGCATAACCACCTACACAGTATATAAAAACCAAACACGATTTACTAACGGTACTAAAGCTGGAAACACACGATCGAACATCACGACAAACATGTAAGCGCGTATATGTTCGTCAACGTCAAACATTATCACACAGACTAAATTAATGAATCCACCTACATGTTCAAAGAGTTTTTCGGTGCAACACACACGCGTTGGGCGTTGATGTTTGACGAACATGTACGCGCGTAGTACATGTTTGTCGTGATGTTCGATCGTGTGTTTCCAGCTTTATAAAACAATAAGCTTAGAGCACGCCATGCTTCAATAAACATCAAAATCTTATGTACCTAAACTGTAAAGAATATCAAGTTGTGACACAAAATTTAAAGATTGATGGTTAGTAGGTACAAGAAAAAATGCATCAATGATTATACAACATGTAATTAGACCTATCAAAAGAAAATAAACATTGAGAAAACAGACACGTTACGTTATAGCACTCGATGCCTTCGGAATCTGTTACCGACGGAAACCTTCCGCCAAGTTTCATCGTGAAGATCCCATTTCTCAGCGTCTGCGCAGAACGGTCGAAGTCGAACACTTATTACGATTGTTGTATACCGAGCGTTTCGTAATTTTTCCATAGTGCTATTCTTGCACATGTAGTGTGTGTTTCAAAGGCTCAAAAATGTATACAGGACGAGCGTTGTTGGTTGGAGGGTTGGTTGCCTATAGCCATCTATTTCATGCATTGACATGATTTTTTAAATATATATGCTACGGGCATTGGATAAAATAATTTACAACTGCCAAAAAAACCTGTCATTTTCTGACGAATTTCGAAACGCGAAGTACTAGATTTTTAAAGGTTGCTCTTGTAACGTGCGCGAAACCGTCAACAATGAAAAAAGTATTTCGCACACATGCCAAAATTGAACTTAAACAGCAAATTTAATTAACAATCGGTTCAGTTGTAGAAAAAATATTGTATATAACGCTAGCGCGAAGTTATTTCGCGCATTTGACTGATATTTTGATTCGGCTTCGCCTCGTCAAAATACCTTCAGTCTCAATGCGCGAAATTGAACTTCGCGCTCTTGTTATATAAATAAGTATTTCATCAATGATGCGAAGGCATTGAATAATTTTTTACTCAATGGCTACGGCAATGCGGCGGTTATTCATAATAACCGGTAAATGTGAATAATTGAGGAAAGGAACAGCTTCCGGAATGTTTTTTTCATTCAATATCTTCTCAGTTTCATACGTTTATACCATTGAATTCTTGTACGTACATACAAAAGCATATAAAATTTTATAATAAAATATATCCAAATGCGAAAGAAAAGCGCATCACGCAACCCACAGTACCTATTAGTACAAAATGGGTCTATTCATTCATTTTACGCGCACGTTCAAGTAGTAATTTTCAGTGTGGACATTGAATACATTTATTCAATGGTGTGGATTAGTCTTTCATGTTTAGTCGTCCTCCTATAGTTAAAAAAAAGCAGAGGATAGATACCCAACATACATAGCAGAGTATTGATACCCCCCCCCCCCCCCCAGCAACCTAATTGTCTTAAAGCGAAAAATCATTCCCTTCACCACCAATTCACAAATCATCACTTTTCACATTTGGTAAACCGGGCACACCAACGCCAAATCAATGCAAACCATGTGTACATATGCAAAAATGTTAACAATTACAAAAAGGAGAGGCACTTCAGCACCGCCCACGTCAGTTGACCTCCTTAAATGTGGAAAACAAACCTCAAGTTATTTATATACCTATTAATGTACCTACCTATATGAGATACCTACTCTGTTTTTAACGTTTAAAATGTAAAAAAACAAAACTGGTTATTAAAAATATTTTGCTTAAAATTTTATTTATTATATTCTCTCTTTAAGTATATAACACGTATGTACTTAGAATCAAATATCGCTGATAGCACTCCTTAAACTTATCAGAAAATGTTGTGATTTTTGTAGATATTAATGGATTTAAGATAAATTATCTGTGAAAGATATGAATGTGGTTTGCCGGTTTGAGATGTTGATTTTGAGTTGGTGTTAATCTCGTAAGCTAGAGCCATAGAAAACCTAATGGGTTAGATTTTCTATGGCCAGAGCGTACTACATCGCATCGGCGAGATCTGCACTCCGTTGATGGTATGGTAGGATATTGCGAGGTTAGATGGGGCGTATGTATTTCCAGTTTGATGGTCTGTGTTGTCTACAGTGGCTGAGTCTTCTATTTTGGAGCCCACTGACAGAGGCATTTATTTCATAAGACACTATACTGCATTTGGAGGTGCGAACGCAGTATAGTATCAATAGGAGAGCATTGTAAAACAATTTTAGAAAAACAAACCTTTGGAATGTTTACAGCGATTATACCTAGGTACTATTAAGGATCATAATTAACAAAATTGTAAATTTAGAGCAAAAACATTTAGAGAACTTGTTCTTTTTGCTCAATTCTCTAGTTTAGTTCTATTCATTATACGATTATCGTTTGTATTTTAATTTATGCATTCAGGAAGAAGATCTATAATTGAGTATAATCACAGATATATTACGTATATCTGTGGTATAATCTTATAAAGAATAAATTAAACAAATATAGCAAACGAGCTCCTGGGTATGGCTATAGAATGTGTAAAACCAAATTTTAAACCTGATGTTAGTTTTACTTTTATTTAAAGTGTATATGTATGAAATTTCATTTGAATGCCTCCATAAATAAGAAAGTTGGCACTGCGCATGCGCAAAACCAAATTTTGAAAATTGCGTTAAATTTGCTTTTATTCCAAGTGGCTATGTATCAAATTTCATTTAAATCTCTCCATAAATAAGAAAGTTGGCACTGCGCATGCACAAAACCAAATTTTGAAAATTGCGTTAAATTTGCTTTTATTCCAAGTGGCTATGTATCAAATTTCATTTAAATACCTTCATAAATAACAAAGTTTGCAATTCGGTCTGTAAATGGTCGAGATGCGCAAAGGGCACTGTGAATGCTGATCGATTAGGCTCAACTTTTGGAATTGTGTTTTATATGGCTAAAGCTATGCGCATATTGAATTTCATGCAATTCGGTTCATAACTAACGGCGATGTCAAAAGGGCCTACTTTATTTTTTGGTCTACATTGCCAATTCACGAACTCCGATCTACAAATTTGATAAAAAATCCACCTGCAAAATTTCATCGTAATCGGTCCAATCGTTTCTGAGTTATCGTGCTAACGGACGGACGGACGGACAGACACCGCAAAATTAGAAAACTCGCTAGGAGCTCGTTAATAAACAAACTGAACAGGATCTTCGAGGATATTTTCAAGGAAAATTCAAAGAACGAGGACGTTCTTTCGTAAGGGAGGAGGAATTATATCACTGAGAACACCTTTCTTAATTTAGTTCTATTTTGATTATTATCTTATCAGTAATGATTGACACTTCAAATACCTCACTAATGTTTCATCATTCTAAATTTACCAGAAAACTATCACTTGACTACGTACGAGTAGTATTGTCTTATTGATAAAGTTAATTATAAATATAATATATTATAAAACCTTCGTGAACGTATTATTAGACAGATTCAATAGTTCGTTAAACAGATTCGTTCAATTATAGTAATTCGTTGAATAAACATAAGTATATATGCATATCTTACTCAACTTTTATTCCACGGGAAAAATAACAATTTCCAGAAAAGCTAAACTTACAATTCTGTAGTAGGTACCTACTATTGTTTAAATACCTACTTTAACAATGGTACCTAGTATCTACTTCACAAAAGTATTCATATCATTTGGCAAAGATAATACATTTGGTAATAGCTGTTTAGTCATTTTTAAGACAAAGCAATTGTTTTCACTTCAATGAAACATTTTTGGTTACCGAGAGGGGGTGGCATTGACCCCCAGACTAGAAGCAACCCTCGATAGATCCGTAAAGGGTCAACTTTGTAGAACCTAAAACTTCATCTACATTATATGTATATAAAACAGTAAGACCGAAAAGTGTTTGTAATCTTATAGCTGAAGAACGACTGGACCGATTTTACTGATTTTTCGTTTGTTGGATCAGGTCTTCGCTGGGAATAGGACATAGGACATAGAAAATTCACAATTATATATAAAACAAAGATCGAAATGCGTTAATGACGTTCTAACTAAAGAACGGCTGTACCGATTTTAATGACTTTTGGTTTGTTGGATTTGTTTTCGCTGGGAATAGCACGTAGGATATTAACACATATGAAAAATGTAGGAAAGAATAAATCAAATTATGATGCTTTGCTACCACGTGAATTTTCACTCAAAACGCTAATTTCTGAACACTTTATTAACGATGCTCGAGATCGTTTATAATTTTGTAGCTGCCTGTCTGTTCGTCTGTTTGTCCGTCTGTCTGTCCGAGTGCACGATAAATTTGTGTAGAAACGTCCGTCCGATCGCTTTGAAAATTGATACACATGTTCTTGAGGATATAAGAAAGGTCGCTATTGTTTTTCGGCTATGTATAGACTAACGGGTCAAAAAGTTACTGCCTAAACCTCTAAAAAAGGGTTTCTTTTGAATGTCCGGTTTTCTGTGTTAGTAAATATTCCTTAAACCTCAGGTAACTTATCAGATGAATAAAAAATAATTGCGCATGTGCTTTTGTATTTGCGCAATCCCAATTTTTTTTTGTTAAGATATTTAACTGAAATTTTGTATATAGGCACCTCGAATAAAAGTAAAACTAATGCCGAATCAAAAAATTTGTTTTGCGCAGGCGCAGTCTGTTTTTTTATTTGTTAAAATACTATGAAATTTTTATGTAGGTACCTCAAATAAAAATAAAACTGATGCCGATCAAAAAATTTGTTTTGGGCATGCGATTTTTTGGCATCTCCGTTAGTTTATGAACCGAATTGCATGAAATTTTGTACGTACGCACCTCGAATAGAGGCAAAAATAATGCCGATTCAAAAGTTTGTTTTACAAGCTATGCTGATCTGGTGGGACAGAATCAATCCCTTAGGATGTGTTGTAAAGATGATGTATCTCGAAGATCGTTTGGTATTTAGTTGTATCGTTTTTTTTAATTCTAAGACGGTACGAAGTTCGCCGGGTCAGCTAGTTTGTTATAAAACTCAGTGCTGTTTGGCAAAATTATACGTGAAAGCGATCATTGACTGAACTACAAACCTTTTTCCCAATCCGCCACAATATAGCAGCGCTGCATTCGCTTGCAAAATGGCTAACATATAGGTATATCGTATTAGACAGTGTTCTAATTGAATTGTTATAGAAGAATCACGCAGAAGGACAATCGCCTTTGGCTGATGAAAAGAGTAGTGGAGCTACAGAAGTTTGTGCATGGTGGGTACCAAGAATGTTAACGAACCAAAATAAAGAGAAAAACTTGCTGAGCTTTAACTTGGAGGGAGAAGGGTTGCTGAAAAGTATTTTGACGCAACGTGTCCTTCATTTTTTGAATCTCAACCAAACAAGCAGTCTAATAGGATGCCATCACATAAACTCAAACAGGAAGAAAAATCTCGAAACTGTGCCAACAGCATCAGGAAAAGTTATGGCGATGCAGAGGGTGTGATTACAGTAGACTCTTTGGAGCAGGAATACACAATAAATTCTAGCCAGTACGTTCAAAACTTAATGTTCTAGAGGTTCTTTTGCATAAGAATGAAAGAACACACACCTGCAGTCGACGCACCGCTGTAGAGACTGAAAAGATTCGATAACAAGTCTTGCCTCACAGGCCACAGTCCTGACCTAGTCCTATGAGGCAGCTAATAAAGGAAGCTCAGAGTAGATGAGAAGGTCGTGCGTCAATGGCTTAGGAAGCAAGACCATACTTTTACCACGCTGAAAAAATTTCCTCGTTACAAGGTAAACCAAAACTGGAAAAGGACGGAGATTAGATTGAAAAGTTTTAAATTAGTCGCCAGTGTTTTGTTATACATTTCTTGACGATTATAAAAAAGAAAAAACAAGAGTGTCCCGCGTAAATTGTGCACCCATAGACAGATTTCTTATTATGAACGGATGGTTAAATTTTAATAGTAGGTAGGTAGGTAAGTATTTGTTCTTTAGAAAAATTAAATTTCTCGCAAATGTTAAGAACTTGGATGGCACATTTTCAGTTGTAACAGTTATGTTATCAACTTGTTGATTGTGAAAATGATAATGCAAAGTGGTTCCTCGTGGATTAAAGGTGCATTATCAGAGTTTCATCATACCTGTTTACAGTAATTATAACCTAATTGTAATCTTCATATCATATCAGTTTGAGTGTTTTGAAAAAAACAACACTTACCTACAGCCTTTTCAAGTAGCAAGGTAAGTATAAATACGAACTTCGTAGTTTTAAGAAATCAGAAATCAGAGGTATTTCCTACATAGTAATTACAATGAAATTTTCTATTTTGTTATTAACCATCGCCATCTGTGCAGGTGTTTCTATGGGTATATTACTAGAATTTCACCATGCTTTTTGAAACTAATCATTTATCTAATTGTAGGTTTGAGATGCTTAACTTGTAGAGGTGATGCTGGAGGCTGTGGAAATGGATCTACTAATGCAAGTTCAGAATGTGTGGGGCCAACACCCACTGCTGATGTGATAGAACGTTGTGTTGCTTATCGAGAGAAAGCAAGTAAGATTTATAATGATTTAATACTCTTATACCTACCCACTCGTTTCTGTAGCCAGCGGAGGTTGTACTGGAATCCAAGTAAGAAAGTGTGATTACATAAAGCGTGGGACCGATGCGTGCAATAACAGCGAAAGATGCAACTGCTTTTCATGTGACGGGAACAATTGTAACATCCAGCCTCTATAAAAGAATCAGAAGAACAATTCCACGATTGTATGGTGGCCCGCTATTTTTCTCGTAAAAGTTTTTGTTTTTATGTTTCTGTAATGTAATTGTAATAAACCCACAAACGAAACTTTCAATCTTTGAAATGTGCCTAGGTATAATCTTTGGTTTATAACAAAAACGTACCAATATTGGGGGTAAATGGTTATAGTGCGGCCGCTTAGTGAAAAAATATTTACCATCCGGATATAAGCACTAAATTTTGCATAAAGCTTCTCGAGAGTCTAATAAACAATTTTCGAAGGGTTATCACTTCGAGGAGTGAGTTTTATAAGGGTCGAACCCCCCGGAAAATTCACGGTTTGCAATTTTCTCAAAAACTTGAATTTTTATACAATCCTTTCCTCACTATTTTGTGGGCCGTGAGAAAACCTTCAAAATTGTGCCATACATGCATAGGGGAGAACAGGGCAAAGTGAAATAGCTAACAAATAAAAATTCATATCTCGGTGATATTTCGATTTTAGTTGAATATGTGACATACTTACTTACTATAGGTAGTATTAGTAGATGGTGCATCTGGCCACGTATCTACTGAATAAATCCTAATCATCATTGCAATTTGGAACAACTTATCCAGCTTATTTTAAGGACGAGGCTTTATTTCAGTTTACCCCATTAAGTGGGGCAAAGTGAAATCGTAAACTGGGCAAAGTGATACTCCTGTAATCTTAGACTATGAAAGAAAGAGGACTGATAATATTCATATCAATGGCAATGCTGCGCGTTGAAGCCTGTGACGGCCATATTTTCGGAGCCAAAGTTTGTTTACTTTTTTGCATTTTCGTGTTTATACGATCCTTAAGGCGCCTATGAACTGAATCTGAAATGACCTATAAAAGGACAAAATAGTTTATAAAGTATACGGTTTTACAGTTGCTTTGGAAATTAGGTCGATGTTGGATATTGTAGGAAATATAGTACAGATTAATCCTACGGATTTTTATTTTCGATATTTATCATATTTTTTGAAATAATTAGAGTCGTTGATAAAACGAATTTAAAGGATAACTGGAGTTCTATTTTCGCGATGAACATGGTTTTTGGCGATTTATAATCTGCTAATAAAGCACTTTAATCCTACGGATAGCAATTTTTTTCATCTTTTATAGAAAAGCGCCAAATTGGTAAAAAGATTTGTGTGACGTCACGAATTTTTCAGTGATTTAAATCGAAGTTAGGCATCTTAGATTGCACCTCATACCTTCCGGCGAAATTGACTGTTGCTTTTGTACCTCGCTAATTATATGGTAATTAGATGATTAAATATGCATTATGACACAAATAAAGGGGAAATTCCTTTAAATATACACCTTTTTACCATCTTGTCGAGTTTCTCGTGGCTTATACTTTCAGTGCGGGTATCTATAACTTTTTATTTTTTCCGCTGTTTTTTAATCCTACTGACCCCTCGTTCGCACGGCACATATGTACGGCAAAATGACCGAAACGTAATTTTGACCGAATGGAACGCAGTATAATCTGCTAACAAAGTCCACTATTCGTACGGATAGCTATTTTTTCATCTTTTATAGAAAAGGTCCAACTTTGAAAAAAGATTTGGGTGATTTAATCACTTTCGCAGTTCCTTTTATCAATAGCGGTTCCGCTTTAACACTTTTTAGACTTTCTATGAAAATTAAATTCATTTAAGCACGTAAATAACAAATAGGTAATTTGGTCAATAATGATCATAGTAAATACCCAGCAACGAATTTATTGCGATAAATCTTTATTGAATATAAAACATTAGGGATACGTCTCACAACAACAGTGAAGGGACTCATAAGTATCAGGAAAAGATGATTTTAAAAAATAGACAAAGAAATGTTATACTTTTATATAAAATATACAAATATTTACAATAAGAAAAAATACTTTATTAAATAATTAATGCATAGTGTTGCACCTCCCCCTCAACTCATGTAAATTGTTCTCAGGTCTTGTCCTCTACTTCTTCGTGGATCTACCAATTCCGGGATTAGCGAGTTGTAATAAAAGTCAGACAACTTCTCCGCCATTTTGGTAGTCCAAAAAACGTCATCTCTACAAAAACAAATTAACATATCTTTTCACAGAAAAAATGCGAATTATTTATTACCTTTCGATTTGTTCCACATGTCCTCTGGTGTATACTATGAAGTAACAAATATTTCTATTTGTTATGTGCAGTTGCCCTTGTACTTGATAGTAATAGCTATGGGTTTTTTTCAAACACCATGTGTCACCTGGTTCCAATTTAATTAGGGTCATTATGTAAGGTTGAAAACTCTTCTTCCTTATAAATGTTTGTATGTTTCTTATGCCTGCCTAAACTGTTCATCCGATTGCGATGAAACTTTGGAAAATGGTTGAACGTATGCTTCCTAAGGTTTCACATATATTAAAATGCTTCCCAAATTCTCAACCAAACGGGAAAAACGGAATTTTTCTGGGAATGGGGTACGAGCGCGTGAAAAAGTGTTCGAAATTCTCACGGGACTACTGTAATACTAATTACTATACTACATTTTATTTTGCATTTTTGGATATTACAATTAAATTATGTGAATAGTAAGTTAGAATGTTATTATTCTGACATTGCAAAATAAAAACCTAATACGTTATGCGGGACAGTATGTTTACTCTCGCGTTCCTGCGGCCGACATTCAATAGTAACGGATACCCCATTACGCAATCATAATTATCTATCGACCATATTTACTGTGTCCTATTTTTTAAATACGTTTATCTCTGAGATAACAGCGTGGAAACGAAAAGTTTGATTTTTTGACATGTGATCATATGTTACTACCCATGTAATTATAAATTTTAGATCTTTTTGCGTAGAATCCTGTGGCTTAATCAAATTTTTGGACCACCGTTTCTGAGATTTGACCCAAAATAGGTATCTTTTAAATGGAACGCCCTATATCTATAACATAATTTTTTTTTCATTCTTTATCCTGATTACAATTATGTATCAGCATTATTGACTGGTATAGTTTGCCTTAGTTACCATGGATATAATAAAAAAACCATAATCTCTATTTAATCTGCTATTTGTATTTCAAACAATAAAAACTTACGTTTTTAATCATTTTCATGGGTAAAATTGAAAAATTTATATAGGTTGTGATACATCAGTGTAATTAGGACAAAGAAAGCAAACAACTGATTTTATGAAACATACGGTGTTTACCAACTTCGGATCAAATCTCAGAGTGGTCCAAAACTTTTTTTTACTAGTCCACTAGATTCTACGTAAAAATATCAAAAACTGACAGTTATTATTACCTTTCTTCTATTTTGCATGGGTAGCAAGATAGGATAACATCACAAAACCTAAAACTTTCGCTTTCCTCCTGTATATCAACAAACGAAACTAGATTGCTTCGGTTTGTGGTGTCTCAATCTAAATTGGACACCGACCAAATTTTCATATACTTTATAATAATGAGGTACCTAACCATCGGCCTAATTTACAATCGCCGGTAATAATAGTGCACCATATGCAAAATATTGCTTTAGAGAAAAATATCCATACTTGAAAAACTCAAAATCCTTTGAATAAACACTAAACACGAAAATACGTAAACTAATAGTATTTTAATTACCATGCAATAAATAAACAAGATGAATTTATTAATATCAATAGAAAAGCTCATTAGGCAAGTGTTATTAGGCTCCTTGCATTTATAATTAAATCCATTGAAGGTTATAAATAAAGAGACATCAAATAGAATGGGACAAATTCAATCATCTCTTTCTACTTGTAACATGCTCTTTTGAAGAGGTTAGGCAACTTTACACACTCCGTTTAGCACAACAAATTTACTTCAGAGGCGCCTTAAGGCTGGACAGTACATACAGAACGGAGTATGTAAAGTTGCCTATTGTCAATCCCCAAATTTGGTTATTTATAATATTAATTTGTGTTCGATGGTAAAAACATAAACTTAGTCCAATTATAATGCATATTTTCTATCTGTATAAAACCAGCCACGCGGCGGAAGCTATCTTTTCGCGCTTCTGAGGAAAACTTTTAAGTTGTTTTTCCAAGATAACTTATCTATAAATGAAGTTGGAACAATTTCCAAAATTAAGATACGTTCGTAAACTTAATATCTAGGCAATAACGTCAGGAAAATTTATTTCTTTTTTTCTTTTCTAAAATATGACACCCTAACAGCCCTCGACGTTGCCCTTAAAAAAAGCTTATTTTAAAGCATTTTAGTAAACCCCGGCGTTATTGTCTAGCTAAAGCATTCACCTTTCACAGGAATATTCGACCCCTTCTTCATCTTCACTCAGAATTAAGATATCGTGGAACGAAATCAAGTATTTTCGGGCAACGGAACGGGTGTACTGTCCAGCCTTAAGTCTCGAAGTGTGCGATTAAAAACATTGTACAAAGGTAATTGTAGTGCACGGAAGTGATAGCCAAAAAACACACGAGGGAATAGGTATCATTTCACAGGTAATTATAGATTATAGTTTTCGGTGAAACAACAAACTAATTTGGGCTTCATTTTACGATCATTATTATCACTCCCACAGATAAAATACCCAAATCTGTGATCACTCCTAACTCTTTCCTTCTCTAACACTGTAATAATAAATGTGGCAATGTGAAACAATGTTTATTTTCTACATTATACGCGCATTGTCAATCTGAAATACCAAATACATATATGAATATCATTATGATGATGTAGACCGAAGTCAGGCTTTCTGTAACCCGCATTCTCTTCTGGTGAGCATAATAGCATACAGTACAACCTCGATAATCCGATTACGCGCTAGTCCGAAATCGCGATAGTCCGAAAGATTTATGTGTACATAATTGCGTATGTACATACTGTACTCATAAATACATATTAATGTTAACTTAAGCTTTTTTACAAGGACAAAGTTTAATTTTGTTTTACGTGCAGTATTTAAAATTTAACTGACTTCTGTCCTTGGTCTGTTATGTTTTGTTGAAAAGAATAAAGTTTATTTCTTAATGCTTGTGTCCAAATTTATTATTTTCACTAGTTTCGCGATAATCCGAAAGGTCGGTGGTCCGAATCTATTAGGATTATCAAGGTTGTACTGTATCATGATAATAGGTAGACTAGGTACACATACGTGCCTACTATAAGAAAAGACTGGGGTAAAATGCACGTTGCCCCTGTGTTGTGATTTCACTTTGCCAGTTTGCCTTGATATACCTAAAGGGTGGTCCAACGTTTGAAATTTGAATCACCGATTATTTGACTCCCAAAACGTCGAATGTCATTCGGGAGGTGACAAATATTTAGTAAAAACATTTATGAAATGAGACGCTATATATGCTTCAAACAAGTTGGGAAATATTAAAAACTTATTTCCAGTCTTCTACTCAATAGTGCGAAATTTGAAAAAAAATTTTGACAAAATAAAGCGGCGATTTCTGAACAATTCGTCCGTAAACGGGCCGCTAGTGAGTATGAGTATGAAACCTGGATGTTGTCTCTGTGGAGGCGTTTCAAGATGATGGCCGTAATGTCATCACGAAGCCCGTATTAGTACTGCCACCTGGGTTAATCTAGGGACGGGCCTCTAAACTTGCAGAGAGACGCCCGTCCCGGAGCCTAACAAAAGAGACAGTTTTTTTCAGTCAGTCGAAGGTCCACGGGTGCTTGCATATACGGCCACAATGGTACCCTGCGAATTCCAGCGGAACCCTGCCAGCCGAAGGAAAAGTTCTCTCTCGTTTGCGTCAACAACTGGATTTAGTGCACCCATGAGGCTCAGTCGGTATGTCCACCTCCGGGTATGGCACCAAAAGAATGGCCACCCTAGCGACCTCCTAACCGCTATCTGCAAACGAGCCCGATGGGCGCGCTTCCACAACATGGGGCGTGCTCCTTTGTTAAATTTAAGAATTTTGTATTACGTTATGCAGGTGCGATAAGTACGATAATAAAACATACTAAGGTTCGTGAAAGTGCGCGTGTGGCGTGTTACGAAATAGGCAAGGCTTTGGTAAGTTGAAAAAAGATAGGAGACATAAGTCATTCACATGATTTGATAATAGAAAATTGACGTTGGGAGATTGAATAGTTCATTTGTGATTTCCTTTGTGTTTTAATTCAGAATTGCTTTTTGGAGCTAACTAACGGTCGATAGGTATCCTAAGTCAGCATAGGTTTAAGATAGCGATGCTTTTCTTTTTCCTTGTGTGTTATTTGACAAACATTAGATTTGTTTCTGTGTAGATTAAATTTAAATACAAATCATTTTAAAAAAAGTTATGGGATCTATTTAAGGTGGTTGTAATTTCTTAAACAATTGTTTTCACGTGTGTTTACGAACCGAGTTAATTTGTAGTTGCACATTAGTTCGGGCAAACCGAGTGGTAGATTGTAAAATAGATTTTAAAAAAAGTGATTGTTAAAATAAAGCAAGTTTTGTGTTAAAATCTAGTAGTTTTAACCTTTTGAAGTCATGTTCTGTGACGAATAACGGGTAGATAGTTTGGTTTGTTTCAATAAGAAGTATAGCGTTCTACATACATTTATACAATTTTGTCCTATATGTAAATCATACTGGCCACCAGTTACACCCATTGAATCAATTATTTGTTAAACCAAAGATTGTAGGCACAATTATTGAACGATTGAATGTTTCGTTTGTATATTTCGTTCGTTTTGTAAATTTATTACAATCATTATTACAGATAGATAAAAACAAAAATTTTTACGGAAGAAATAGAGCACAATCATTCACTCATGGAGTTTTTCGTATGATCCTTATCATTATCCTTATCCTTATCATTGTCCTTATCTTTATTCTTATTCTTATCCGTATCCTTATTCTTATTTTTATCCGTATCCTTATCCTTGTCCTTAGATAGAGGTTGGTTGTTACAATTATTCCCGTCACATGAAAAGCAGTTGCATCTTTCGTTGCTAGCGCACGGATCGACCCCACGCTTTACGTAATCACACTTTCTTACTTGGAGTCCCATACAAGTTGCGTTGCCTATAGAAAGAGTAGGTACAACAATATTAAATAATTAAATCATACTTGCTTTCTCTCGATAAGCAACACAACGTTCTACCATATCAGCAGCGGGTGTTGGCCCCGCACATTCTGAACTTGCTTTAGTAATTCCATTTCCACAGTCTCCACCATCAGCTCTACAAGTTAAGCATCTTAAACCTACAGATAGATAAATGATTACTTTCTAAAAGTATGGTAAAATTCTAGTAATATACCTATAGAAACACCTGCACACATCGCGAGGGTCAACAACAAAATTGCAAACTTCATGGTAATTACTGTGTAGCAGAAACCTACCTGAGTTCTTTAAAGCACGAAGTTCGTATTTATACCTACATTGATACTTGAGAAACGGCTATTTTTTTTCAAAACACTCAAACTGATAAGGTATTTAGATAAAATCAGAATGGGTAATAATTATTGTAAACAAGTATGGGTGTAACTCTAATAATGCCCCCCATAGCAAGATAAAAGTTGAGTTTAAAGTTTGCATATGTTCTTAAATAATGACTTGTTGAAGCTCTGTCAGCTCAAATGCTTCCAAAAGTAAGAGCGGAAACTCACACAGTGTTTTTTTGGAAAGACCTGCTAGTAAGAGTGGTAGCCAAATTGCTTCTCAACATGCCACAGTCAATGCAACTAATTCTCTCTGGCTCTGCATAATTATGACAGTGACACATAGTTTTGACAACTGCAACTCCAACTTATTTGCTCCTCGGAGGAAGAAAATATAACCGGAAACTACACCAGAAAAGACAGTCGTGGATAAATACGACCCGCGGGTGAATATCAACTTTCATCATTTTATTATCGTTGAATAATATACGATTATTCACTACTCTCAAAGTATACAGGGTGTTACATGACCGCAAGTAAAAAAAATCGGGTGGTGATTTGGTATCTGGGGGTTTTTGGACATGAAAATGACGAATCTAAAATTAGCTTTTGAAAATTCGAAAAAAAAATTCTACTACAATTCTTGGCCGGGCAACGAAAATGGAGAGAATTCCACGAAATTTGTTGTGTACATACTTGATTTTAAGGAACAAAATTGTCGGGTAGTTTTATAAAATAACTTTTTAAACAAAAGTTATACTCATTTGAAGATTGGGCCTTCGGGTTACAAAGTGTCCCCCGCCTACTAGTGAGTGATCTATTTCGCATGTAGTGAATTGAAAATGTCGCAAATAACAAAAAATATCGATTTAAGTCGTGTCGACGAAGTCGACTTAAATCGTTAAACGAGTACCCTTTTTACAATAGGTTAACCTCGAAACAATACAGTCACGTTATAACAATTTTAATATCAGCAATTTTTTAACAATGTTAGTCTGTATATGAAGCAAACATTTGTCTTGAGTTGGATTTGCTTATGGTGCAGTTTAAGGTTCATACTAGGTTCATTGTAAAATGTAGCGTCACTTTTGCATTTGCTTTCAGCGAGAACACTAATATTCGCATTAATTTCTCAAATTCAAATTTCGTGTACTTAAGTGATAACAAAAGGTATTGTACTTCGTTTTAATTGTAATTCTTCGATTTCTTGTAAATTAATAATAATAATAATACTAGCCATATTACACCATATTAAGGATCTTAGGTACCTTCTAGACTGGAATATTTCACAATTTACGAGTAAAACTATAATCAGAACTCGAATCCGCTACAATCTATAGTTTTATCATTATTATTTGTTTTTCTAGATTTTCCATCGGTGTATTTCTTCTTGAAATGGGGTAGAATGAATAAACCTCTATAAAAAGCATCTAAAAATGCGGCAGAGCACCTCGGTGTGGCCCTACGGGGTTATTGTGTTTGACCCATTTTCAATTGGCTTGTTACAAGTGGTATATATATGTTAACTGTGCAAAGTTTGAATCGAGTAGGTTCAAGCGTTTGCCAGAGACCGAGAGACGTGAACCTACGGGGTCAATGGATTTGACCCATTTTCAATAGGCTGATTACTTGTGGCATATAGATCAACTGTGCAAAGTTTGAACCAAATCGGTCCAAGCGTTTGATAGTTATCGTGTTCACGGACGGACGGACATCATTGCTCCCCTATACTAGTATAAAGCTTGCATGGCTTTGCTCTGCCGCTTAATAAATTTGACTCGAAACCTTCCCCATGACACTTTATTGAGTAACTAAAGTAACCGTAGTAGATACCTAAATACTGTAGTTCTATAGTTACTCAATAGCATTTTCATGGGGAATGTTTAGAGTTAGCTTTAATTCAATTCTAAAACTTGATTACACAAATTTTCTTGATCTTGAAGTACTATCCGGGACTTACTCCAAATCAAAAATTCATAATCAGAAACAGTTCCCAATATTCCTTTAACACTTGAAATACGAAAAGTGCTCATAATTTGTTTATTTTACGGTGCACCACGAAACTCCTCCCTAGTTGTCTTATCTTGAAAAGTTATCCAAACTAGAACTGTAATCATAACTGAAAAATAGTCTCACGCATATTATTGGCATCTCGAATTGATAGTTCATAAAATCCATTCTATGATTCAACAAAGTAAGTATACCTACCTACTCTCTCTACATATATGGTACCTAACCAGTTACACCCAAATTAATCGATTATTATGTATTTTATAGGTAGGTACAATTGAAAGGTTGAATGTTTTCATTTGTATATTTCGTTCGTTTGTACATTTATATAACAATCACATTTAAAAAAATAAAACAAAAGTTTTTACGCGTGGAATAGCGAGCCACCATACCTACAATCGTGAAATTGTTGTCCTGATCCTTCTATAGGGATTGGTTGTTACAATTATTGCGATCATCACATGAATAGCAGTTGCATTTATCGGTAGCAGCGCACACATCGGTCCCACGCTTTATGTAATCACACTTTCTTATTTGGGTTCCCTTGCAACTTCCGTCGGCTATAGAAACGAGTGGGTAGGTATAACAATATTAAATCATTTATAAATCATACTTGCTTTCTCTCGATAAGTAACACAACGTTCTATCATATCTGGTGCAGCAGTCGTTGTTGGTGCCACACATTCTGAACTTGCATTAGTAGTTCCGTTTCCACAGCCTTCACCATCACCTCTACAAGTTAAGCATCTTAAACCTACAATTAGAGCAATGATTAGTTTCAAAAAGTATGGTGAAATTCATCTAACATACCCATAGAAACACCCGTACACATAATGATGGTAAATAACAAAAGTGAAAAATGCATTGTAATTACTGTACCTATAGCAGAAACCTACCTGATTTCGTAAATCACGAAGTTCGTATTTATACATACTTTGGTACCTACTTCAGAAAGGGCTATAAGTGTTTTTTTTTCAAAACACTCAAACTTATATATTTAGTCTAAATTTGATTCGTAATTACTGTAAACAGGTGTGGTGAAACTTTGATAATGCACCCATGAAAACACTAATCCATGAGGAACCACTTCGCGCATTATCGTTTTCACAATCAACCAAGTTGATAACATAATTGTTTACAGCAGTGCAAGGTTACATGATGGAATCTATTTATTACCTCTTTCGTCAGTCAGTTTTTCTCAGCAAATCTTCTCCGTCCAAACCCAACAAACACATGAGCAACGATCGATGAATGTTGAACTATCCGCAAAATAGTTTCTTTAAGATTTTGATTTTATAATCGCATTTAAAAAAAGGGCCGACGTCAAATATTGTAAGTATTGGCCCGTATGAATAAAAGTAAGCAAATGCTTATACTTGCAAAATTCAAAGTAAATACTCGTAAGTGCTCCTTCGCACTGGGCGACTTAGCAGCCCTTCTAAGCAGAAGGACAGGACGCAGTGCAGCGCTGCTAAACCATGTTAAACAGACCAGTATGAAGCGGCAGTTACGAGTATTTACTTTGAATTTTGCAAGTATAAGCATTTGCTTACTTTTATTCATACGGACCAACCAACAAAATGATTGTGCGTAAATCGATTTTTGAAGTTTGCCATAATTTTGGAAATAACTAGTAGGTAGGTACGATTGACAAAGCTTGTCTTTAAGATAACGGCGCCTCTATAAAACATACAGACATGGGTTTTGGCGATTTACAACCAGCTAAAAAAAATGTATGATTTTACATAAATATATCTTTTTCATCCCTTAAATTAAGAAAAAAAATTGGGGAAAATGTTTTGATGACATCATGAAGTATTTCACCAATTGAAAGCACAGTTAGGCAATTTAAATTACACCATACCTCTTTTGAGCTTTGTTCGGCGTCATTAATACCTTCCCATAATTAGCTAATAATGTAATTTAATTTACTTATTTCTTTGTCGGTTTCATTGATTAGAAGTTTGTAATGGTAGATTCTTGTGTGAATACCTACTTCCGTCATTACACCAAGTATTACAGGCATTCACGCAAACCGTTACCTAAAAGTATTCAGGCTTTCATTGAGCAAGTCATTCTGAAGATGTGCATACCAAAATAGTTTTTCTTGACCTATCGAAAGAAAATATTATCGTGATCGTTTCACTTCTAGTTCTATCGCATGTCAATAGCAACTACATGAAAATCTACGCCGTTTGATACCAATTTCCCTATACCCAGCATCAAAGGTTTTCAAGTTACTCAAGATTTTGAAAATTTTTGATGTTTGCCTGCTATCTATGACTACGTTGGCTTGAATTTCAAAAATTATTCCAAAATCGACAGTACTCACTTGATGCTGCTTTGATGCTTATATATCTTTGACGAACATTTTTGAAGACAGGAGCCAGAGGTCCGTGGCGTTGGCCTCCTAGAACTTCAGATATAACGCCATTGGGCTTTTTTGTGTGGGGTCATATAAAGACAACATTTACTTCACACCAGTTGCTTTTCGTGACGAACTGGAAGTTAGGTTGAGAAGAGCTTTTAATGAAATGGATGTAGTGACATTATAGAGAGACAACTACCAACGGAATTAATCGGAGGATCCTATTATGTATTGAAAAAAACGTAGAACAAAACCTGATGTTTGATGTTTGATGTTTGTTTTTTTTTTATATTGTCGTTTGTTATTATTACATGTTTCTCTTTATTATGTCTTCTTTATTTAACTTTTTATTCATCTACCATCACTACCTATCAACTATAACTATAAAAAGGTCTGACAAGTCTGTTAACGTTATTTCAAAGCTTCCTAAGAAAATTATGCATAACAATTTTAGAAAATCTAAAATAAAACGGAAAGCAAAGCATAACAGATAGGGAAACGGAATGTAATACTAGATTGATGTAGAATTGTTTTCGACATTTTAAAGTGCAAAAAAATAAAGCATGTATCATGCATGTATCAATAAAGTTGGCCATTAGTTTTAATGTAAAATGGCGATCAAAATTTAAATCATTGTCCCGTAGAATCAAGTCAGTATTGTCGATTTTTGAATTTTAAAAAATCTTGAATAACTTGAAAACCTTTGATGCTGGGTATAGGGAAATGTGATATCAAAAGACGTAGATTTTCATGTAGATTTCGAAAATGTAATAAAATACAGGGTATTCTATTTAAAATAAGAAATTTGCTATCGACATCCAGTGGAACCGGAAGTGGAAAAATCATGATATTTTCTTCCGATAGATCATAAAAAACTATGTTGGTATTTTCAGATTTAAATGATTCATGAAAGCCTGAATACTTACTAGGTAACGGTAATGGTATTTGTCTATGACCATTGTTAAAGTATTTAAACAATACTATGACTAATGTTGTCATTTCAAAATAATTCCAGCTCAACAAATTACAAAAGACAGAAAAGAGCGGGATATTTCAATTCATATTTACTTAGGTACTAATTGCTTTGTTTGTGAATGAATAGCACCTATAGCCTGCAGCGTTTTAGAATCCACATTAGAAAATATCAATAATTTGTATTGTTGATTGCATACACATTTTTTTCTATCTAGCGCATTTTCGAAATATACGAAGCGCGGTCATTTCGCAAAGCGCAAATAAATGGTGTCAGGGCATGGGTGATTAACATGATACCAAAGAGTAACTTATTCTTTGATGATACTACAAAATTTGTAGTATCATGGGTGATTAATATGTTGTTATTTGTGACCGCCATCGATTTTTGATTATTTCATCGTAAGATTTTCCTGTTTGTTTATATTATTTACTGCGGTTGTAAGTTTATTTACCTACATATACAAGTTGTAAAGTATTAGATGTGCTGTACAAATGCAATCAATCTGTAACCGTTGAGTGAAAAATCCCTGTAATGTATGTTTTTGAGATATAATAATGGAATAGCTGTATCTAAGTCTCTTTATTTTGGTTGGTTAACATTTTTGGGGCCCATCGCGCACAAGCCTTTCTGTAAGCTCTCCTTCGCTTTTCATCAGCCAAAGGCCTTCTGCATTTAAGAAGTCATTTGGAACGCCATTTTTATGTTAGCCAGTTTGCAAGTGATTGCTTTGCTGCTATTGCGGTGGATTGGGGAAGGTTTGTATTTCAGCCAGTGATCGTTTTCCCGTATGATTTTGCCAAACAGCACCGATTTTTACAGTCAATTGAATTTCTGTACAAGACAAAATGTACACTGCGCGGCACACATTACCTAAGACTTCTCTCGAGTCATTGAATAACTAAGTATAATTAATAATTACTTATTCAATGCTCGAGCACACAACTCCCAATATAGGCACATATATGTATATGTCGTAGTCTGTTAGTGAAATCTGTCATTTCACGAAAAGCCTAGTCCGAGGCCTAGTCATTTAGTGAAACGCTGAAAATTTGTACGTGTGGGGTAGTTTTCCTTCCGATTCTAGATCGATAAGGGATACCATTTATCGATCTCGAATGGGAAGGGAATCCAATCGCTTGGTCCTGGAAAGTACACTGTGCCACAGTTTCATATAAATGACTAGGCGTTTCGTGAAATGACGGATTTCATTAAAAGACTACGACATATCATTGAATAATTTTATTCAATGGACATATACAATGATAGGCGCCATTGCCATCCAGACCGATAGGCAACACACAATACAAATTAATAAAATATACAAATGGGGAAATCGGTGCAACTTTTCTTCTATTGGTTTGTCTGAAGGTCACTACTTTTCAGACGGTTTTTAGTGAATAACACAAAAGAAAGTATTTTATAATAAGGTTGATTCTTATTCGTCAAACGCCAAAACTGAAAGCATCAACGTGAAATAACCAAAAAACAATACATTTTTTTAGATGCTTGAGAAAACCTTTATTTTTGATTTCGTTCCTTAGCATCAAAGGCGTGTGATGAGGAAAATAATGTTGGTCCCCAACAAAATGTGAAAATCGATGCTTGTTAGATCTGTTTTTTCCCTGGCTTTTCGGTTTGCATTTGGCAGAACCAAGCCTCGTACCGCTCGTGCGTAATAAATTCCATTTTTATTATTCCCTTTGGATGTTGGAGGTACAAAAATTCTGTCTTTATTTAATTCTCTTCCGGATTGTGTCTCACATTCCAACACATAGAGGACGACCATACCTACGTACATGAAAGAAAAGGAACCGAAATCCGAAAAAAACCCCGTCTTTGGCGCTAATGTAATAACGGTGCCGGTATCGGATCCCGTTATCATAAATTTTTGAATAATGGCTCCGGTTGAAAATGACTGGCCTATAAATGCCATCGGTTTCGGTAGCGGTTCTTTTCGATTCTGGTTCCGACTATGTCGGACATTGGATGCATGCGCATTCGCCATAACGTTAATTATACACAAGGTTAATAGAGAAAATCTCTATTAACCTTGAATTATACACACACACTCCATAAGATCGCATTACATTGCAACTATCGCGTGTCCGGAGACACCATATTGTGATGATTACTCTCTATGTTAGACACATATTCTTGAAGGTCTAAATAATTATTCATTAACCTAATTTATTTTGCGACACGTATCGAAAAAATCAAAATAGGATCAACAATTTACAATATGCTAATCATTACTATAAAATAGTATCGTATCCACAAGTGTTAGTTACTTATAATGATTTACAACTACAATGGACACCTTATATCATCAAACAAACATATTAGTACAACAAACTCAAGAATGTTTCCAATTGTTAGAAACAAGACCTACAAATTATCAAGAAATCGAATCAAATATTCAAGAGAAAATTAGTTTGATTAATAGGTAAACGATTAAAATGTATTATAATGCTACTGTAAATACGGTTTTGTTTGTGGGTAATATTTATGGCCTAATCTCAGCAGTGCTGGTATATAATTGGAAATTTTTTAGGAACTGCGAGAAGTTGGATACATTTCTGTTTAAATTACCACTAACCCAAAGACAAAATGCGAAGATGAATTGTGATCAATTAAAATATGACTCCAGACATTTGCAAGCAGCCTTAATGTCGCTGCAACAAAAGAGAATTAGAAAACAGGCAGCAGCTACGGAAAGGGAACAACTACTAGGCCAAAGATTTACTGCTAATCCGGAACTAACTGCTATCAATATTGACCATGCTTTCCAACAACAAAATTCTTTAAATAATGCCCATCGTGGTGTCGACGAAATGTTGCAGACAGGTACGGGTACACTGGAATCGTTACGCTTGCAAAGGAATACTTTAAAGGGTGCACATCGCCGAATTGTTGACATGGCAAATACGCTCGGTTTAAGTAATCATACTATGCGTCTTATTGAGAAGCGTGTGGGTGAAGATAAATTCATATTGTTTGGAGGAATGATTATAACACTCCTTATTATTATAATTGTTATTATTTACTTTACATAGTTACTAATAAATGTCTCTATTTTGACAATATCACGGATAATTTTTCATTAATTAAAAATTAAAATGTTGAAACATTCAATAGTTTCTTAAACTGAGAGGGGCAAAAGGTTAGGGTGTGGGAGAGAAGTACAAAACTTCAATATATATACTTGTTTTAAAAACAATTTATAATACAGTTGGACATTGTTGAAGAAATATAGCAATCTCCTGGGGGCTGCATCTTATAGCATTCTCAAGTGTATGTGATTTCCGAGGTGTTTTCATTCTACCAAGGAACCTGTGCTGTGCCTTGACCTTTTTTATATGCCTCACAGTGAGTTGAGTATATGCAGAGGACTGTCTTCTTCCTCCTAGCAACCTCTGCAAAGTGAATCTACTTTGAAGCTTAAATTTTGGAGGTGTTCATTTGATAATGACCAATTAGAGAATAAGAAGGAAAAGTGTATTGATTTAACTTTGCTGAATTTCTTTTTGTTCAGTTCATGCAGTTCATTTAAATTGTTTTGTACCTTACTTTCTGCTACATATAACAAAAAATTGCTTAGTTGCAATTGTAATTTTTCGCTTTATTGTAAATTATAGCCTTCAGCTACATGTAACTTTAGGGGTAGGTTAGGTAACTGTTCAATTTTGTTGTTTGTTTCACTTTAAATGTTATTGCTATTTTGATTTGTTTGAGATTGGCATGTTGTTAATGCCCACTCGATGTTTTAAGTTCATTTAGATTGTTTGTGTATAAATGCCGGAATGTTTACTTAGCAATCATATTCTTTAATTTAAGTTTTTATACTAGTATTACCTTCTATTCTTCTATTACCTATGTAATGAACACTAGTTTATTGATACCAAAGCGGGTAGTTGTCATTTGCCATTAAATAGGCTCCCTTTGACTAACCACTGACAGCTATAATTTAGGAACCGCATTAAAAAAAAATGTTTGAAAATATATATTCAGTGTTCCTGACAACATTTCGACCCCCCAACGGCGAAGATGTTCTCCTTCTCTCTCTGACTAGGCCGCTTTGCTATTGCTCCTTTATTTGTTAACTTCCGGGTATACTTACTTCGGGTGGTAAATGGCCATTTTCATCGTCGCCGTAAAGGTGGTTGTAAACGCGCATTTTTGTAACTTTATTGCGTCAATCATTCCGAATAATTCTCAATTTCCCGCGGATTTTATATACACGGTGTTTTTTTTAAGGTGGGCCATACGACAATGTAAAGGCGTTGAGTTATTTAAAATGGGTCATAGGGAAATTTACATTGCATCAATTGTTTGTCATAGCTTCCTCGCGAATTATCTGCCACAGTACTGCAGAAATTGTTTCTAAATCAACAAATGTATTCAAATCAGATATAAACGTATAGGATTACAATCAGTGCTCGAATTGTTTTCCATCGGCAACCAAACAATGCCCGATACTCGGCACTGAATAGCTCGCATTACTACGAAGCCGTACACGGGCCACATATACACTTGGTGTTCTTCTTCTACAAAAAAGTGAAAATTTCGCCAAAAAAGTGAACATTTCTACAAAAAAGTGGAAATTTCTACAAAAAAGTGGAAATTCCCATAAAAAAGTGGAAATTTCGACAAAAATATTTGATGGCCTTTAAAATGATGGGTCACTCGATGGGGCGGCGGGGGAAGGTCAAATTTCTGCTTTGTTGTCGCCGCTTTCACTTTTTTTCGAAATTTTCACTTTTTTGTCGAAATTTCCACTTTTTTGTTGAAATTTCTACTTTTTTGTGGGAATTTCCACTTTTTTGTAGAAATTTTCACTTTTTTGTGAAAATTTCCACTTTTTTGTCGAAGTTTCCACTTTTTTTGTCGAAATTTCCACTTATTTTTGGAATAAGAACACCAAGTGTGTGTATGGCCCGTGTACGGCTTCGTACATTACCACTCAGATACTGTGCCCACTCTTGTACAAATTGTACTACATGAACACCTTTTCGAGCGGCGGAATACATGTTCCTGCTTCTTTGATGCAGTTTGAAGGATCAGATTGAGAACTGTCAGTGAAATAACTAAGCGCAAGGCCCAAATTTGAGAACAATTGGCGTAATGTAAATTTCCCTAAAGTCACTAAATATAGAAAGTACCGCAATCCATTGGGCTCGTGAGAGAGAGAACGCATGATTTTTGCCCAAAAATGGCGGAAGTTACCAGATTCTAGTAACTTTAATGTTAGGGATTGTTCCACCTGTTTAGAGATATCTGTAAATATTTTTATAAAACATGACAGTACTATGAAGTTAGGTTATAAAAAATTACAGCTATTCAGATTTTACTTGTCAATTTTTTTTTAAGTTGGCAGCAAATTTGCCCAAAAATGGCGGATGATTGCGGTACTTTCTATATCTAGTGACTTTAAATTTCCCTATTCGCAAGCGCACACAAAGGCCGGATGTCCACCGCATCGGAACGACCAAGATCGGTGCGATTTGAATTCCCCGATAAAGATCGCGCGCGTGCGCTCCTATTGAAGTCTGTCCACCGGCTCGTTTTTTGTCGGGACCGATCGAAATCGCAACCGACTATTTTCGCCCGACCCGACGTTCTTGAACGATCATTTGTCGGCAGTCGTATGTCATAATAATCAAAAGTGCTGGTAATCTTTTTTCTACCGTCACAGTACATCTTCTGTAATTGGTGTCCCTTTTGGCAATTAATGGCCGAGCAATGTCAGCCAAAGGAAAAAACTACTCTTGGACATACGATACGTACATTTAAATTTGTGTTCATGATTCGCAAGTTCATGGGCACAAATGAAACCACCTCTGTTTCTTTTATTAGTTATGTACCGAAGAAGCCAATAACTGTGGCGGCGAATTATCTTTCGCCTGTGGTGCAAAAGCATGACAACTGCTTCACTTGACATTTTATTTAATGTCAACTGTCAACCCGATAAAAATCGTTCGAAAGGCGATCTTCCTATGGACATGAATTGCCAATTTTAGTCGGCCCGATCAATCTGGATACGACTACAGTTGGACCGATCTTCGTCGCCCCGATTCGGTGGACATCCGGCCTAAGAGTCTCCGCTTAGCGGTCAACTTTAGAACTATCTGTTTGAGGATAAAAATGGACGTTCACGTATGTAATAAACGTGAATACACAAAAATAACAAAAAGTAATCATTATTGCGCAGTTCCTCAGTGTAGAAATGATTATGTAGTGTCTCAATGCACGGATTCCCCAAAAATGCTCTGAGTAGGAAAAAATGGAAAATTCTTTTACGAATAGACAAACCCATAACAAATACAATGAAAGTTTGTAGTGCTCACTTTACAAAAGAGGATTATATTTTACCAGGTAAGCGCAGTAATTTGATGATGTGCTTCTTTAATGAAATGTGTTGTGAGACTGAAAGTACTTTGAATGTGTTGTATAAGAACGTTTCTGTTCAAGTAAATACGTATTTAGATCAGCGTTAATGTTATTTTATGTGGATGGTCTGTTAATTTCGAGGTCTGCAAGCACAGTGCTACAATCGCATCATTTTGTTTTTGTTTCCCACATAATATTATGTGTTTAGCTTCTAACACTGCCTCGCCTTTCTTCAAAGGTCGAATGCCAACACCCACATACGTTAATAAATCACTAATACTGATAATGTGCATATTTCGAAAACGAAAGGTTTGTAAAATACAACGATCTCTTATGTGATCCATACACAAATGAATCAGCTGTCCTCAAACAAGCGGCCATACTTAAAAAGCACAGCGCCCTCTCTTGATGTGTGCTATTGCGAATGGCCTATTTTGAACAACTCGACGCCTTTACATTGTCGTATGGCCCATCTTTAAAAAAAACCACCCTGTATGTTGTAGGGGTTCACATAAATTTGACAACAATGCATATACGCACGCATGAAAGCCGAAAGGTAAATTTTAAGCAAACGTATAGCAGAAATTGCAAATGGTGGACGTATTGGAGTGCAAATTCATTTAATGCTGATCTTTACTTGCGATTGTGTGCGGAAATGTTAAATTACTACAAAGTAGTGATCTTCATGCCATTCACTCACTGAAAAAATTCAGTGTTCGATATTTGCTGCATAATTCTGTTTCTAGCCGAACCATCAGTCTTATTAATAAGTAACCGGTGCAACTTATCACTCAAAAATGAGCGCGGAGGAAGAAGTGATGCGAATTCAAAAAAAGCTTAACAAAATGACCGGTAGCGATGGAAGTGTAAGTCCACATTTCATCTTTTTACCCCTCAAATCAACAAATGCGTCACCTACTTCCTCCAATTATCATTTCGGAAAACTTTCAATACAAAATTTTTAGTCGATCATTTTTAGGGTCAAGAACAAGCGCTCGATTTGCTAAAAGAATTACAAACATTAGATATTAACTTGGACGTATTAACCAAAACACGTATCGGAATGACTGTAAACGCATTACGAAAGTCGAGTACGGACGACGAGGTAATTAGTTTGGCAAAGACTTTAATTAAAAATTGGAAGAAGTTCCTGTCGGGCTCGAATAACTCCAACAATTCCAAGGAGACGAGCACTAGTTCAAAGTCGCTCAAGAGAGACAAAGAAGAAAAGTCGAGAGATGACAAGGAACGTGAGAAAGACAGGAAATTACCCAGCCAATTTCCGCCTCCCAATTCCGGAACTACGGACGCTATTCGACTTAAATGCAGAGAAATGCTCGTTGCCGCTTTATCGATGGATGCGCCTGAGGAGTTTGAAGGTTTGTTCCCTTCCCACAGTCTTTGTGATAAAATGAGCGGGTTTTCCATTCCACTAAAACAATTGCTCTGTTTTGTTGATTTGCAAATTTTATGCCAATCATATTGCATAACGCTTAATTAAGTGAGGAATGACTCTGGTACTTTTCCATAAGTGAACATTGCCGTTTGTACTTCAAAGACAAAGGGAAATTGAATTTTCATATGATGAGAAAGAGAAACTTGGCTTGGGCCTACTGTGCCACAGTGACTAATGACTAATGAGTGGTTTAACCGCCGAGTATAAACATTCGTTGGTTAAAATTTATACATTGTCCAAGTTTATTAATTGTGTCACGCAACTGAAATGACGAACTAACATGGTAGAACTGGCCCTAAAAGCATTTTATGTAGATCATCCAAAAACACTAGAACCAAAGACCTTTTTTTGAAAAAGCAAAAAATTTATTTTTGAAACTTTAAAAAAAGTTGAATGTTATTATGACGTGTGAAATTTTGAAAATGTATGTCCTAAGATCTCATATTTTGAAGATTATCTTATTACATTCAACAAGCTAATAGGCTGCATTTACAATGTACTGTCACCTCGTGCATGCAATTCCCTTGGGTTCAAGTATTATTTTTCAACTATTATTTTTGATTTTGATATTTGCAGGGTTACACTAATTTAAATCTACAGAATTTGAATCATTGTTTTAATGGCATTAAAGCATGTGTCTTAGTATTAACTAAATTACACACTATCGAATACAATACAAAAAATTTCAGTCAGTATTTGTACAAAAATTCTAATTTGGCCACACTAGGTAAGTATAATGGGTTTTACCAAGATTTATTACATAGTTATTTATGAGGTTCTTTATTGTTAAAATGATAAATACTAACATGCCTAATAAAAGAAAGGAATTGAAAATACAAGTCAATATATTTTGTAGGTGTTAGTGATGGCGCTTAAATTACACCCAATTATGAATTTTTTCAAAAATCTTCGTTTAAAAAATCCAAAAAACTGTGTTTGCAATAACGGAAAAAAAACAAATGGTGCAGAAGTAAAATGTGGCACTGTCGCCATCTTAGTTAGAACTGTCAATTTTATGTCAAAAAATAGAATTTTTGTATCATCTCTCCCTATCCTGATACCATTTCCAATTTAGATGGGGTGAAGGGGGATATTTACTTCTCATTGGATTGTTGCATTAAATTAATAATTAAATATTTGTGGAGTGAGTAAATATTCAAAATGAAATTCCTGGGAGCTATGAAAAGTATGTTTTGCCATCATGAATCCACAAAAAGAGGAGGCATAGTACGAAAAATTGGTTCTTCAAAATATTTAGGGAGAAACGAGTTTAATTTTGTTCCACAGATTTGAAGTGATGTGAATTATAAAACGAAACTGTGGGAGATTTTAAACAACCAATATTAATTAAATAAATGTCTTCAATATCGCATTATTTTGGTTCAAATGGCAAAGGTTGTGAATTTTATATTCATGGTGTGAATGTATGAAGTAAATATTAATTCTTTGATGTGCCTTTCCAGTTCCATACATTTTTGGAAGCAGGTGAAGATTCTAAACAACATTTTTGGAATAGTATGACAATTTTACCCTATATTTTACTTCAAAGCATCGTGCCTGTTATCCCTGAATCTGAAAAAAAGATTTATCACACAAAATAAATCTAGTTTTCAAAATCAAAAAGAGCAGCTTTTAATTTCTTAATTTCACAGGATCTACATCAAGTGAACATGCGCAGGATTTATGAAAATTTTTAATTCTGTAACTGTTCAAATGGCAATATTGTGGCTCCCAACAAAACACTCAATTTTGTATTTTGGTCCCTCAAAAGTTTCCATTACCCAATCTGCGGAATCTGAAAATATAAGCTGATGATGGTTTAAACTTTAACTTACGAAGTTTTTAAAAGATTTAAATACCAACTTGTGTGTTCTGCTTCTGAAAACTGAGGTTATGTGTCATTCGCGACATTAGGATCTCGGAATTCTTTGTAGTTGTGGATCTCAAGAATAGATTGAGAAATATGAATATTGAAAAGATCGCAATACTTTTTGAAACAAAATTTTATTGACTTTTTAGTGCAGATTTTGTGTTTTGTTAACGAAAAGTGTTATTTTTTTTACCAGTATAGTAAATTATAAGAGATATAAAAACAATATTCAGAAAAATGCTTTGTGTAGTAAAAATGAAATGAGTGTACTATATCTACCTTTTTTTTTAGTTTTATATTTATTTCATGAGGTTGGTTGGGATCTTTTGGCAGAGCAATGGGTACTTTTGTGCTTGTAACTCTTTATCCTTTATAGTTGGCAGGATGTTCTTTTGAGCTTAGAGCACATTTAGGAGGTTGGTCAGGGGGTAGTGGCAGTCTTGGTTTCTATAGCCTAATTTCCCACAACGAATGCAGCGAGGTCGTTTGTAGCAATAAGCAATTGCAACCAAAATTGTATGAATAAAAATGTTGGAGATAAAAAAAGATGGCGTTAAATAAACAAAACAATTATTGTTCACACATTTTTTGAATTAGATAAATATCTAAACAGATGCATGGAACTATATGTTCTACCATCCTGACACAACCTTTTGAATATGTGTATTAAATCTTTCATTTTATGTTGAAAAAGAATAGTTGTATTTATCTAGAAAAAAGCCATTATAGTTTTGAATACCACTTTTTCCCCGCCATTTGGGAGATCCAAAATCCAGTAAAACTACGAAGGTGCGATTTCACAGGCGTGAAATATTTTTTTGAGGTGCTTGGGTGATAGTCTCCTTTTGGGTCTGAAAGTGTAGTTATGTATCACAAACCAGTTCACTTCTTTAGACAGAACCTTCATTTTCTTTTGGTACGTAGGGTCAAAAACTAAATGAAATTCCCTGACAACTGGGGGAGAGGGGGGGTAGGTTTTTGTCACCCTCAGATATGTATCAGTTCAAGGCCGCTTTGGGTTTCCATTTTGGGTCCAAAAAAGGGATTATCTATCACCCATCGCATACATCTTTAGACTGAACTACGTGTGTGTTTCAGTGTTGTTAGAATTCATTTTGAGAGCAATAATTGGAAGTGAATATCAACATCAACGTATTTGCTAAGATTTTGTTGGAACTTTTTTTTTCATTTTGAGTGTTGGTGTTTTTGTTGGTACTGCTACATCAATGAATCTGATCTGTAGCAATTTTTTCTATTTACCAACTTAAAAAAATTTTAGATGTTGAACCTACTTATTTAATCCAATAGTGGGTGATAGTGTGTACGATTTAGCGGATAGAATCAGAGTATCTATGAATCTTCATCACATTTTGACAAAGTAACAGAGCAATATTTGTTGAACATCTGTAGAGTTCCATTGTATATGGATGTCAATTTTTCTTTACAGTATAGTTGCTTGTAATAGCAGAAGTTGATCAAAGTGAAATTTACATATAAAGTGTGCCCGATATTGGTTCTTGAGGATACCCTTTGTACAATATAAAAATTATCCAATTGTTGTCAAGTCATTCCAGTACAATCAAACGTAGTTTCACAATAAATAAAGAAAAATAAGTATATCTCATAGTTTACTGTATCGATCTCTTGTAATGCATCATTTTAATCCATTATTATTTTGTAGTAATCTCTAAATTTCACACGGCAGGTTGCGCTAGTCCCGAGGATCTTGCCGAAGAGCTGGAGGAGGCCATATTTCAAGAGTTCAAAAACACAGACATGCGTTACAAGAACAGAGTTCGTTCTCGCATCGCTAATCTGAAAGACGCGAAAAATCCGACGTTGCGCACCAATTTCCGCATAGGCGCGATAACGGCGTCGCGCCTAGCCGTCATGACTGCCGAGGAAATGGCGAACGACGAAGTCAAACAGTTACGCGAAAAGTTCGCCAAAGAGGCGATTAACGACGCGCAATTGGCGACCGTGCAAGGGACTAAAACAGATTTACTTAAATGCGGAAAATGCAAAAAGCGTAATTGTACGTACAATCAAATCCAAACGAGATCTGCGGATGAACCTATGACTACATTTGTACTGTGTAATGAATGCGGTAACAGATGGAAGTTTTGTTAAATGTAGGTATAGTAAGGAACTGTCGAAAGGTGAAACATCAGGTTTTGCGATTGGTACAATTTTAGAATTTTACCGTTTAACATTTATTTTATTTAATGAGTCACTGTAAAAAGAAATTAGCTGGCACTGTATACAATTAAACATTTGTTATTAGTTTGTGTTTTATTTCATAAATTTTTTGTACAAATATTTGCTATTTCATTTGTAATGAGTGTTTGCTAAATAAATTCAGTTTAATTGACAGGTTGATTTTATTCTACCTAAATAACAAACACATCTTGTGGTAGGGGAGCTAGCTCGAAATCCATTGAACGAGAGTGACCAAAATTTTAACCGACGGAGTTCCACTTTGGCCTATCCGACTATGCTAAAATCGATCGTCTAGCGCCTCAGGTCATATGACTTATAAGGCGCTGCGGTACCAATTTTAAATGGTTGTTTTTTGAGAAAATAAGTTATACACCAAATGAAAACGATGATAGCTCTTAAAAAAATCGCAAGCATTTGATAACTTTGTAGAAAACAATTCTTAGTTGGTTTTTGACGAACTTTCTACCGATATAACTAGGTTACGGTTGGATGAATGAAGCTGATTTTTTTACAGACCAATGATAGGTATCGCCAAGGACTAGGACAGTTTCTTTTTTAAATTTTTTCTCTAATAAGATTATCTTATAATTACAGAAAAAATTTAAAAAAGAAACACTGTCCTAGTCATTGGCAGTAGGTACCTACCATTAGTTGGATCGGAAACATAAAATTATGCATACAGCAAGTTTATACATTTTCCTCCACGTAAGTGCTATTTTCCTCAACCTTTCACAAGTCAAAAAATTGCTATTTAAACATAAGTTTTATGCTAAAACAATGAAAAAAAAAACTCGAGCTAAGCCATTCTGACGCACCATGGAAAACGTTTAAAATCTAATTGATCATTGTGTCAATAGGTTGTTGAAGCTGATCACTAATAAATGACAAAATTTAAATAGAATTAACATTGATATAATACCTTGAAGAACAATTACAACAATAACTAGATAGATTCCAGAAAAATTGACCCAATTTTGTTAGGTATCTTCGTCTCTGGCGTTTGATGCGCGTCTGCATTCCCCAAGTGAATATATTCCGGACAGGACAGATCAAAGTGCAACGAACAGATATCAATGACAATTAAAACTCGAACTTGTAATTAAATGTGGATGCGAAATTATGAACTGAAGCTGAAACCCTATAAAGAAATTCCTTCAAAAACACTATAGTAAATTTAACGTAGGTACTGCCGTTAATAAGAAGATTACGGAAAAGGTCAATACAATACGGCAACTGTTTAGATTGTTTCTATAACCACAGTTCAAACTGTATATGAAAACGAATGGAAAAAGTCCTAGAACGTATATACCGGGTGGCTCACCAGGTTAAATGGGGACAAAGTTGCCCCTTTTTGTAACTAAAAAATGCGCATTTGAAATTTTTGAAAAATAGTGCACCTAATTCAATTAAATCCTCCACAACAAGAGATAAGCGATTAGTCTTCATCCAAATTACCAACTTCGAGAAAATTCACAACATCTGATTAATCGCCGTATCGTAATACTCAGACCTTGCAATTAAACCGAAATTGAATTTCTTGACGATCAATACCGCTCCACTTGAACGGCGCCATAAAAGTGAAGGCAATGAATGTGGAATATAGATAATCCAACAAGATGCACCAATGACCAATGTGGTCCTAGTAGACAGGGATGTTGGAGGAATGAAACACGCTGGCTGTTCTTTTCAATACTGTAGAAAACATTCTTGTTAGAAATTCAAACGATCCTGTTTCATAGAACGCTCTGTACATAAATTTTGTGTAGCATAATCTAACTTAACTGACGATGAACCTAGATGGTGCTGTTTTGAAAATGGTTTGGCGGGCTAGGTATGATTTTCTGGAAACGCTAGCCTTTTTAACTTTTACTCAATTTGTTGTTTCAGTGTTGACAAGAAATTAAAAGCCATTACTTTTAAATATAGAATTGATTATATTTTAAATTATAAAACAAATATATCTCTCATTATGCTTGCAAATATAACCAAAGCAGAATTTAGTTACAAATAAAACAACTTTCCGATTATTTAAACAATAAAATATTTGCTAACATTTTTCTTACAACTATAACATATGATCACTAATTTATGGAGTACAAGATTCATCACAATAATAATCCTCTTCCTCTGCACTGTAATTATCGCTAGATAGGTCTTCATCATCACCGAGATCCACTTTCACCATATTTCTCATCATATCATTTTCTGTAATGCTTTCGTCATGACTTTCACAATCAGATTCATCAGGGTAATCATTACGCCAGTGGTTTTCTGCATTTGAATCTTCGGAGTAATCAGAATCAGGGTAATTATAGCCATTGTCACGATAAGATCCATATACCAAACCTTCGCTCAAGGGGTACACACTGTAAGTTTCATTGAAAAAAACTCATTTCATAGTATTAGAATAGTTTACCTAATCAATTCATTTAGGTCAGGTTCGCCGAAATCGTCTGAATTTGTATAGTACAAATCATAAACGAAGTTATTTGAATGTTCGGCGTTTTTTAATTCTTCAGATTCTACATCAACTATTGTGCAATTTACATTACTCTCGGTATCGTTCGTATTGGGAAATCGATGACTGTTGACGACCTTGTAGCGACTGTTCTTTGAAGTTACTTCCTTTTCCATTCTTAATTTGTCAATAATATCAACCATATTATGTTTTTTGTATTGCTCCTCAACTTCCGATTTATTGAGCTTTTTAATGTGCTTAATGACATCGTCCTAAAACAACTTGCAATGAATGTAATTCGTTTACAATACAAATTTAACCACTTACTGTACTATTTACAGTTCCAGCGAAATTAAGTACAGTCGCGATATCTTCATCTTGTGCTGCATTTTCATCCAATTTTCTCTTTTTGCAATTTATTACAACAGCATCTAAAGGATCATCTGTGCAATTTCGTTTTATGCGGATGATGGCAGTCATTATTAATTGTTCAGGTTACACACCTATCCCCTTTTTTGATAGCACAGTAGTAAAAGATTAGATGCTTCTGTGCGCCAAAAATACAAACACAACAACAAAATATAATGTAAAAATTGTGTGGTTATGTATAGTATATGTAACGAAACGTTGTATCTACAACGACTCAAACCCATTTTTCATACTTTACATTACAGCTACTCGTATCTGCTTCATACACGACGCATACATTAAGGACGTGACGTGTTCTTTGATTATATCACATTTAAATCTGCGATTATATGCATGGCAGGAAATGTGGACGCTCAGGTGGCCTCTTACCGTACATTCGCATTAGTATTGTACATAAATAGTATTATCGGTATTCGGTATTATTGAAATTGCATGTTTACCGTCGAAAGTAGGTAAGATTGGTTGCATATCTTAAGGGGTATTTCATATTTAATTGAACGTATGAGATTTGCATATTCAGAGTTAAAATTTACGCACTCTGTATTGCATTAGTTTCCCTACAAGCATTATACGATTGTGATTTCCTAAGTATAGTAAGTAAATGATTTCTAATAACTCAAAAGGAATAACTTATGGCGTTCTAGAAAATTCGTTACAATATCATCATTCCTTGTGATGGCTCCGATGACTAATATACGCATGAGCGACAATGCAGTTTTGTGATTTAGTAACGGATAAATTCAATAAAAATGAAATGGAGACGTGTTCGGAAATACGCTCGGACCCATCCAAATTGTTTTTAGATGGCGTATAGTTTGACACAAAATGTAGGTATACAGGGTGTCCCAAAAAAGAGTGGCAGAAGAAATATTTGTTCTTTAAATAGTAGCATTTCCCGTATATTATTGTATTTTCGAATTCTCCAGAAAATTCTAGATATGCGGGGGGGGGGGGGTTGGGGATATAAGATGCAAAAAATAATGTCCCTTTACATGTCCCGGATATGTTTGTTTACTTATTTGCAAGAAAATGAACCTAGACGAAAACTTTGGTGAGGAGCCCTGTATAATTTCCTCGCCACTGCTTTCTGTACCAAGAAACAAATGTGCAATTATCTTATATCTACCAGCATATGTTTCATGTCTTCTAATATTACTACCTATTGGACTGGTGATACATAAATGATTAAATTTAGGTATTTTACTCACAAGGGCACAGCGTGTATTCGCCCAATAGAATTATTGATGTGCACCGTTTATTTCGTGGCACTGAAAAGTAGTTACAGTTATCGCATCTTTAATCTGAACGAACTATGCATATATTCGCGTACACCAAAGTAAGTTTACTTATTTATTATACCCTTATATGCAAATGCATTTCCTATCTGAACAAAAATGCACGAACGTTTTCATGATAATGGCCGATATCAAATAATAATTTGCACCAATGTGATAAACTTCGAATGGAAAGTACACCACGTATAGTAACTACCTACCTTACGTACGCTATATATTGCTATAAATAAAGAGTGAAATATACTAATACAATTATTACCTACCTATCCGGCTATCACAATTAAGTGTCCCGACCCGCCCGACTTATAAAGCTGTTCAGATTTTAGTCAGAACACTGATTTATAAATTAATCAGCTCCCGAAAACTAACAAAAAAATTCTCGAACACGTGAAACATTATATCAAAGTGAAAGCCGGGCCCATTGGAAACATTATTCAATTATGTGACAAGGCTTTGGTTTTGATTGGTTCAATAAAAATAATAACAATTAGAATTCATACCTACCTACTTAATCTTCAAATCATTAGATATTCACTTACTCATCTGTAATTCGCGACGACCGACACCATTTGTCATTTGCTAATTCGAACCAAAGTTTTCGAGTGTTTTCGCCAGTTTCGACGTCCACGTGGCAGCGAAGTTTGCGCAGTGGGCGTGCCGTCTTGCTGTGACAACTCAGAGAATATAAGAGCAATTAAGTGTTCGAGAGTATGTATGCAAAGGAAAGGCCATTCATGGAGACTGAAAAATTCCCAGCACTTTAAAGAAAAACGGAGTCAGTGAGCGGATGAATCGCACATTGGTTGAGAAGGTGAGATCTATGTTAGAAGACAAGGGGTTTTGGAAGGTGGCTATCGAAACGGCGGCCTCTACCCGGTCAATCGTAGCTCTTCGAGTGCTCTCTTAGATCAAACGATCTAAAAGTGCCCTGGATTACAATGTGCCTCTAGGGAAGACAGGGAAACCTAAGCAAGCTATGTGTTTACAGTGGCTCTAGTACCTATAGAGTCTAGCGTAGGTTAGGCACTGCGTACAGTCGCTTAACGAAATAAAGAATGCTCCCTTCCCACTATTTACACTTATATTTATAGGTATCTTATAACGATGTACGGTACTACATAAAATGGACGTAACGATCTGGTGAATTGTGTAGATAAGTCTCTGTACAGCCATAAGTAAGCGTCAAAAGCATGGAATGATCGCAGAGTTACGACTTGGGCTTGTATTTGACATAGAAGATATAGTAATTCTTGTGATTTACGTGGACGGCGTGGTTATCGCACGATGCATTCTATCAGCAGTTGAAGTTGTAAACGATGAGTGACGGCAGCGAGATGTAGAGGTATCGTTATTTCCGTCGTGAGGCCGACCACCTACGCGAGGTATCAAAATTAAAATTCAGCACTCTAAAAAACATATAACCGTTGAAACCAAAACTTCTGCTATTTTCTTACGCAAAAACCACCCATTTCACTGAACTACTATAGATACCAATATTGTTAGGCAAATGTTACCGTCCTCCAATCTTTGTCCATTTTCGGAGAATGGATGCAGAAAATGTTATTCACGAATTTTGAAAAATGGCAAGTGAAGTATTAAGCATTGAATTTGTATAAGCACAAAGTGAATGCAGCTTATTGTCGATGCCATGTAAGAGAGAGGGTAAGAAATCGTCTCAATCTCACACTTCCACTACTGGAGTCTTATAAGTTATAAGAGTTCATTCAAAGGTATTACAGACATTAAATGTACTTTTTTTGTATATTTCAGTTCGCTTTACATTTTGAAATAAATGTGGGCAATCGTGATTTTGGTAAGAACACTTAATAAGATCCCACTAGCGGAAGTGTGAGAGTCTCAATCTACTTATTCCGTGTCTTTCTTACGTTGGATAACCACAAAATCAATTCGCAACATACATATTTTGAGTTGTATCCATCTAGGGCGACTTTATTTGCACCTGACATAATGACAATATTTGTCATCACTGTAATTAAAAACAACTAATTTAGAAATAAATAATTTATTGTCTCCAAGTTTAATCACTTTATATGTTTTATGAGGTGTTTAAAACACCAAACAGCTATAACATTTATTCACTTGAACATTAATTGTTGACAATCCAAGTGAGAAAAAGAAGTTCTTATCGTAAAATGATATGAATACAAGCTTTAAATGCTACATTCGAGTTTTAAACCAATATAAATTGCAACTTATTGTAATAGTAAAATGCTTTGGCATATACGAATTATACATCTAATAGAACTAAAGTATTACAAAATTAACCATATTGTATATATACCTATACCTATCTATACATGACATCGGTAATGATGTAAAAAACTTTACAAACGAAAACCATAATAATGTAACTATTGCAGTTTGAAACGAATATTCACATAGTGTTTGTCTCATCCGGTTGAAACATGTTGGTTGTGGAATTATGTCATATTTTGCGTATACGTGAACTGGCCGTAGTACAACATATTGGTCAGTGTTTGTTTATCAGACCTTTTGGCTTCCATTAAACGTGCACTCAAAGAACTGAAGTTTCGTTCGATCTCGTCGACGAATTGTTATTATTGTTATTGTTGGAGTTCGGAACGTTAATCTCTCCCGCGTGACTTGAACAGTAAAACTTCTTATGCGCCACGTACGTTGAGTAGTAATTGAAAGAAATATCGCAAGACTTGCAGTACTTCCCCGTTTGTTTTGATCCTTCTTGTTCAACGTCGTGTTTTGGTTTTATATCCACATCCAAGACTTCTTCTTTGATTGCGTCGTCTATAGGAGCGATTATAACTTCGGGCTCAATCGCCTCCTTCTTCACGACCACTTCGTCGTCTTCTTCGAGTGTCGGCATTGATTTTGAATTTTTGTCGGTTGAACCGTTTGAGAGGTGCTCTTCTTCGTGCGTGTTGTGAATTAATTTAATATGGCGCAACACATTTGCTTTATATACACTGCTGTAATTACATTCCGCGCAATGGTGAAGAGGTTCCGTGCAGCCTTCGGAACTAGGCGATATCGCCCGGTCCTCTGCAACGCTTGGAGGTATTGCGATAGACGGCGTGACGCTGGTTTCTATGACGTTAGCGCTGTCATCTTCGAGAATGTAGGTGATATACTTTTCTTCCTGCAACAAAATTGCCATTGAATTTACGATACACAATAAGATAAGCATTAATATTAATATTAAATATTGAAGGTCTCCGCGGAATACGCGAATTAAGTTGAAACAGGCAAAGAAATAGAAGAAGCGGTAATCGGTAAGTAGAGGAAGATGAAGAAACTGCAAATGGTAGGGAAGTCAAGGAAACAAAACGAGAAAGCGGAAGATGTTGACGTGATCGAAGTAGCTAAAAAAAACCGGAAGCATGGAAAAGTATTAAAGTAAGGAAACCGAAAAAGTTGAAACAGCCGAACACGCCGAGGTTCCAACAAAAGTATGAAGAATCCAAAAAAAATATGAAGTAAATTGAACGGGTCGAAGCAGTGAAGGAAAAAAATTGAATATACTTCTTCTTTCAGATATCAAAAAATTTAAAATCGTAAGAAACCCAGAAAAATTTCGAAAACCTAAAAAAACAAAAGAACAATCTTATACGACAAGTAGTCCCAGATATAGGTACGACATGAATTTGAATTTTATTGCCACACTTTTGGAAATTTGAGTTTCGAGTTAGAAGCCGATTACGTCATGTGATATATTACTCTTCACCTGATTGGGAATTTAGGGCCGGCCCAAAGCGGGGGCGAGGTTAGGCGATCGCCTTACGGCGCAAAGGAGCAATACGCGCCTCGGAAAGCATTGCCGAAAATGTGCATTTGCATTTTATAAACAATCTAAGTGCAGTAGAAAACAATTGCGTGAGTTGAGAATATAGTGAGGAGGTTGTTTTTGTTTTATTAACTCAGTAGTGGTATTCACTATCTTATTAAAAGTGTGATAATTATCTTCAGGATTGTTGTGTAAATTACGGAAGGTCAAATAAAGTAAAAAATACGAGAAAATGTTCTCACAGAAAAAGAAAACCATCAGGTTGGGAAAATCAAAAACGGGGGACAGAGAGAAACGAGAAAAAGAAAAAAATTCATTAAGCCGCTTGTCAACAAGAGGCGAAGAGTGCACTTTCAAATTTGTTTTTGCGATTTTAATAGTCCTCATGGGCCTTTCATGCCTTAACGACCTGAAATAATTTTTAATTTCTGATCGAATGACACCAATACCAAGTCTGTAAGTGGTGTAGTTCCGCAGCTGTTGTGACTCAGACAGACAGACACATCAAGAGCGCAAAAGTACACTTTTTATTTCTTGAAAGTGAAAGTGCACTAAAAAGAAATAAAAAAAATGAATTTGCAAAAATATCTCACTCCATCATCTGCAACACTGGTTGCAGTTCAAGACAATGAAGATGACACTCCAAACTTCAATAAGAAGAAGCTGATTCCTACATGCACTATGTAGTACTGAATTTATTATTTTACCTGATCGCAGATTTTGGCGACAGCACCCTTCTGAATTCAGACGGCTGTGGCTCGAGTTCAAAGGTAATATTTTTAACTTCTTCTCTTTCAATAATAGCCGAGTTGTAATTAATATTTTTGCTTGAATAGTAATACACTTAATCATTATAACTTCGTTATTTGTTGTAGAAGCCTATTTCGACAATTGTTTAACTTTTTCACTAAGAGTTGCTTCTTTTGGAAAATTAGGGTGAATTTAAATTCAATTCTCAACTTTTTTAAGCCTTTAACTTTATCAAGACCTGAACAAGGATCTCTTAGTCTACCTCGTTCTTAGAGAGTATTTTATCTTTTTTTACATTTGCTATAAGACTAAGTGGCGCCTATCCGGTATACTCGTGTATTTTTGCTTTGTTTTGACTAGCCGTAGAAGAGGACCCATTAACTACCCTGATCCATCTGTACTTTGCCTGAGCGTACCGTGCTTAACTAAAGGTAATTTTGTTGCGTATGTTTAAAGTGCTCGTAACATAATCTGTTTGATGTCAGAATCCGAAAATTTGAAAAGGTCGAAAGAACTGTAGAAGACAAAGGAACCGAAACACTGTAGTGTTAGAAACAACCGCAAGACCATAAGAAAACAAAAAAATAAGGAGGGCGCGAAAGAAAAGGAAACCTACGAAATCGAAGCCTAGAAATCTTCACAGATCTAGGAAGATCTTGAAGGAACCCAAGAACCCAGAACGTTAACGATGTCGAGGAAAGCGAAAAAAAATACCTATGGTGAAAAAGTCAGTAATAAAAAAATAGAGGCGCTTAAGCTTCTGAAGGACAGAACAAATCGAAGAGGCTGTGTACGCCGAAAAACATTGGGAACATGCAAAAAATTTGCTGTAGCTAGCACAGGCCTTTTGTCTTTTATGTCTAAGAATATGTGTATCAAATTTGGTTTAAATCGGTTCAGCCGTTTAGCAGGAAATGAGAGTACAGATCCAACAGACGGATCGAAATCATCTAGATTTTGTTTGATTCAGATTCCTAGTGCTTCAAAACAGGTACAAATTGTGCACAACCCTCGGCACAACCCTTGTGCAGGTAAAGCGCATTTTTTTAATCACCCCTACGAAATTTCTTCCAGAAATAAGAAAGTTGGCACTGCACATCCAGCATCCTACACAAAACGAAATTTGGAAAATGGCGCTACATTTGCTTTTATTCCAAGTGGCTATGTATCAAATTTCATTTATATCCCTCCATAAATAAGAAAGTTGGCACTGCGTATGTGCAAAACGAAATTTTGAAACTCGCGTTAACGGCTAAATTTGGTTTTATTGCAAGTGGCTATGTATTAAATTTTATTTAAATGCCTCGCGAAACGTTCCAATCGCCCTTTGTAGGTACTTTCCTTTGACAATTCACTCTTAAGATATAAGGAATTATAACCGATCACGACAAGGAATCGAGGAGGAAGACTATGGTTAGTATAAATTAATTCCTTTCGTTGAGACCTTTCATTAGAGTACCATGAAGGAGAAAACTAGTTCCACTCCCCCCATTCTCCTTCCTCCCCGTACTTTGATAAGAAGACAGACTACTGCAAAAAATTCCAAGACTCTAGGACCATTCCCCTAGAAGTACTTCAAAACGATAGAAGTGGGTCCGGACGGACGGACGGGCAAAACGCAAACAATAGCACATTTTTTTTACTTCTTAAAAAATGCGCTAAAAAGTGGGGGTCTTTTTTTACCCCAATGCAATCAACAATCAAGGCGAAGAAGTAGACGTGGAAAATCGGGGAAGACGAGGGAATCGAGAAAGTTGCTAAAGATACGTTGAACAAATCGTAAAAGTTAATCAAGCGGAAACCAAGATACTGAAGAAGTTGAATAACGAAAAAAATCAATACTGTCGGAATACACTGCGAGGTAGAAGCTATTAAGCACACCGAAGAATCCGGAGACAGAGGACGTTCAAGAAAGTTTGACTGCAGACTCTTTAGATTCCTAGGAAGGCAAAGAATCCGAAAAAGTTGACGAAGTAACGCCTAAAAATGAGAGCGAGAAAGGTATAAAAGTCATCAACATTTAAAAAAACCACGAAATGAAAACAACTAGCCTGTTTATGTTTGATTCAAATACTTTCTTTTATCGCACGAGGTGAATGTTTGACTGATTACTTCGTAAAAAATACTGAGCCAATTCAAATTCAATAAACAAACTACAAAGTTGGTATTTAACTGTTGACCGAACCACATTATTTTAAGATTACTTTAAAGGACGTATGCCAACACAAGTTAACGAAATGATAAACCAAGAAAATAAAAATATATGCTCACCTGTAAATCTGGAGAACGTTTATCAAAATGCATTCGAATGTGCGTGCGCATGCCCCGAAGTGTATTCCCTTTATAACGACAAATTGTACACCTATACGCTTTCACACCGGTATGTGTGTCCATGTGTCTTTGAGCTGCACTAGCAGTTGCACTAACCACATCACAACAGGGACATTTCCATCCCGCAAATGTTCCCGATGCGTTGCAGTGATGGCCGGGTTCCGCGATACCGCGACACTTTCCGCACCGTCGCACCTCAACGTCGCCGCGCTTAAGACAGTAGTACGACTGGTGCGCGTTTAAGTTATCTAACGAGGTAAACTTGATCCCGCACGCCAAACAGATTAGCTGCTGATATTGCCCCGCGGGACTAGTAGCGCCCGCGCTTCCAGGACTAACCGGCGGACTAACGGAACTCTTTGATATCTCTTCGTCCTGCAGTCGGGCGGAACAGTAATGTTTTTTGTGCACGACGTAGTTCTCGTGCTTGCAGAAGACAATATTGCACTCTTTACATTTGGAAACGCCCTGCTTCACCAGAACCTGGGGGGTAGTTGCCGGAATGGTTGGTAATTCGCCCGCGGCCAGTCGTATTTGCAGCTCGGGCGGGAACAAAGACATCGAACCCGCGCGCAGTAACAGCGGGTGTAAGTTCGTCGGTATTCCAAAGGGGGTGTTTTTCGCGTTGTCTGGACTCCTAGCTTGATCGGGCATGGCTTTGGTCACGGGTTTGGACAGTCGAGGGCTGTTGCTTCTGGACGAATCATAGTCGTGTTTTCGCTTCGGGGATGGTACCTGTATGGGCGATGCTGCACGGACGGACGGCGGAGTTACAGGGGGCGATCCGTGGAGAGCGGGCGCGCAGACTATCAGTTCGGGCGTTGGAGATCTTTGTTTGATGTTTTCCTTTTCGTAGTCCGCGGGTTCTTTTAATTCGGGCGTTTTTCGCATGCTTAAGTCTAAGGGACCCGTCGAGTCCTTCACGGTTGTGGGTTCTTTCGCCTTATTCGCCGACTTTAACACTTCCGGTAATGGCGGTGGCGCGCTCGGCGTTACTGCCTGGGACATCGGCTGTAGGGTTCCGTTAGGGAGTAGAAAGCAAGGTGCGTCGGGAGCCGGAAGACCGGTGACGTTTGGTAACAGTCCTGGAAGGAAGCTCGCTCCGCGGAATACAGAATATGGCACGATAAGTATTGGATTTGTCGGTAATGCGAGAAACGGCTGTTGCGTCGAGGATGCCGACGGTGAAGGGGGCGTTTTGCATGGTACCGTGTCTACTGGTGACGTTGAGGTGGAACCAGACGTACAGCTGGATGTTGTTTTTGAACTGATCGCGGGTGCATTCACCGACACGGACGATTTTGACATATGCCTAGAGCTGCAGTAGTGCAACTTGTGAGCTCTGAACGTTTTTTGCGAACTGAAACGTATGTCACAATCGGCGCAGTACCTGTCTTGGGTTTCGTGCGTTGTCCCTTCACCATTTGCCAATGTGGTCGTCGCAGTTATTGTGCATGGGGATACTGTATGCATTCGCATATGCCGGTTTAAACTCACTTTCTTGTCGGCACTATACGAACAGTGAGTACACGTATACTGCTTTCCAGTGCGTATTGCTTTAGAAGAAGTTTCCGAAACATCTTGATCGGAGTGGTTTCCGCTTACGTCCGCGAGCGAATTCGCCTTTCCGTCTTCAGCATCACTTGCGTTTTTGTTCGCCCTGTGGGAACAGTAGTAGGTCTGGTGGGCTTCCAAGGTACTCAATGAGGAGAATCGTATACTGCATGGCGCGCACATGTAAATCGGGGCACTATTTTGACGTGCAACCTCCGCGGCGGCTTCTGGACGACTAGGAGCTTCGGGCAAGTGCAAAGACGGGGGTAAAAAAAACCTGCTGTTTGCCAAAACGTTTTGCAACGCGGAAGGTAAAGTCGAGAAGTATTCCGCCGTATGCGCCGGAGACGTTGCATCAGGTTCCGTTTTTATAGTAGTTATAACAGTTGCAGGTTGAAGGGCTGGATCAGTCGCCAGATTCGTTTTTAGTCTTAAACGTGGCGTTACCCCTTCGTCTACTGATTTGCTTTTATCTATTTTATCGTCGCCAACTGGTGGACTAGAGCTGGACAACTTGTTTTCTGTCACCGGTTCTTTGTCGGAAATAACGTGTTCGTCAGTAACCATCGCATTTGCACCATTACTACCCCAAGCTTCGTCTTCGCCTGCAAAGAAAGAAATATATTAGATCCACGAATTCACCACGATTATCTCGGCACAAGAACAAAAGTTATTGCGTTACTAACCGAAGACATTGGTGAAGAACGGGTTACTACAAATACGAGTGTGATAAGAGCAAGTAGAACACGAGTCGAGCATGTTGCGGGTCTCACTTTAATGAAGCAGTTCTTCAACAACCTACGCGACACAGACTCCGTTGTTCGTTTTTCCCGCTATAATTCACATCAAAGCGACGATGCGCGTTGATCACAGTCACCCTCACCAAAGTCCCTAATAAATAACTATCATATGCCACCTGTCCGGTGTACTTATAGGCGGTGTGATTCAATTCCACGTCAGTTGATAACATAATCACTTGACGACAATTAATTTATCAAAAAAAAATCTTAGGTGAGTGGTTCACCGAAATTTAATCTCAATTTCCCGGATCATTTCTGCTACTTAGTTTGCAATTTTGAAAGCAATAAATATCCACTCGAAATTAAAATGTATGGAAGAAAGCGCTCTCAAAAAATAATATATTGTTCCATTCCAACTCCATACACAAATTAAGGTCAGATTTTAGCTCGTAAATGTGGAATTTGCCTGCCACCAGAACATAAGTGTGTCAGTCCCAGTTACTTGTAATGTAGGTTAATACATCCTCTAAAGGTCACATTCATTTATTTTATAGAATGCCCACTTAAGATTGTAAAAAGCAACCCAAACAGTGCCGCGATATTTACAAAAGGCCTACTTAAAGTGTATCAAAGAAATGAAGAGTTTGCTCCAAGGACGTCTAAATATAAGTAAATTGAAGTCCGGCATAAAATTTCGGTTAATTTCATGTGTGAGGAAAATCCAATGAGTTTAACCATTGAATAAAAACACTATAAGAAGCCTAACCCCGTGGAAATAAAGCGCGACAGAGTTTGAACTGAGAATATAATGGGAACACTGTCAATAGAGTCGATTCTTGAACTGAGAAGAATGAGAATTTGCTTTCCTCCTATTTACCGCAAAGAGAGTTGTCACAACCAATGCGGGTGCAAGGGGATTTGTGAGATTTGTCGCGCTTTCTTCCATAAGCGTTAGGCTTCTTATAGTGTTTTTATTCAATGGTTTAACTTACAAAGAAAAATATCTAATCTGGCTTATCCTCCATGAGGGAAAGTACGCCAAACGTATTTTCCATGCCCACGAATAAACTTTTAATATTAATTCATTGAATTGGACTGCGGGTGGAACAGAGGGCGGAACCATTTCCACTGGTGTGAACGCATTGTAAATTGTGTGAGAACTTGAAATTATGAAGGAGAAACCTTTTTTTATAAAACTTATTCCTTTATGACACATCAATGTGATAAGATTGGTCGAGTTACAATCTCGGTATAAAGTATAAACAATAAACACAGATTGAAACAAAGTATCAATACAAAATAAGCTCCGAACACTAAAAATTAGATTCAATTGTGCCTATACGCTGCATGACTGCATGACATTTACACGATGTATTTTTACCACCCGCACGTTAGTAAGGGAGGTATTGTATTGGGGTAAAAAATGACCCCCCACTTTTTTGACGGAAATACACGTTTTAGGAATTCGAATGAAACCAAATTCCGAAGATGTGAATCCGTCTGTCGGTCTGTACTCTCATTTTCAGCAAAGCGACTGAACCGATTGGAATCAAATTTGGTACACATATTCTTAGACATAAAGAAAAGAGCTTAGTCTTTGGACAGAACGCGCACGCGCAGTTGTGCGGGTGGTATCTGTTCTAGACACAGCAAATTTTTTAATAATATTTTCATTTTCATATAGGACTTTTTATTATTATTAACAAGGTCAGTAGGGTCAGTTTTGAGAGGAGTGTGGTAAAGTGACAGACGACAGACAAAGTAGCCAGGAAAAGTCACTGTCATGAAAACGTAGAATCCAGTGGTGTAGTCAAAAAATTTTAAACCAGCTTTTCTAAGACTTGACCCAAAGTTGGTATTTTTTAAATGCAACACCTGTACATCTAATGCCAATTATTTGCATTGTTTTGCCCGATTACGTTGATGTATCACATCATTATCACATTATCTTATATACCTAATTATATATATGGTATTTCACATTTTTCAAATTTTTTAAATGACCGTCAGCCGTTTTTATTGATTGGTATCTTTTGCCTTGGTTATCATGGATACAATAAGCAAAACAAAATCTCATGAATCTCATGAATAAAAGCAGTAAAATTTAAGAAAATATAGGTTGTGTTACATCAATTGACGTTAAAATATACAAGGTGTTGCATTTAAAAATAACAACTTTGGGTCAAATCTCGGAAAAACTACCGTACTATATTGTGACGTGTGCCAACACCGCTCCGCAAACAAGTATTTGATTCCCTTCACTGTCTCGGTCATCCCGGAACCCGTGCTTCTGCCAGACTTGTACCCGAGTACCCGACCGCTTCGTTTGGCCAAATATACAGAGACTGCCGCGCCTGGACCCGTAGTTGTGTTTCATGTCAGCGTGCGAAAATTACCCGCTACGCCAACCCTCCGATTCCATCATATTCATATTGACATTATCGGACCTCTCCCTCCCGCTGACACGTATCGTTACTGTCTTACAGCAGTCGACCGATTCACGCGTTGCGGCGTTGGAATTGAAACCCATCACCGCTGAGGAAGTCGCCTTTTCAACGGATGGATTTCACGTTTTGGCACCCCGTCCCGGATTACCACCGATCAGGGACGGGAATTCGAATTGGAAGAATTTAGGGAGGACGGGGCCGAACTTCAGAGGGATTTGGAAGCCGCTTGAGAGACGCTTCAGCGCAACATGAGAAAATCTTAGAAAAACAACTTTAGAAAAGCTGGGAAAACTTTGGCTCTAATGCGAATATAAAAAAAGAACATCCTAGCCTTACTTACTATCACGAAAGAGATATATATGGAACAGAAAAAATAGCCTTAAAAATTTATGCAAGATGAGCAGACGAGTGAGCAGATTATAATGCCTTTTTACATTTTTTCATATGCACAATTGTATCTGAAAATCTCTAAGATGGCTTCCTGGAGGGTGCGAAATAAGTCTCGTTGTTCTACTACGAAAAATTTATAAAATATATACAGTGTGTCCCAGAGCTGGATACTGCTCGCGAGCGGAAAAAAACGGAAAAAGCGCCACTTTTCGGAGCGGCCGCTTGGTGCTTGACACTCGAGCGTTTATTTAAAGTGCTCGTCGATCAGGCGCTATTCTCTGCGGTTTTTCCGCTCATAAGCATTTTTTTCCGCTCGCAAGCTTTTTTTCGCTCGCGAGCTCTTTTTCCGCTCGCGAGTGCTTTTTCCGATCGCGAGCGTTTTTAACCACCCTCAAGCGCTGAAAGATTAAGCGCCGCTCGCGAGCGTTTTTTCCGCTCACGAGCACTTTTCACGAGCGCTCGCGTTAAATCGCTCGAGCACTTTTAGGAGTGCTCGGAACTCGCAAGCGGTTTCGCTTTGCAAAACACCTCGATGCTCGCGAGCATTTTTGAGGAAATTAGAGCGATCGTCGCTCGAGCGGTTTTTTACAACGCTCGACCCAACTCTGGTGTGTCCACGAATTTAGTGCACATGATGTGTATGTGACATTTTTTTTTGAGTTGGAAAAAACACCCTGTATATTAATTGATTTGCCTCATTTTTTCAATATCTGAGTTTGAGACTGAGCAGGAGCGATTCTAAGAACATGGAGATCCAACTCTAAGCAAATTTGTCATATAAACCGTATATGCACTAAATCCGTGGACACACTGTATACAAAATTAAAAACTTTTTTTCTCCAGTAACAAATTTAGAGGTTTTTAAATGTTATTTTATTAACCAATTATACATGTTGCAAAAAAAATTAGGCGATAGAGGACACCAGCACAAAGATTTGATTATGCATAAACTATAAGGTCCAAAATGTTTAATTTGTGTAATTGGTGAACCTAAAGACGCCGATTGTACCACGATAGTTCGTCACTTCGGAAGACTTACTGAGAAATTTAATTGGTCAAGATTTAAAAATTGCCCAATCAAGTTTTTTAATTCCGTTAGTGAATTGAACGGACGTTGAACGGCCGCGGTAAAACGGACCCTCAGTTTTACAAATTGGTAACTGCAAACAACGAAATATACAGGGTGCTCAGGCACGAGCCAAGTCAGCCAATATATGCTAATATGCGATTATATTTCTGAAAAGTTGTAGATCCGGGATGAAAATGTTTTCTGGAATACTAAAATGTCTTCATAACAAATTTTTTTAAAGAAACTTGTTACGAAACCCAAAATTAAAAACGTTTGCTTTCAATCTACGTACTGCATGGTCAAGGGGGGCATATTTTTAAAGGGCAACTATTAGTTTTTCAACGCACACTAGTACAATTATAAAATAAATAAATTGATTAATTAACTGTTTTACTTAATTTGAGCTTTTCTCTTAAAGTTGATTATGTAATATAATTACTTCTTTATGCTGCTATATCCATAAATTTATTCTTTAAAGTTATGTAATTAAAACTAGTCTCCAAATGTTGGGGAGGGGGGGGGGGAATCCATTATTTCCCGCGATGCTGTTTTAAAATGTGCATAACTTTTATATGCGATAACTAACTTGTGCCAAATTTTGCAGTATTCCTGCAGTGGTGCCAACTAAACAGATCACGGTTTCAAATTGGAAGGGAGGTGTGGGGAAATAGAGGATCTACCCTTCATAATATTCTAATGAATGATGTTAGCGAGAGTAATTGCTTTTGACTAAATACCGCTCTCCTATCCGACCCGACTCCTTTTTTCGTAGTTTCGGCTACAAGAGCTATATAAATCCAATATGGCGTCCATAATCAATAAGAAAGTAGTAGTCTGTAGCTTCTACATCTAGCGTGTTATGAAAATGCTGATAACAAATTCCGATTCTCCGAAAAAAAGTGCCCATAGAAGGTGCCGACGAGAACCGTCCGTTTACGACCGTTTAAGCTAGGGAAAAT